GTTGGGGGCATTCATATCTCTCTTTTTTAAAGGACATGCTAACAGTGCAGAAATACAAAGGATGGTGAATTGAAGAATAATTTTGGACACTGAGCAAGACCTGCTGTGGCTTCTGGGTCCTGCAGAGCCGTCCTTGGTGGTGGTTCCATGGGGCCGCCTGGCAGCAGTCAAGGCAGCAGCACTCAGTGCCCCACCTCCGCTCATAACACCCCTTTTTCGACTTTCGTGAAGCCAGGCTTCCCTCCTTTCCCCTTGACATGTGTTGTTTGGGCACCTCATTTTTGTTGAGATGGTGGAGATCCAAGGTCCTAGGTCTCACAGGGGCTCCATGCACTGTCACCTTTGCTCTGGCCTCCCCTTCTTGGGGTGGCACACAGTGATGCTAGCTTGGCTACTTGGTCTCCTGAGTGTTTATGCCATACATCCTTTTTTTCCCGTAGAAGCTCGTGGTTCTCTGGCGTTGAGGCAGCAAGACAGATGTGCTGCAGGTCACGCCATTGGCAATGGTGGGAACACAGCTCCTGTTTTTACAGGAGCACACTTTAGAGAACTTTTATGGCAGTTTTGTGCACTTAGAAGCTCTGTGCAGGAGACTGGGCAGTTATTACCATCTCCAGTTACAGATCAGGAAGCTGAGCCCCAGTTGTCCAGGGCCAGGGGCCTGTAACCAGTGCCTCCCCCTGCCACCCGCAGAGGCGCCACACTGGTCCAGTTCTGGGCATGGGGACGCTGCAGGGGAATTCCTCACCACTTTTCCTCGTCCTGTGCTCTGGGCTGCATGTCCAGTCCCCGGGTCCCCTCCCAGGCTGGGGTGGGTGGAGGACACAGGTGGAGAGAGAAGGAGCACTGAATGACTAAGGATTCAAGAATAGCTTGAGGCAAAGGTTAGTATCCTGGCCCCCAAAACTTTTCTGAATAGACTTTCTTTTCTTACCGAATTGGAAAGATTGTTAGATTTTTAAATAAGAGCCAAGGCTTAGAACGGTGCCTGCCACCTAGTGCTGTGTGGGCGAGAGTGTCGTTTTATCCTTAGAGAGCTCTTTGCCCCTTGCTGCTGCAGGGAGACTCCCTGGAGCCTTGCTTGTAAACATGTCTGGGGGTTCTTGCAGGTGAAGTCAGAGGCACAAGGGACATTGACTTACTTCTCCCCGCTCATTGGAACCTTTCCCCAAGCCTCCCTACCAGAGGTCTGTTTGTTGGAACGTGTTTTGTTGTTCCCTTTTGGTAACCTCTGAGCCTGACTGGGCAGAAGTCCAGTGGCTCCTCGAGGGACACCCTCATTTGGTCCTGATGACTTCCAGGTCTGCCAGGGAGTAAGGGGCCAAGTGGGGCTTGCAAAGCCACAGGGAACAGGCCCATAGCCCTGGACAGGGGGTCTGTGTGCTCCTTATTTGGGGAGAACGCTGCTCCCCAGCATTAACCCTTCATCTCTTGACTGATAACCTCTTGTGAGAGAAATGTGAGGAACTTTCTTAGAAGGGGCTGGTGCTACCTTGGCAGGCTGGGATGGAGGTTGGACTGCCTCATGGTTTTGGGTCACAGAACCAGTTCTGTGGCTATTTTTCCTCTAGTGCTTGCTGGTAGGCGTGCAGGCCAAGCTGGGCCTGAGGGTGGATCAAAACACAGAGAGACACACTGTCCTGGGGGCTTTGGGGTCTGAGGCAGAAGGGCCATGGCTGACACATGGGGTGTAAGTGAGCATGGGCTTGGGGTGTCCTCACCAGGGCATGGGGAATTGAAGCAGACGTGCCCATCATCCAGGAGTTGCCTTCAGGCACCACCAGTTCTGGGAGAAGGAAGAGCCCCCTGGCCCTGTCCTTCCCTCTCAGTGAGGTTCTTAGAATCATTTTAAACTCGCCCAGGGTGGGGGTGGTGGGAGAGCCTGTTTATCTTGGTTCACTGGAGCAGGAGCTCCTGAGGCCAAGGTCGGGGCTGGCGGGCTGGCAGGGCTGGCAGGGGCTGCTTTCACCACCTGCCTACAGTGGGGAGCTGTCAGTTAGCAGCACTTTGGGCCTGGCACTGGGCTGGCCCTGAGCGAGCTCATAGGCCACAGAAAGAACCTGAGGTCTTCTTTGTGGAATGTTCTTTTGGTGATTTATTAAATGACAGGTTGCTGCCCTTGGGGAGCTTTGGCTTGGTCTGGCCAGCCTAGAAGTGGCCAGAGCATCTGAGGGAGGCCTTAGAAGAGAAGCTGGGGGTACCACTGTCTGCAGAGGCAATGACCAGTCCAGGTAACCTTGGATACTCTCTGCCGCTATGGCAAGTCTGTCTTTGGACTCGATGTAGGTAAAGCAAAATCTAAATGCAGAATGACTTAGGTGAAGGTCACTACATTTTTTTTTTAAGATTTATTTATTTATTTATACATACATACATGCATACATACATACATACAAGCACTGGGTACAGTCAGAAGTGCGGAATGGTGAGAGAATTCACCAGAGCAGCGGGCACAGCAGGAGAGGCCTGCGCGCCATGTGGGACCCTTGCTGATGGCCGGGGATCGAACCGGCGCTGCACAGTCTGTGGGCAGCTTCGTAGCCCCGCGCTCAACCGCTGCACCACCCGGGGAGGCCCAAAGGTCACTACGTTTTGAAGATTATCACTTATATTGCTAAGTCACATGGTGTGCTGGGTAGGATGGGGTGGGCAGACCGAGAAGAATTAATGTTTAATCAAAGACTCTGCTCCCAACTCTACCCAGTGCCCTCCAGAGCCGGGCGGCGGGTTGTCAGAGAGAAAACATGGCCCTGGCCCCTCTGGCCCGTACCCCAACATGTCCTTGATGGGTCCTGGGGTTACATCTGAGGGCCATTTCCACATGACTGTGGCTTCTTCCTGAGCTTTCTCTGCCCGTGTGCTGTCTCGTCTGTGGCCACCGGCCTCGAGGGGCTCTGCACGCGTGTAGTGCGGCGGGTCCAGAGATGCGCTGCGTGTCAGATACACAGGACTGAAGACTTAGCATGAGAAAAAGTACAGTATTCCTAACAATGTTTATATTGAGTATTTGATGAAATGGTAATATTTTGGGTATGTTGGGTTAAATATGTTAGAATGTGCTTTTTGCCCTTTTTAAATATGGCTACTTGAAAATTTAAAATTGTATGCGTGGTGGCCATTGTGTTTCTTATTGGCAGCTCTGGTGTAATCATGTTGGGTAGGGGCGGTGATAACACACTTTTGGTGACTCACCTTGTTCCCGCCCTGCTGGGGGGTCCTTGCTCTTGCTGTGGTTTGCTCCCCGCAGCCACCTGGGAGGCAGGGCTGCTGTTCAACCTGCTGAAGCGTAGCCTGTACTGTTGCCTGGTGGGGAAAATGTGTCACAAAAACATTTGTTAAAACTTGGTTAGGGCCTCCCTGGTGCTGCAAGGGGTTAAGTCTCAGCACTATGAAGCTGTCTGCAGCCACTGCAGCACGAGTTCCATCCCCGGCCAGGGAGCTCCCCACATGGAGCATCTTGCCCTGCTGCTCCCCTCCGCAGTGTACTTTGGTCAGTCTGCCTGTTCTGTTCCCCACTCTGGCTCTGGTGAATCCTCTCGCTCCCCGCACCTCTGGCCTGCACCCCAGCTCTCGTATGCATAAATAAATCTTTAAAAAAGTAAAGCTAGGTTATCTTTTGATTTGAACATTTATTTCTCATTAATTACTTTTCCATCACACTCAGTGATACTTGCATAAAAGTAATACATAAATTTTGTAGAAAAATCGGAAAATGTAGAATCGTAAGCAGGTTTCCACGCCTGGTGTAGGGCCTGCTGCTGCCCCGCCGGCCTCTTGGCCCCAAGGGCTAGTGCGCTGCGGCTGCTAATCCTAGGGCATCTTTGGTGTCTGCCTGGGGGCTGCTGTCCCTTGGGCAGTGGCGGGCGTGCCCGTGCACACGCCTTGCTCTGCTGGCGTGTGAAGCTAGAATGGTGTTGGAGGTGGAGGAAATCAGTTCTGACTCAACATCTTGGGCTTTTTTCGTGGCCTCAGTGGCACCAGCTGGACAGTTGGGATCATCCTATTCTGACATCTGGACAAATGAGGTGTTAATGAACTTTGATTTAGAAGATTGCAAATGGGGAGGAAGGTCTGGTACCCCGTGTCCTCAGACACTCAAGGTAGGGAGGGTGGGGACCTTCCATGCTGAGTGGGGGCTGCAGCCTGAACACCTGTGGGTCCCCAGGGCTTGCATTGGGCACATCCACCTTGTGCTTTTGCAAATGTTCCAGCCCCACTGGTGACAGCTTTAATTAAGCTTGTGCTGCCTTTCCTTCCAGTTTAGTGAGTTAAGTGAGAGATTCTAGATGATGGGAGGCTCCTTCACATAGATTGATGCATGTGGCTGCGTTCCAAGGAGGGTGCCCCTTTGTTCTCAGGATGTCCATGACCTAGACCGTTGCTGGTCTATTTTCCCCCTTGTGCTGGGTCCTCCCAATGTGTATCCCAGTTGGTGGTGATTCTGGGGTGTGCAGACTAGCAAAGGTGATAGAGGGGTCGGGGACGGATGGAGTTGTTGTTGTTGTTTTTAAAGATTTATTTATTCATTTACACAAGAACCGGGGTGCAGGCCAGATGCGCGGGAGGGTGAGAGGATTCACCAGAGCCAGAGCAGGGAACAAAACAGGCAGACTGATGAAATACACTGCTGAGGGGAGCAGTGGGCGAGGCAGGAGAGGTCTGCGGGCCATGTGGGACCCTTGCCGGCCGGCCGGGATCAAACTGGCACTGCAGAGGCTGTGGACAGCTTCACAGTGCGGCACTCAACTGCCTGCGCCACCACAGGAGGCCCCAGATGGAGCTGTTTTTATAGAAAGCACCGACCTTGGGTCAGCTCTCTGAAAACAGCAACTGTGCATCTCCTACCCCCACCTCCCCTTCAGATGTCTGGTGTGTCCTTGCGGTTCCTCAGTGAGCTGAGGGGGGACACATGTGGGGCTGCTCTGAGCCTCGGGGTGGAGGGGTAGTGGGCAGGCCCCACCCCCACACGGATGCCCAGTACCCTCTCTTCTTCCTTGCAGGTCTGGCCGTGGGTCTGGGCTTTGGGGCACTGGCTGAAGTCGCCAAGAAGAGCCTCCGCCCCGAGAACTCCACAGGTGAGCTGGACCCTTGGCAGCTGGAGTGGCAGTGGGCCCTGCGAGCTTGGCCTGTCAGCCCCCCACACCCAGTGTTCCCAGAGTGTTGGCCTCCAGGCACACCGGTCACCTTGCATTTGCTAAAGGTCCACTGAGGTAGACTGAGGCCCAAGGTCCATTCCGCTCCCTTCCTCACCCTGACCTTCTTGGCTCTTCTGGCACTGGCCCTGCTCCTGATCTTTGGAGCCATTGGGACCTCAAGGCTCCCCACTCAGCTGTGGGTGAGGGTGTGAGTGCCAGACTCCCGTGAAGCCCTCCATCCCCTCTTCAGTCCTCTCTTTCCCGCTGCCTCTGCCCCTGCCCTTCCAGGGTCTCTCTTGCAGAGTCAGGTGAGTCCAGGTGACCCGGTGTGGGGGGCACTCGAGAATGCTCTGCAGACTGGTCGCTCCCCAGCCCGCGCTGCTCATGATGCTGTGCTGATGGGCTGCGGGGAGTTGCCAGAGGCTCTACCATCCTCCCACCTGCACCCCCTCCTAGGGGATAGACTAGGTGGTTATGGGGGGACTTCCCTTTAGTGGGGACCTGGGGGCTGTGGAGAGCAACACTGACATAGTCTGCTTGGTGGATTTCTCAAAATGTATTTGGAATGCTGAGCTGGTTTTCCTTGCCCCTGACCCATCCAGCAGCTCATTCCCTGTTTCACACCTCCTCCCTTCTGTGGGGGCTGAGTGGCTCCCACTGGCTGGCTGTCCTGCAGTGCCTGAAGCCCTGGCTGCCAGCCTGTGACCTGGCTCCCTGGTCGCTCTGAAAGGGCCTGGACAGTCCTTGTTCTCTGGCTCCTGTGGACCAGAGACCTCCCAGAGAAGCGGCACAGGCCTGTCCCCATGGACCCCTGAACACAGGGGCATGTCCTCAGAATGGGCCGCAGGACAGAGGATTGAGCGGGGTATTTTTAGCACTGATGCCGGAATGCTTTGGGAAATGAGATCTGGGTTTCTGAGCAAAGGGAAGCCAGCCCCTCCCTGGCACAGTCCCTCCCAGCCCCCTCCCCCGCCGCAAAGCTGGCTGCTTTCTGCCCCTTCTCGTCCAAGCAGGGAAGAGGCTACACTGCCTTCAAGGTTACAGCAGTTGTCCTTTGTCAGGAAGATCGGTGACCCTGGGCTGGGGTCAGGGGCCCAGGAACCATCAGCCTGAGAGCAGGCTCTGGGGTCCTGGGACCCTGGGGCCTCGACTCCCACCTACTTGTCCAGCTCTCCCAGGAGGGCCTCCCAGTGGGACATGCCCACCATGCGCCTGGGCTCATTCTCAGAAGCAGCCATGCCTAGGCAGGGAGGGGACCTCTGCGTGGACCTGCTGGCAGTGGGGAGGGGCTGCCGGGTATTGTCCCCAAACCCCGGGAGCAATGCAGTCAGCACAGGCGTGTTCCGTGTGTGCCTGGGAGAGCAAATGCTCCCTCTCCTGCCTGGAGCAGCGGCTTCTCCTGCTTCCCTGCCTCTGCCACCTTTCCTTTAGGCACTCAGGCCCAGGGCCCTCCCCACGAGGGGTTCCAGGACTGAGCTGTGAAAGCCTCTTCTGCAGTCCAAGGTGAAGGGTCACCTGGAACTCTTCCTGGTCCCGCTGTCCTGGCCTGCCCTGACCCTCCCCACCACCAGCAGGCCCACACAGAGGTCCCCTCCCTGCCTAGGCGTGGCTGCTTCTGAGAATGACCTGGGGGAGCAGGGGAGGCCCCTGGGCCACGCGGCCTCCTCCTGCAGAGTTGAATTCTCTTACCCTCTCACAGCCCTACCCACCTGCTGGCTGGGACCCAGGAGTGACCCCTTTCCAGTCTCTGTCCTGAGATGCTGGTAGATTTGCCTGTCCGCCCTGAGGCCTTCCTTCTGCCAATGCCACGTCCCCGGGGCCTTTAGTTCTTACGGTCACACTATTCCTGCTGCCCTGGTCTGGCAGAGGCCAAGCCTGACACAGCCCCTGGGCACGGTCAGGGGCACCTGGCCACCTCTCCTGGGGAAGCCCTGGAGGTTCTTCTGACCTGATGGGGTTCACAGGACAGAGGGCAGCGGGCACTGTGTCACTGGGCTGGAGGCCCAGGGAAGGGGCGGGAGGAGTCAAGGCAGGTAGAGGGAGCGCTGGAGCGGGCCAGGGAGCCCCAGAAGCCTGCGGAGTTCTTTCCCCACACCAGGCCAGACTCTGCTGAGGTTGGGAGGTGGGGCGTGGAGCCAGATAGGGGCCTGTCACCCCTTTCCCATTGCCCCCTCCCTACCTGCTGTTGGCAGCAGGACTTTTGGCGCTCCCTGCATTCCCTCCGAGTCATCGCCCTGACCCCTGCTACCCCCAAGTGTGCTTGGCAAAGGGATCTGTACCCCTGAGGTCAGGTGCCAGCTGCCTGCAAAGGCCTCTGTGGGCAGCGGGGCGAGGGAGGTGCCGGCTGGCCCACGTGCTGTCCCTGGCCCTGCGCTCCTCTCGGGACGGCGCTGTCGCTGCAGCCTCTTGGCTGTGGTAAATGTGCAGTGACTCTCAGGGTGCTGATGGCCTTTGTCCAGTACACTGGGGGGAGGCCGATGGCTGGGCAGACCTTACCTGGGGCGCTGCAACTGGACCCTTCCAGGCCCCTCCCGATCGCCCGCCTCCTGCCTCCAGCTCAGCGTGCCTTCCTGCCGTGGCCTCTCCCGGCCCCAGGGACAGTAGAGGGCGAGGCCCCACGCAAGCGTGTGCACGTGAGCACTGGGGGCGCTGGAACCGGGGAGACACAGTGTCAGGGATGTGGGCAGGGCCCTAGCGAGACCTTGGCTGGTTTCATAGACACACGGGGGAAGCAGACAGGGCCGAGCGCTGTGTCAGACTCTGTGCCGGGTTTTTCACAGCACACTTGAACCCCCTCACTCCCTGCCCCGTCACCCCCACCGATGTTCTGTATGGGCCTGTTTTCGCTGGAGAGGATGCAGAGCCGGCACCCGCTTTGCCTGAGGCACACGCTGGTGGTCGTGCATGGGTTTGCACTTAGGCTCCCCAGCCAGGCGGAGAGGACGGAGGGCGCCCCCAGAGTCCCCTCGGGCCAGCGCTTTCTGGGGTCCACGAAGATCTCCTGCCAGGCCTCTTCCTTCTCTCGCCCCTGGACCCATCCCTGAGGCAGTGGGGTGGGGTGAGACCTCAGACACCCTGAGGGTGACCTCGCTCCCATCTGCAGGGAAGAAGGCCCTGCTGGATTCCAGCCCCTTCCTGTCCGAGGCGAACGCGGAGCGCATCGTGAGCACACTGTGCAAGGTGCGCGGGGCAGCGCTCAAACTGGGCCAGATGCTGAGCATCCAGGGTGAGTGGGGCTGGTGGCGCCCCTGGGCCCCTGCCAGGCAGGGACTGCGGGGAGGGGGCAGCTGCCAGGGCATGGGGAGGGGAGGTTTTCTGGAGGGTTTCTGTCCACTGGCTCCTCATGCTTGAATCCTGGCTGCGCGCAGTCTGGGGTGTTTCAAAATCGTTTCTGAAATAGAAACCCACAGTGGGTTTTTTGTGTTTTTTTGGGGGGGTGGTATTTTAAGCCATCCACCTCTGGATGAAGCCAGAGGTGGTTCTGGCTTCTCAAGGTTGGCAGGAGTCCTGCTGCTCCCCCCACCCAACATGGTGAGAGGGTGCTGGTGGGGAGCTCACAGGCCTGCCCTCTGTGGCCCTGTGGGCAGGGGGTGGGGGCCCCGTGGAGGGGAGGCAGTGGCTGAGGAGGAGGCTGGCTCAGTGTGGCCCCAAGAGCAGAGCTGGGTTTTGGGGAGCCTCTAGGCTTCCCGTAGTGCCCCCAGAGAGCGCAGTGAGAGCGTTTCCCACAGGCAGTGGGGGCAGTGGTGGGGGGGGGCGGGTGCTGACCTGCCCAGTATGAGAAGGGGCAGCACTCAGGGCTGGGGGTGCAGGCGTGTTGGCACTGCGGCCGGCAGGCCCTCTGACAGGTGGGCTGCGTGTGTCTGAGGTCCTTTGATGCTCAGACCCCCGACACCAGGACCTCCACGTCCAGGGACCTGTCTTAAAGGGGTGCCGGGAGCACGCGCGTGCTTAGCAGCCTCTCCCGGGCCCTCGCGGTGGAGGTGCTCAGCGCAGGGAGCACCCGGCGGGGATTCTGGGTGGCACGTCCAGCGCCCTCTAACCACGCCACTTCGCGATTCTGCCACGTAGAGTGCTCCCCGGAGACACTGAGGAAGTTTCCACCCAGGAGGACTGCAGTTATGAAAAATCCATAGAAGAAAGTTAGAAAAAAATAGCGTCTGTGGCTAGATGACGGCTGCCTTGAACACTGTGCTCTGCCTTACTTCCTAACGTTGTCTTTTTTATCAGCCTATGAAGCTGTCCCTATTATTTCTAAGAAACCCACCTCCTTGGGCCACCCTGATCCGAGAGCCATGCACACACGCCCCCCGAGGAGCAGACCCTCCCCCCGGGGCTCTCGGCGGGACCCAGCATGACGGCGGGTGGGGGGTGCGTCGACGGCCTTGGCCTGCACGGATCCAGGTCAGCGACCTTGTGTCCTCTCTGGACCCTGTCCCCAGCGCGAGGGGCCTCTGTGCCAGGTGGGAAAATGCCCCTGTTCTCGGAGGACTCCAGCTGTGCTGGCTGGGCCCGGGCCTTGTCCCTGAGCCTCGGGTTGCAGCGTGTGGAAGGCAGAGCAGCGTCGCCGCCCTCCCAGGAGCGGCTCTGCGGCCGGTGATTGTTGTGGCTGTTCCCTTCTTGGGGGGCTCCCTCCCCTAAGGGGTTAGCCCTCTGCTCTCCTGCCTTCCAGATGACGCTTTCATCAACCCCCACCTGGCCAAGATCTTCGAGCGGGTGAGGCAGAGCGCCGACTTCATGCCGCTGAAACAGATGACGGTGAGGCGGCGGCGCCCTCCTGGCCCCGCAGATTGGGGGTTGGGTGGCGGCTGCGCAGGGGCCAGGCTGTGCTCACAGCCCCTCCCGGCCTCTCCTTCCAGAAAACTCTCAACAACGACCTGGGCCCCAACTGGAGGGACAAGCTGGAGTACTTTGAGGAGCGGCCGTTTGCTGCAGCCTCCATCGGGCAGGTGCACTTGGCCCGCATGAAGGGCGGCCGCGAGGTGGCCATGAAGATTCAGGTAGGCGCCTGCGTGCGCGGCTCCACGGCGGGCTGCAGAGGGCAGGGCCAGGCCCTGTGGGGTGGGCAGGTCGCCAGGGGCAGGGCCCACGCCTGCGTTCGGGAGCCTCGTCAGCTGTGGGCGCTGGAGAGTTCGGGGGGTCCTCACTCGCCTCCTGGCTTCCTGGAAGCTGCAGCTTTCAGTGGCCCGACGGTAGTGAAGGCAAGTGAAGGCAGGGTCTCAATAGCACGGTTTGTTCAGCGTTGGTTGGGGTTTTTCTCGTTATGAGGAACAGGCATTATTTGAGGCCCTGCTGTCTGTGCTGAGGGACAAGGGAGGTGCAGCAGCCTCCCCACAAGCTTGCTTTGGGTGGTCCAGGGACGGGCGAGTGCTTGTTGTGAGGGATGTGGGCCCTGAGTGGGGCAGCTGGGCGTGGGGTTGGGGGAGGTGGACGGTGGAGAAAGCGGTCTTGGCACTGACTCTCTTAAGGAGCCGGGTCTGGGAAGCTGATGGGTGGTGGGGAGCAGGGGCCCCTATAAGGGTCCTGCCTTGTCTGCCCGGGATGCCCCCTGTTTCCCCCCTGCAGTACCCTGGTGTGGCCCAGAGCATCAGCAGTGATGTCAACAACCTCATGGCCGTGCTGAACATGAGCAACGTGCTCCCGGAAGGTCTGAGCAGGCTGCTGGTCAAGGGCAGGCATTTGGGACGGGCCCCGGGGACCCAAGGGAGGCCTCCTTGTGGAAGCCCCGGCCCACCCTGATGCCCTCCTCCCTGGCCCAGGCCTGTTCCCCGAGCATCTGATCGATGTGCTGAGGCGGGAGCTGGCCCTGGAGTGCGACTACCAGCGAGAGGCCGCCTGTGCCCGCAAGTTCAGGTGCCGCTCTGCGCTGGCCCGAGGCTGGGCAGCTGGGCACCGGCCCGTTGCCTGTCCTTCTCAGCAGGGGGATGGAGGGTTCTCTGGGCCGCCCGTGTGTGTGTGTGTGTGTGTGTGTGTGTGTGTGTGTGTGTGGCCCTGACTGAGAGGCTTATGGCTGTGGTTGGCTTGGGGCGGTGGCCACATCCTGTCCAGTGCCCGGTAGACTGTCCCTTTGCTCTGTGTCGTTCCCAAGGTGGGGGTGGGGTCTGTACTGGGTGTGACCTCCCACCTCTGCCAGGGAGCTGCTGAAGGACCACCCCTTCTTCTATGTGCCTGAGATCGTGGATGAGCTCTGCAGCCCCCATGTGCTGACCACAGAGCTGATTTCGGGCTTCCCCCTGGACCAGGCGGAGGACCTGAGCCAGGAGATCCGCAATGAGGTGCGTCTGGCAGGCCTGGAGACGCTGCCTGTGAGGTGGTTCTGGCACTGGGGCCAGCGGGGAGGAAGGACACGAGAGGGCGGCTCCGCGTCCCACCAGATGGCTCCCTGGGAATTGACAAGCATCCTCTGGGTGCGTGGCGGGGGCGCGGGGGAAGATGAAGAGAACAGGGGTCCGTCTTCCCTGGCCCCAGACTCACACCAGGTGCCTGGCACTGCTGTGACTGCCCCCACCCCCCGCCTGCCCACCCCAGATCTGCTACAACATCCTGGTCCTGTGCCTGCGGGAGCTGTTCGAGTTCCACTTCATGCAGACGGACCCCAACTGGTCCAACTTCTTTTATGACCCTCAGCTGCACAAGGTGAGCCCTGGGGAGGCGGCACGCAGTGTGTGCCGAGAGCTTTGTTGGAGAAGGTTGGTGAAGCCCCTAAGGTAGGTTCTGAGATCTGGGGGTCCCCACCCCTGTTGTGCCCTCCTTCCTGCCCCCTATTCTCACCAAGGACCCCCAGCGCTGACCGCCCCTGGTATTGCCCATTCCCAGGTGGCTCTTCTGGACTTCGGGGCATCTCGGGAATTTGACAGATCATTCACCGACCTGTACATTCAGGTAGGGGCGAGGGGCGGCCTGGCCTCGCCATGCTTTCCTGCGCCCGGAGGGGAGGGAGGCTGATCGGGCTCGTGACCTCATGTGCCTGCCTGTCCTCAGCGTCGGGGCCAGTGCAGGCCACCACCGTCTGGCGCCCAGCGCTGGTGGCCCGAGGGAGAGGAGGGCAGGATGGGAGTGGGGCTGGTTGGCAGTGGCAGTGGGCAGGGAAGGGGCAGGTGGTGGCGCCCAGGCCCTCAGTGCCTTTGTGCGTATCCTCCTGTGCCTCCGTCAGATCATCAGGGCCGCTGCGGACAGGGACAGGGAAGCAGTGCTGAAGAAATCCATAGAGATGAAGTTCCTCACTGGCTACGAGGTCAAGGTGAGCACCCCTGGACGCTGGGGCTCCCCAGGGCTGGCAGATGCAGGCAGTCTGGGGGGGCCAGCGTCCCTGCTTGTGGGGCGGGTGCCTGTGGACTGCTTTTCCCTTTGAAATCTTCCCCGTGGCGCCCTGGTTTATAACTGGATGAACTCAGGTCGTGGAGGCCGGAGGTTGCCAGAACGCCAGGGCTGGGGGGCAGAGGGTTGGGCCTGGTGGTGAATGAAGCCTGTCTGGCTGCTGAGATTTGTCACTGGACTGGACTGGACTGGCGCTTTGGTGAGGGAGGTGGTGGGCAGACCCCAGCTCTCACTTCTCTGGCCTTCGTGGGGGAAGGGTGGGGAACACCCGAGAGCTCTCCTGACCCCCAGAAGCCTCAGAAAGGTCCTCCGCTAGGATCATTAGCTTCTCCGCTGCCTCAGACTGCTGACCCAAGTGTTCCTCAAGACTAATGTGAGCCGCCCTCAGGCAGGGTTCACACTGGGTTCTGCCACAGGCCCCCACCCCTTTTGTCTCCGGAGCCGGAGCCGAGCTCACTGTCAGTGCTGCTTTCCTGACCCCTCCTGGTTTGCGTTTACGGGCCACTTCCCCCTCTCTGAGTTGAAGATGCCGCCTGGCCCTGTCCTGCCTTTCAAATCAGAGCTCAGGGCCGGCTGTGGGCCAAACCCCAGGCTGTGGGCGCTCTCGAATCTTGTCACCTTTCCCCTGCCTCCAGGCCATGGAGGACGCCCACTTGGATGCCATCCTCATCCTGGGCGAGGCCTTTGCCTCTGAGGAGCCCTTTGACTTCGGCACCCAGAGCACCACCGAGAAGATCCACAACCTGATCCCCATCATGCTGAAGCACCGCCTCATCCCTCCTCCCGAGGAGACCTACTCCCTGCACAGGAAGATGGGGGGCTCCTTCCTCATCTGCTCCAAGCTGAAGGCCCGGTTCCCCTGTAAAGCCATGTTCGAGGAGGCCTATAGCAACTACTGCCGCAGGCAGGCGGAGCAGCAGTAGCCTGGGCTTCGCCGCGGAAACCTCCCTCCGCAGACGCAGACGCGAGCTCCTGGAGGTGGGGCCCAGAGGCGCCTGCTGAACTCCTGCGCCGCTGGAGGGTGGCTGCCCGGAGGGCAGGGGAGGCTGCTGGGCCCCACTGCCAGGCGCGTACTGGGTGTTTATTGCTGGGTGGGTGTGGGCTGAGAAGGCCGGGAATGAAAAGGACACCCAGCCACGTTGTCATGATCTGCTGCTTCAGGCGTCCTGAACTCACGCTAGAGAAAAAGGCAATATTAGTTTCTTTTTGTAATAGGGTTTCTTCCCCTAATGTGAACGTTGACTTTACCAAAAGATGAGCTAGACACTTGGAAAACCCGCCACCAAAGAAACAAAACCAAAAAAAAAAAAAAAAAAAAAAACCCCAAAAAAACCCAACAGAGCTTTTTTTGGACTTTATTGACGATGTTGTAGAAGACGTGTGTGTGTGTTTCTAGAATGAGATTTGCGGTTTCTGCCCTTTTCCTTTCCAGCCTGTGGTCTGGAACTGGGAGAAGTGCTGCTCCGAGCAGTGCCAACAAGTACTATTGAACCAGGGGAAGCTTTTTTGACAAAGGGAAGGTTCCAGAGAACTGCCGCATGCCATGGGCAGGTCAGGAGCAGAAATGGAGAAAGCCAGGCGGCTCTCCTCGCTGCAAGGTGTGTGTGAGCGGCCTTCCCGCTCCAGGCTCAGGCCTTTGTGGAGGGAGAGGAACGGGCAGGTAGTTAGCTCTGTTAATTTTTGTACAATTCTTGTAATTGTCTGATTTATTTGTTAAATTAAAAACAAACCAACCAACCTACCTCCCGGCATTGCAGTGATCATTCTTCCGCTTGTAAAGGGGCGGTCAGGTCACGTCCACGTCCGGCCTCCACACGCTGCTGAAGAAGCTGCGCCTGTTCCCGGCACGAGGCTCGAGGCTTTTGGTGCCAAACCTGGGAGACGCAGGCATATTTGTCGTCCGAGGGGGGCGGGGGAGCGACAGGGCAAGAGGGGACAACCGCGTGTCACCTGGGGTGCACCCAGGGCCACGTGCCCATGTGGGAAATCCACAGCTGCTCAGGAAGCCGCAAGGAGACAGACCAGTGTAACGCCTGGCAGCACAGTGGGTGCCCGGCCAGTGAGGCACTTCTTGAAATGGGGCTTTTCCTGGAGTGAACTTGATTCCTAGGGGGGACCCTTCTAGCCTGCGAGCCTGGGAAAGTGAGCAGGCAGTGCCTCTGGCAGACTGAGGGCTCCAAAATAGGTTCTCACAGTGGTTTTTTAGGGGTTGCTAAAATCTGTAAGATTTTAGGACTAACAGGAACAGACCTGCCGGAAGTTGCGACGGAGGGAGAGGTCTGGGTGGGGGGGCTCCAGGAGAGGCGCTGGGACCTCTGAGGCCCAGCATCCGCTCTCCCTTGTCAGCTTTTGTGGCCCTTACACAGGCTGTAGTCATGTGTGACTCGACACATTGTGTCCTGTGGTTACGGACGCCCCTCAGTGGACATTTCACAGATGAGGCGGATCAGGGTAAGTGGCCGGCCTGGCGCCGTGCGCATTAGAACCAGGCCGTGGACAGAGGCCTCTGGCCCATGGTCCATCACTTCAGCCTAACTCAAGGGCTGGCAAACCACGGTCCGTGGGCCCACCCTGCCGCTGTCGCTGCAGCTGTAGATGAGATCCACGACCAGTCATTTATGTGTCCTCCAAGGTGGTGCCGAGCTACAGGGCAGACTCGAGTAGCTGCAACAGAGACCGTGCGTGGCCTGCAGTGCTGACCGTGTCTGTTTACTGGACCTTTATCAAGGCCTTTGGGAAGCCCGCTCACCGCTGCTTCTAAAGCACATGCGTTTTAAGGAACCAACACATCAGTAAGAGAAATGTCAGTTATCTGTGAAGTGGAAACAGGAAGGCGGTCTCAGAACAATGATTTAGCGGAAGCCAGTTTAGCATTTCCTTTGGTCTTTCCAGCATGTCCTTAGATGTCATTGGAACGTGAAAAGCGGAGCACTAACTCGTGTTTGAAGCATCTTCCCACTGCTCCTCTACAATAAGTAGCCAAAATCGAACGGCCCCGTGTGTGTAGGCGGGAGGTGACAAATGGGGAAGGAGACCGGGCAGTGGCGGGCTCCTCAGGGCAGCCGGCTCAGCGCACGGCCCCCGAAGCCCCCACAGGTGGAGCTGCCTTGCAGACTAAAATGAATACGAGAGGTTTGACCAGAGACGGGAGCTGAGAGCTTCCAGACACTTGAACACTATTCTCTGAGCTCTGGAAGTAACTATCAAAACCCTCCATAAACCAACCCATGTCCGGTGTGGTGGGAGGAAGGGCTGGATGAAGAGGGGGGGCTGGCAGAAAGGACCCAATAAGAAAAGTCACCCTTTCTCCATTCCTCAGACTTTTTCATCAGAGGTGGGGAAAAAAGGACAAAACACTCAATTCTAACAGTCCCCTGTTTTATTGCAATACATCAAAGTCTGGTTAATATTAAGTGATACCAACATAAAACATTGGCGAGGAGTCTTGTTATATTTTTGACTATCCCACCTTAAATATTTCTGTGCAAAAGAATCCACATCGTTGTTTGGTAGCAGAGAATCTTTTATAAAGTTCCCTAAAACACAGAGGGCATAAACCAAACAAAATGAAATAAGGAGTGATAAGAGGCCAAAGCAGTATCTTTTCCTCTTCCACACACACGTGTGTCAGCATTATATTCTAAACAAAAAAAAATGATTACACCTAGGCCATGCAAAACTGTACAATATTACAATGAGAAAAAAAACCCTAAAAAATTTATAAAATAAAATATCACACTATCAAATGAAAAGCAGGTGATTTTGTTTTCATGAAACTTCAAGGTTGATTTGCTTTAGTCAATTTCCCCCATAAATGAAAAGGTTTCTTGTGTGTAATGGTTGTCCCTGGGAAGGAAAAGTGGTGTCCGGCCTGCAGATCAGTGCTGGGATCGGAGACAGAGCTGCAGCGGAAGCAAGGCCCTCATGTCGCTGGACTGAAGAAAACTCTGAACTTGAATGATAATTATGGTCATAACGAGGAAACAGGTTCTAAGGTAGACTCCGTGAAATGCCATGTGGCGTATCAAATTCAGGGGCTGGGCCAGGGAGTGGGGGGGTGACTTCCTGTTTGTGCCTAGTGGACGAGGACAGGGCCAAGTCCGGCCACAGCTGAGCGCGCCCCTCTGTTCAGAAAGGATGGTGGGCTTTACCCGGCCCTGTCAGGGGAGAGACCGCTGTTGTCACTGTCAGAGGCTGGCAACTGGCCCTGTTGTCTCCGGGGGCCGGGGCTGTTCAGCCACCCCTGCTCTGACATTTCTGTAATGATACCTGAGTCCAGGTAAGTGCAGCCGGCCTTTCACAGCAGAGGCAGCCACCGTGTCACCCGGTGGCGTGGGGCCTTAACACGGAAGGTAGAGAGGCTGAGTCAGCCGGGGGATGACAGGTTGTGGCCGGCAACTTGGCCTGGCCCTTTTTAATTGGAGCTCATAGCCTTAAAACTGCTCCCTGGTAAAGAACACAAATCACTGTGTGTGCGCGCGTGTGCACGTGTACACCTGCACACACATAATTGAAGAAATAAAATCGGCTTTAGTAATCATTTGACCAGAAGGCAGGCTTGTTTTTTGGCAAAATGAAATATTATTTTAGCTCCCCAAAGCACATGACTAGAGGAAATCAGAATTTAGGGCTAGACAGAAATTGGCTGGACATAGATAGCACCAAATACCAACACAGACGGACGATGCCAGAAAGGCCTCGTCACCTGTTTTTCTTGTCTACCGAGAATGGGCCCCTGCTGTGTCCTGTACAGAACAGAGAGAGACTCCCCACAGCAATTTGCCTTTTTTGTGATAGTCACGACCCCTTCAACAGGTGAGGATGTTTCCTGCTTCCCTGGAACCCGTTCCCTGTCTTTCAAATCATTTTTCTCAGAAGCTTCTGAAGGTAACTGGCTTCATATTTAAAGGTAAGCCCTGGATGGTCATCACTGTGGGAAAACTACCCCCTCAAGTATTGCCCTCGGCAGCATTTCTCCCCCAAGTCCTGCTGATAGAATCGAACCACATTTGGGACTGCCGCGCGAGGACTGGTAAGACCACTTGAGATTGTGGGGAGATGCCAGAAAGCGCTGAGGTACAAGCCGCCGGATCAGGGTGGCGGCCAGGCCGCGTTGCTTGTCCCTCCCTCTGCGCTGCAGGGAGGCTGGCGCACCGCTGTGGAGCCCAGGCTTCAGCTGGCTACATCTTCTGCCTAAAAGCAACCTTTTCAAGATAAGCACCTATGGGCGACAGAAATCCATACTTGGCTGTCGAAGCTACACTCTACGAGTGAAGCGTCCTGTGAGCCTCACCTGGCGTGGCCTTCTCTCCGCCTGGGACCAGAAGGGAGGGGAGGGGAGGGGAGGCAGGAGCAGGAGCGGGGGAGGCGGGGTTGGTCACAGACTCAGGGGCGCTGGCTGACTGGCTCTTCGACAGGCCCCACATGTAAGGAGTTGCCAGCATCACAGGGCACTAGCAGCGGTCAAGGCCCACCCTCGGTATCTGCACGCACGAAAGGAATCTTACGTGACGCTTCTTTTCCAAAAAGGCTTAGGTCCGAATTGTGCAGCAACTATGCCCACCCAAAGTGTTCAAACACAATCAAATCTGAGCAAGTACCCTGAGTGCAGAATATTTAAATACTGAAGACCTTTTGCCACATGATCCCCAGGCAAGGTCCGTTCTGCCCTCGCTGCCTGTCAGCACGTTCGCCCCAGAAGACGGAGTCTGGGCCCGGCTCACCTGCTGAGGGCAGGCCCGGGAGCGGGGAGAAGGCAGCTCTGGTGCTGATTCACACCAGCAACTGCAGGAAAACGCTTCCATTTTAGAGAGGAGAAAACCCTGTTTCTATTTCTCAGAAAATTTAGATGAAAATCGAAAGAGGCAGATTCTCTTTACTTTCATGAGATATTTTTATTCCCTTTCTCTTTTTAAAAAATTCTTTCTCCGCTCAGGCTCACCTGGTGAAATGACTCAGGCCTGGTTCTGTATCTCATTTCCACGGGGGAATTAAAACAGCGGGAGTCAAATGAAAAGGTAACTAACAACGTAATGCAGCCAGCGAGGGGCGCGCTCATCAGGCCGCGCTGGGCTAACTTCCTGCCTCTGACGGGGGCTGAACATGGGCGAGGATTTGGTTACGGATATTCAAGTCCTTGCATTCGGGGTTTTAGCGTGTTTAGTAATTAAAGACTTTTCCCCAGGCTTTATCCAGGAAGCTCACACCCTCCCTCAAGAGACTCCTTCCTCAAAAGCCAGTCTGCCGGGGACAGAACCTCACTGCAGCTCGGGGAGGGAAGGCATTAGCCTAGGAAAGAAGCCCTTTGATGAACCATTTTATGGGCCTGAGGAGCCACAACTCTGCTGGTGTCCTTTCAGATGGGCGGGAACAGAGGGTGACAGAACTGCATTCTACATTCATCTGCAGAGCTACCAAAAAACATGTAACACAAAATGAGAACGTGGTTCAAATTCTACTACTAGAAAAAGAAATGTCTTGGCTGGAGGTGACTTTGCCTTTTGATGACACTGAAAAGGCTTCAAATGTGACAAGCCTGGTGCCCAGTTCACGCTCCTGACAACGAAACCTGTCCCTGAAGGTTTTCCTAAAGCCCCGGGTAGTAACTGTGACCGTTGACGGCCCGAGCACACGGCACTGAAGGGAACTCTGCTTTCTCCTGCTCTCCCTCTCCAAGTGTCAGCTTGAGGCCTTCCTACTCTTTAAATTACTTAGCAGGAAAACAGACAAGAAACAACACATTTCTTTAAATTAAATCATCTCTCTCTCATATATGCATCCCTCTTTCCTTGAATACAAGATGCTTCTTTTTTACTATATACATTCAGTATTTAACCTCTACATTTGTGTATTTATTTAAACTCCATATTGTAGTAAAATATGCACTGTTTTAATTAATAAGGGTGTGGGGTGTACTGGCGACGATGAGGTGGACATTCACTGTGGGTGCTGCTTGAGAGCTGGGGGGCCCCTCCAGGAGGCTGGACGGCGCTCGCCCCGGGCATGAGAGACGCTACAGTGAGAACAGCCTAATCTTATCTTACCGCTTACACCTGTGGGATCTGTTGACTGACGCTACCTGGGGGGTGGGGGGGTAAAATATATGGAAAGCAACTCTAAGTGTATGAAATGGAGTCAATCTTCATCTAAGCTGCTTCATGACGTCTGCCTCGACGGCTGCAGCTGTTACGTTGAGGGGCTGTGGGGTCCGCGAGTCATGTTGTCAGAGGCCCCGAGCCCCTGCCCCGCGACTGCTGCCAGCCCCGGGGCCCCAGGCAGAGGTGGAGGGACAGGTGAACGTGAGAGATGAGGTGGGGTGGGGGGCGCCGGGAGGGAAGCTGCTCTGTGCGGGTCTGAGCGCTCAGCATTCACGGATCCCAGCTCCCACGATCCGCGCTCTCCAACGACAGGCTCTTGGTCTTCTGGGGAGACACCGGGCTGGGGGGGCTGCTCAGGTTGGAGCTGTTGGAGGCTGTGGAATGCCTCGGAGAATCAGAGTCCTGGAAGGGCCAAAGGCAGCGACCGATGAGAAGCAGAGGGCGGAAGGGCTCAGCTTCCCCGGGCCCCGGCATGCTCCCCGTCACCCGTGACAGAGCCATGTCTCCCCTGCCGAGGAGACAAACACTCTTCCCTTGCTGAGCTGAACAAATCTTGATTTATACATTTAGCTAACACCTTGCTTTTCCTTGCATTCTGAGGAAAAAAGGCCTCACTGCACAGAAACTTGAAGACAAAGCCAAACACAGAACCGCAAAGACATCAGAGTTGCTGACCACCAGCTGAGGTGAAAACCAGCCGATGACAACCAAGTCAGCACACACTTGTGTTACAAGAATGGAGGTGCTGACCGCACCCGCTCCCCCTTTCATGTCCTTGGAATTCTAGTTACTGCCCCTCAGCCCCGCCAGTAAACAGGATGGTATCCTTTTGGGCTCCAGTCTGCTACGCTCATTTCTTGTCAGTTAAATGGAAGTACTTCCCTTCTCCTCAAAACTCTGTTCTTATTGATGAAGGGGAACTGAGGCCCCCCAATTCTGGGATTGCCTGATGCGGCTGTTTTCTAAGCTACACAAGAGGCACAGAATATAACAAATGCTCACAGTCCTTTCTTTAGGCCTTTAAAAATGCTGCTCATTTTTACACAGAGGTGACTTGAAGTCTGAACATCTCCAGAAAAATTACAATTTGTCACCCAAGTGAGTGCTGCTCCACCCCAGAGTGGATGGGTAAGCCCTGCTGACGCTGGAATCACTGGTAAATGCACTTGTCTTTTCAACGCAGGATTCTCCCCAGCCCGGCCTGCAGGGATAGTGCTGACCCGCGCTCCGCTCACCTCTCCGTCATAGTCCCTGGCCGGCGCGTCGCTTCCCTGGTCCATGCCTCCAGAAGATAATGAGCCCTCTGATGGGGAGGGCATGGGCTGTCGCTTGGCGCTGTAGCTTCCTCCAGAGAGCTCCCTCTTCAACGCACTGCCATTCTGTGCGGACGACCCTGCAGTACATCGTTCAGGTCAAACTTCATGTACGTAGAAGGGACGATCCTTTAGAAAGTGCAGACGGCTGCGATGGCATGCCACCCTTCCTGTCATGCGTCAGGCTCTGGAAGGGCCTGTGCTTCTTGTGCAGACTGACATTATGGTCCCTATTTCTTTGTCACTCTGGCTGACTGTCCCTCTGGAAACTTTTCACATGAGCTGGGCTATTCTAGGGCTCAGTAGGAGGCACTGTCAAGAGCAGATGCCCCTTGGAATTCCTAGGCTGGACTTCCTTTTACCTCTATTCATACATCACGCAACTAAGCATCTCAGGAAGCCTATACTTGATGATTGCATCAGGAACCTTGACAGAACTGGGAGCTCCATTCTGTGGACTGCATATTGGCTGACTTGGCCCTTTAAGTCTTTGCATTACAGATCCTATTCTTCATTCACGTAATTCTACAAGTCCCAAAGCCCTGAAAACCAGTATTTTTTTCATAAGTTTGATGTAATTTCATGTGGTGGCAAAATCTAATCTGAACTAATCGGTGGCTGATTATTTAAAATGACATTTACTTATATATTTATGCTATGACTAGTCACAAATTTTGCTGCACAAATGTTAGTGTGTTTGCAGGTGCTGTCCCAGATCTTATAGGGAATATAACACGATATATGGTAAAAATCACTTCTGAAATATATATTTAAAAATTCTGAGTTCTGAAAACAAAAACAATATCTGGCCCTAAGGGTTTTGGATGAGGGTTTATAACTGATACCTTGCAAACTCAAATCTTGATAACACATGGTTAGTTATAACTTTAATCTATTATCTTAATCCCTCACCATTTCTTAAAAGGTAATAAAATGGTTGTCATTTTCCCAGCTAGCTAGATTTTTTCACAGTCAGGGTTACACACCGACTAGAAATGACTTTAGGACACAATGTCAAGAAAGTCTCAAGTCACACGCTTCAACTTCTACTTATCCACTGGAAACTCCCTGAAAGCTGTGCTCTGACTATAGCGCACCCTCCCGTGTTGTACTATTATTTAAAAAAAATTTAAATAACACAATTATTAATTATGTTTATGAATGATAAATAATCAAATTCATCTCACCCTTGCCTACAGGACTCTGATCATGACTCTGTAACAACACTGACCTTTTTCAAACATAACTCCACCCGAGGGGTGCCATGTGATTTTCCTAATTATTCTGACTATGAATTCATCCTATATGCTATTTTTTCCCTGCAGAGCATTTATCATCACAATTTGCCATACTGTATGCCTGTCGGCTGCATGGGCTGTAAGTTCTGAAGGAACTGCATTACTCTTTTCTTAAATGTGGGCACTGAGCCCAGGAGGCATTATCCCACAGGTCCAAGATACTGCAGGCCATGCCTGGGTGCACTGTAAGTGGGTGAGGGAACAGCATGTCAGCCTGCAGGGTGTGCAGAGGCAGCTGGTGCACCCTCACTATGCAAGCCCACTTACTTGCTGAGAGGCCACTGCTCGCGCTCATGGAGCGCCCGGGCTCAGGGCGGGACTTGGTGATGGACGGAATACTGACTGAGCCGCTGAATACTGCCCGGCTTTCCTGAGGCCTTGGGTTCTAAAAACAATTGAGAAAGAGAAATTCTTCAGCCAAAGAGAAACTGATTTTGTACGAGAGGTTTATTTTTCATTTCAATTTCAAGAAATCAAAGTATCTTCACCAGAGTGATATAGAACAAGAAACAGCTTAATCCCTCCTGCCCACAAACATACTGAAGTTCTAATAGAAGCAACCCTCAACCCCATCAAGGATAAGTACTTATCCTCATACTTACTGAAATACTTATCAACAAGTAAGAATGTTTTTGCTGTGAGAACAGTAAATAAAAGTATTATGGTTAGGAGTGACAGTGAAGTGTGGAATTACATGGACATTTGCAAATTACTGAAACAAAAGTTTTTACTATAGATGAGCTTTTTATTTGCGTAGAAAAACTCAATGGCCAAATAAACATATCTGGAGAAAAGCAGATGCTTTACTGGTGTAACATCGGATGTGCCATCTGCTCATTCATGCCCTCAGTCACAGGCTCCCCTACAGCCTCACACAGAGCAGTACTCTGAGTTTTAAGAATGATGCCTGCAGAATCTAGAAAACTTAAATAAGGGACCAGGAAAATGAATAACTATAAGAAAGTGAAAATCAAAATCAACAAAAAACTATGAACCAGAGACACTTTTAGGGGGGCAGGGGCGGGAGGGGAGGGATTGGGGTCAGAATGGGGGCGCTGCAATTGTATGGGGAATATAACAATAAAATTTATTATCTAATTAAAAAAAAAAAAAAAAAAAAAAAAAGAATGATGCCTGCAACACCACAACCGGAGACAAGAGATTTAATTTGGGAATATTGCTTTGAGAAGTTTCCCACCTAATTATTAAATGATTTTGGTTTCCAAGGTAGGAAAATGATGCACAGAGTGTTTTGAAAGTCAAATGTACTAAAGAGGTGGGTGAGCTTGACCTAAGCTCTCTGAATGTGGCTAAGAACAGAAAGCGCTTGGCGAACCCAAACTTTTCAGACCAGAGGAAGGGATGTCAGGGCTGACACCTAAAAGAAGGTTATGGCAAAGCAACTAATGTAGGGCCAAAATCATAGATCAGGGGAATATGCACTAAGACCACTTGAAAAATTCCAGATCACCCATTGTTTAGAATTACACATACAGCAAGTTGGCTGGTTGGTGCCAAATTCAACTACTGCCATTTTGGTTCGTATATCTTGAATTTGCAAAGTCCATGTAATTATTAGTGTGTTATTTGTTTAAAGCAATGCTTTACCTTTTTATTTCTAAGAAAATAAAAATGCTAGCATTTCCACATCCACGCACACAGGAGCAACCCTGTGAGACAGCAGCGACATGCACAGAATGCAGCGAAGGGAAGTTCAAAAGAGCTGGGAATAGCAGTTTCAACTTTTACATTTTTATTGCTTTTGCTCTAAACTTCAAGATATTTTGGTGTTGTTCTTTTCTATAAAACAAACCTATCTTAGAATAAATGGCAAAAATTAAGCCCATAAAAAGACAACAGTTGTTTAATAGCACTGAATGTTGAGGTAATTAAGGAATAATACATAGATGACTTATAAAAAATACACACCCCCCCCCCCCCAAAAATGAAAAGCCACAAGTTACTCATTCAGCTAAAGTTCAACTTCATTATAAAGTGTTAAGAAACCTAAGTCTCTAGTCCTTTTCATGTACAAGCTTACAAAGTACAAGCTTACAATTAGGGTAAAATGTCCATGGACAGCAGTGCTTCTATTTATAGATGGGTAACTTAAAAAACATTTCTACCATCTTTCTATGAAAAATTCTCGACTGATGAATTTATACAACATTCCTCTGGTATCTACTCCCTGCAATCTGTTTCCAAGTAAACTCAGGCTTACTTTCTCAAAGATAAACTTATTTTGTCAAATAAGAAACTTAAATAATGTATGACTTAATGTCAGTGACATTTAAAACACAATTTGGAATATTTTATAATATATACAAAAATAAACCTCTCATCCTACAGTACGTTTTCTATTGGACTATTACTTCACTACATATGCAAATGATAATCTGAAGCTACTATTTCTCTAAGTCAGCGGACAATGTCTGGAAAACTAGCTTGGGAAAATATTCCCTTGAGGATATAATGAGCATATATTTCTTGATGGAAATAAGGGGATTCAGCTTGGCCACCGGCTCTCTATCCCCTTGCAAAGCCACTGGTAACAGTGATATAGGACAAATGGGAGAGACCAGCAGCCGATGCTGTGGTCTCTCAGCATCGCTGGTGTTTTTTTTCTCTTTGATTTAATTTTCTCATCTTGGATCCTGGTTGGAATTAAAGGCATATTAACAACTCAGAGATAAGTATGACTATCTTCTTGTAATTTTTCCTGTAACTAATAATATTATGCTTTTTATCTTGGAGATTTCTAAATTTTTCAAAAGGGGATTTATTGTAGCTAGAAGAAGGCCTATGACAGGCATTATCACAGACTTTAACTTCACTGAAAATAAAAAATTTCTCTGAATTGAACTGTTTCTAAGGTAGTGAGCTAACAAAAAAAAATCAGAAATTCTGGGATCCCTTTTTTGTTTAACAGAATAAAGACCAAGTCAAGGACTATTTTTTATAATATTCTCTGTAATGGAAAATATCATAGTGGGAAATATATTTTATTAAACATAGAAAACTCCAATACTGTTTTAAAAATAAAATTGAAATTCTCCTCAGTCCTCATCTTTTTCCTCAAAAGAAGAAACAAAATAGAACTTGAACAAAGAGGCGGAAGGGGTGGAATAGAAATCTGGCAAAAGAGAAATAGGCCAAAGGAAAACGTTCACAAAATATATCACCTCAGTGGTGTTACTTATGAAGCCAGGCACAGGAGGTCCGCACATAGTTAGTAAAAGTTAACACCTGACTCAGCTGTTCATACCCTCAGAGTCATAAAGCTTGGTGTACCGGGGACAGAACGAAGAGACGGGGAATATTCAGGGTTTATGGAATCAGGAGAGAGAAATTTTTCAGCAGAATTAACAGTCATGTGATAGATGTGCTCAAAGTTGATCGGAGAGGAGATCAGACCGGAGTGATGATGAGGGGATGGATAAGGGAAACCTGGCTATCAAAACAACAGAAAGAAGAAAAACGGTAATAAGGTGATGAAAATGATTCACTAGTTATTTGTGACATTTCAGATAACATGCATGTAGGAAAAATGAAGTATCTCACATCCGAACTGAATCCTTAATGAAATACTTTTAGATTTTACAACGTCAAATTCTCTAATTCTCTTGCCAGTTACTAGAGTAACTGATTTGTAAAAAGATCATTCACGTTATAAAATCATTCTCATTTGCTACGATCGTCAAGTAAGTGGAAACTGGGCTTTCAGAGACGTACATAGTTTGATTTTAGTTCAGCATTTTCTTATGTGATAGAGTAAAAAAGGGCAAAAATCTAGCAAAACGAATAAAATAGAAAAAGCAAGGCCATATTAAAGGAACAAGTGAACCTACAATCAGCTTCTCACCAGAAGTGTTAGAAACTTTCTTTAGAAACCTAAAACCATCTTCTTATATTTATAGACTCGTGATATGTATTTGCTTTCACTGAACTTATTTTCCTTTTACAGAAACATAACTGTAGTAAATAGTGATTCTGGCTTACCTTTAGGCAGACTAGAGCTTATCTCCATTTAGATACCAAGAACATGTTTGTTTTTTGAACAAGGGGAAAAATCTTCCCTTTACTATTCAGGTGTATTAAAAAAAAAAAAAAGAAGACTGTAATACTAAAGATATAGAAAAAAATTTTTAAGGTTTGTCAGGTAAAGTTAACTTCTGAATATTTGGGAACTGACATTCAGTACCCAGTCATATTCTCTAGGGAATTTTCAAGTTTCAGTTCTTAGAAGAATGACCATGTTCTCAGAAAACATCCCACCATCCCTTCATTAGAGGCAGAGGATAAAAAGACTTGCTGGAGAGAATGTTGACTGAATTTTTGTTCTCGTGAACAGAGATAAACTTGTTTTGTTAAAGACCATTTGAAAAATAATGTAGGCTGAAAAGAAAGCCTCCAATATGGGATATTGCTTTAAATTTAGAGATGGGAGTAAAATCTCAGTACTTTTAAAAGTTATTTCCAAAAAGAAAAAAAACTGGTATAAATGTAATTTTGATTTTTTAAAAATAAAATTCTATCTTAAAGTGCTAAATGTCTTTGTGCTAGGGATTTTATCTTTACTGAAAATTTTAGGAATGGTTAAAAGACCAGGAGAAACACGTAAATGAATCTTTCGGAGTAAAATAATATTCTTGCATTCAATTGGAGACAAATCAAACTTTCATTACCAGTGTTCACTTATGGTAAATCACAAAAAGATTCAGGAAAACTAACATACTATGTGCCATTCAATATTAATGGCTTATACTAGTCTCTTTACTAGTATAAAGACAAACATGAAAGGTTCACATCTGACTAAAGAGATTAAAAAATGATTTCCTACTCTCACTATGCCTTCCATGTTCATGAAGCAAACAACCCTATTTCAGTATCACTCTGGTAAAAAGGATACAGAATTAAGTTTCCAAAGACAGGCAATAAATTCTGTAAACTTGTAAGTATTTAAGGGAAAAGCAATACTGATTTTATAAGTTCAAATATAACAATGGGGAACATGCTCTTTGCATAGGTGACAACATATAGCTTAGGTATTTGAAAGCTTTTCTTATACATGTTAATGTTAGATGAACTTAATTCTTTTTAATTTTTTGAAATAGTTCATTAAATATAGACAATTTTACTGCAGTGGAAAGAACATTAAAATCTGAGAATATCTTAAAATATCACATATATATATTTATATACACACACACACAGATGCAGACATGCATATTATTGTGCTGTTTGCCAGTGTCTATCTACCCCAAGACAAGCATGGTTCTGTGCAGATGTCTCAGGAAATACTTGTTAGGTGACTGAATGAATGAATACCAATGAAAACCACCAGTTTTTATGTTCTTTGCTAGTGAAAGGAAGAAAGTGAGGCAGAAATAAAGTAAGGCTGTGAAGAAGAAGAATTCAGACATATAAAATCTTTGATGCAATATTACAGGGATAGGTGAGGAACAGGTTTCTTTTTTTTTTTTTTTTTTTATTTATTTATTTTATTATTATTATTATTTTTTTTTTTTTTTAAATAGAGGCATGTTTTATTTATTTATTTGTTTGTTTTTGTCTACACATGCACTGGGTACAGTCAGAAGCACGGGAGGGTGAGAGAATTCACCAGAGCCAGAGCGGGGAGCAGAGCAGGCAGAAGGACCGAAGTACACTGCTGAGGGGAGCAGCAGGCGGCAGGAGAGGTCTGCGCGCCATGTGGGACCCTCCTCCGGTGGCTGGGGAGCAGCTGGGGATCGAACCGGCGCCTCCGAGGCCACGGGCAGCTTCGCAACCCAGCGCTCAACCGCTGCGCCACCGGGGAGGCCCAGGTTTCAAAAATTTATACCAATATCTTGCCTTGGACATACAAAAAACTTACATGATAAAAAAACATGGAAGGGACATTCAAAACTGGACTGCACTGCTAGGGCAAAATGTCACTTGTGTGAATAACAAAGAGAACCAACAGGGCAATCATGGGTTAACAAAATCAAGATTCTGAGGGCAATAAGTTGCCAGCACAGAAGACCAAGTGTCACAGGGTCATGTGAGGGGTGAATCTTTGGGAAACGCTATCTGAACATGGTTTTACTTAGTAAGAAGACTGGGTCTTTTAGAACAAAAAATAAAATAGAGATTTCTTTTTAAGTTGTGGGAGGGTGAGGGAAGAAAAGGTAGAATAAGAAGGAATGCTTTAATATAAAAGTTCTTATAATATTTGAAATTTGACATTTAGCTGTTTTTTTTGGGTGTAAGAAACCCAAGAATACATGAAGGTCTGAAAGAATTCTGGAACATTAGCATTTCATCTGTTGGCAGAAGAATACTTAAACAGAGGAACATTTTATTGAAATTAGTTTACCTCAAGGAAAACATTCTAATTATGTGGAATGTAACAGAATTTATAGAAGAAATTTTCTATAATTTTTCTTGCTATAATGTTGGAATATATGAGATGAAAACTACACATATATGTATTTGTGTCCCAATGTGAAGCTAAAGTGAAAGAAATTTTAATTTTAAAAAGGTAACACACATTAAAATCTTATTAACTACTCAAGTGATTTGATGTTTGCTGACATGTTGCTTTGCAACCTACGTAAGCACTTCAAGTCTGTATCCCTCTATCCCTCCATGATGATACACATAATCATGTGCTGAAAAACTATTAAACTGTTTAGCATAATTAAAAATATCTCTCTTAAGGCACTCTGTACCTCACATGTTTCTGACACACAACTTCCATAAGAAAATTTGGACTATACAATTATATTATGTTTACTTCTGAAAATAGTCAAACCAACTGCAAAAGCTGAAAAAATAGTATAGTTTTTAAATATGGTAACAGTTTAAGAGCCTTAAACTTTTTACTTAGTTTTAATATATCAAAACCAGCGGTAATCTTTTTTGTATATTTTATATTTACCAACCACAAATAATAAAAATTCCCACTCTAAAAGGATAAATGATGATTGCCAATGATTCAAAACCACTTAATAATGTCTTGATGATAATGGAAAAATGATGACCATAGAATGTCACATTCACTCACAAACAAGCAGGCCCAACTGTTATTGGACATGGGATCTTTAGAATGAGGAGTTCAAACTCAAATGTGATTTTTTTTTTGTTCCTCCCTAAAAATATATGTGAACTACTTGAAAGCTTAACTTTTTAATCAAAAGAAAACAAACTTGACTGCACATCAAGCCAAACACTTGTTGTTTGTTCTGTCAATGATTTATCCCCTATCATAGCAGAGTAAATAATGTGGGACATTTAGAGAGACTCCCTTAGAAACAGTTTTGGATCAAGATTCACTAATCACCTCCCAAATTGCTTTAGTAAAGAATTTATGCTTAAAATTCTGTGAAAAATCTACATGCTATCATGACTACTCAGAAGGATTATATTGAAGGTTTGACAGTTTGTTGAAGGAACTCTGAAATGTTAAGTATAAACAGTTGGATAATTAGCTAGCTCTGTTAACATTCTTAATCTCAAAATCATATAGGTACAATCTTCATGTTAAAAACTGACAGCTCTCCTATGTTGTGTTTTTTAATGTAAGATAGACCAAACAACATGTTTGTAACTGAACAAAGGAAAAAAGATTTAATCTCTCTTTTCAGAGGACAAGTGTGAACATTAATAACCAAGAAAATGTGGTTCTCTAGGGAAAAATAAAAAAGGCTAAATACCTTGTATTGAATTGCTCAAATTTAGAGAAATTTTAATAATCTGGCTATTAAGTTCTGAATCCTGGTATAGATCCTCTACAAATCTGGCAGTTTAGTCCATCAACAATAATGGATCCAGGTATGAGAGAGGTCTATACAGTATGCAATTAAATAAGAATTTGATATGTTTGTTTTCTTGATGTCTAAATTTTGTTTTTCTCATCAAGTATGTCATCATGCATCTTACACATATTGTGATACAATGGATAAACACTTCATCATACCAGCAGACTCTCTTACGTCTATATGTGTATTGAAGTACATGTACATGCAGATACACATACATAAATACATACATTCTCTCCCTCTCCTTCTCCCTCTCCCTCCATCTTGCCCCACTGACCCTTAACTACATTCAACCCATTCATATTCACATTCACTCTTTGTTTCTCTTACCATGGGCAGGTCTTTTAGGATCTGTATTCCATCTCCTGGACCCATGTGTGCTATGTGGTTAAAATTAGTTGGGTTAGAAATTAACTTATTTCTCATTTCTGGATCTCGAAGCATCTCTCTGTAAAATAAAACACCTGTTTAGGAACTTTCCTATGACCAATTTAGATAATTTTGGAGAAAATTAAGCATAATTTTCCATAAAAATAAAACTGTGAAATCATGTTATTCATTTTAGAATAGAATACATTCAATTAAAAATCCTTAAAAGAATAGATTTTGTTTTAAATTTCAAATGAAAGATCTTATGAGTTTTGGTGGGAAAATACAGAGGATTCTCTTAGTACTTAGATGCAGAACTTCTACTTTAGAAATAATTCTGATCATCATATGCATGCCTTTTAAAATAATTAGAAATACTTTAGAAATGTTTTTATATGTAACTGGAAATACTACAAGCCTATTTATTCATGGAGAGAACAGTCAATCTGAAGTTCTTAAGCATGTATAAGTTTAGTCTATACAAAGATACATTCTGTATTTATATTATAGAAAAAGGCTCACGTAAAATTTATAACCATTCCATATACAGAGAAATATATTAATTTTTTTTTAATTCAGTGAATATCACAATTTGGAGGGTATTAAAAATTACATTGAGAAGTACATTCACTTGCAGTTTTTAACACCATGGAGGAACGACAGATTTTCAGGTAAATTTTCCTTTCAAATCAAATATTGTATTATCACCAAATATTCCTTCTGATGTTGCAAACGTGTGAATGGTAAGCATAAATCAGATATCTACCTCCTCTGTTGCATTCTTTCCTCTTCTGGGACTCTAAAAGAATAACGCCGCTTATTGTTAATATTTCTGACCATTTGTTTCCGACTATTATCTGATGTTTCAGGAACTACCAGTTCATCCCCTTCTGTTAAAGAAACACGAAGAATAATGTTATTCTTTATTTTATTTTAAAAAATTTTTATATTATATTTTTTACATCAGTTTTCATTTTTGTACAACATATGCACTTTCATCTTGGTTATCATCCCCGTAAAATTCCCACCCATCTTTGTTTTGATCCTAATTCCTTTTCCCCCCATTGTAGTGTGGTCTCTGGTTTATAGCTGCCTGTTGATTTTGATTTTTACTTTATTATAATTAGTCTTTTTCCTGATCCCTTACTTAGGTTTTCTAAATTCCTGCTATGAGTGAAACCATCTGGTACTTTTTCTTCCTGGCTTATTTCACTAATGTCATTCTTTAAAGTGCAAAGATATATTTATCCATCCATTAACCCCCAAGACAGTACAAATACTAACCAACTGTACTTAAATGCAACTCTGATTTTTGAAAGTTGTGTATTGATGATCATAGTAAAAGTAAGCAATAATTTTCAATGGAATATATGTAAACAGACACATGCTAAAATTAAACACAGCTTAGAAAGCATATTTTCACTTTTATTTATTATAAACAAAATGGCACAATTTCACTAGAAGAAGAAAGAAAAATGTAGTTGCCTCAGTGTCCTGTCACTTTGGAGTATCTCCCAATATCTCTGTACTATCTACTCTCTCCTTCCAGGAATCAGGTTCAGGGGATTGGTTTTAAAAAACTCCTATGTTGATCTGCACAGTACCAGGCAAAAGTGTGAATTATTCATGAAAAATAATAACAATTAAACTTATTTAAATATTTCCTTTGCAAGATTCAAAGTGCATGATGTAGATCAAAAAAAGAAACTGAGTTCCACTAGCTTCCTTTACTAAAGAAGAACCTCATTATACTCCTCTGATGGGGCCAGTGGGAAGAGGATACTTAATTACCTAACCTAGCAACATCTGTGCATCTTACTGTATTTCAATTTTAATACCTAGAAGTAACTGTCAGACATGGATTCTCAAAAAATGCCAGCCTATGGACACACACAGATAAAATAGACAAATGTATCCACACATCACGATAGATGCCATTATCTAAGCAAGATAAGGAAAAGGAGAAAGTTCTGTCTTTAGAAGTTTTTAATACCCAGAAAGTAAAAGTAAGAAAGGGAGGCGGAAAGGGGTCAAGTGGGGCTGAAAGGCAAGTCAAAGTAGACAATCATTTAAAAAAAGTAACATTTTTCTTTGTTCTGTAATAACTTAGTATAATCAGATTGCTTTCCTAACAACAAATGTTAGAAAGAATAGAATTTTTAAAGTAGGTAAGAATATGAAACACAATTTTGGAATTTGAAAAAATGTGAGGGTGGAGATCTTGGTGAGCGAGATTGGCTATGGGAAACTAGACAGCCAGGGAGCATTCTGAGCTCCTGAAAGAACAAAGCGCCTCTAGGAAATAGGACTTCCTTCCCTTTTGAATGGACCAAGACAACTATATTGAAATTTTGTTAGGTTGTCCTTAAGTTCCACCTTTTCTGTTAGCCTAAAACAGAATGATGAAAACATAGGTAAGTACAAGTTGGAAGATTGATGCTGGGGACACAAGCTGGGTACGGACATGTTTTACCATCACGGTCGCACACATCACCAACTCAGTGCATTCAATCTTATACAAATATTTGGAATTCTTCTAAGAAACAGATAAAAAATTAAGCGTAGGATCTTGGAAGTGAGGGTGTGAAAGCTTAAGTTTAGGTTTAGTATTAGCTTTATGGTGACTCTCTCCGGGTGGGAATCATTTCTAAACCTCAACATGGAGATTTCTGGACCTACTAAACATAGAGCTTCCATATGATCCAGAAATTCCACTCCTAGGTATTTACCCAAAGGACACAGAAACATCAATTCCAAAGAGCACCTGCACCCCTATGTTTATAGCAGCACTACTTACAATAGCTAAGCTTTGGAAACAACCCAAATGCCCAAGAATAGATGACTGGATCAAGAAGATGTGGTACATATATACCATGGAATATTACTCAGCATTCAAAAAAGATAAACACATGCAATTTGCAGCAACATGGATGGCGCTGGAAGGGATCATGCTCAGCGAAATAAGCCAGAAAGAAAAAGAAAAATACCGGATGGTCTCACTCATAGCAGGAATCTAGAAAACTTAAATAAGGGACCAGGAAAATGAATAACTATAAGAAAGTGAAAATCAAAATCAACAAAAAACTATGAACCAGAGACACTTTTTGGGGGGTGGGGGGCGGGAGGGGAGGGATTGGGGTCAGAATGGGGCGTTTGCAATTGTATGGGGGAATATAAAAATAAAATTTATTATTTAAAAAAAAAAATAAAATAAAATAAAAAAAAAAAGAAAGTGAAAATCAAAATCAACAAACAACTATGAACCAGAGACACTCTATGGGGGCTAGGGGGCGGGAGGGGAGGGATTGGGGCCAAAATAAGGGGGTTGCAATTGTATGGGGAATATAAAAATAAAATTTATTATAAAAAAAATAAAAAATAAAATGTGCAATATAGGAAAAAAAAAAGACTTCTAATAGTTAAACCAAAAAAAAAAAAAACAAACAAAAAACAAAAAACACAAAGTTATACGGCAATATCCTCTTAAATGTGGCACCTCTCCTACACTGTATGTGCCAAGAAACCTCTAGTGTCAAGAGAATGTGCCAGAACATCAACTCTGAAGTCAAGCACTTTGTATGTGATTTAGTACTTAAGAACAAATAAAATCCTCCCAAATAACAAACTTCTGGCGGATTTTTTTTGATAGGAAGAATATGGGAGAAAAGGGAAAAGCACCAAGAAGATGGTAATTCTACTATCCAGAGATATCTGCTAAATATTTTAGTGGTTTATTTTTTTGATGCCAATGTTTTTATTTACATTTTATTTTAAAGATTTATTTATTTATTTATACAAGCACTGGGTACAGTCAGAAGCACGGGAGGGTGAAAGAATTCACCAGAGCCAGAGCGGGGAGCAGAGCAGGCAGACCGACAAAACACACTGCTGAGGGGGAGCAGCAGGCATGGCAGGAGAGGTCTACCATGCCATGTGGGACCCTTGCCAGTGGCCGGGGATAGAACTTGCGCTGCAGAGGCTGCGGGCAGCTTCGCAGCCCAGCGCTCAACCGCTGTGCCACCTGAGGAGGCCCTGTTTTTATTTACATTTAAGTCAACCTGAATTATTATTTTAAGTACATGCTGCATCATAAATACAACTTCATTAAATAGACCCATCACAAAATATCAAAAATTTATGCACACCTCTGCAGAAATTTGTTGCTAAATTTGAGAAAAACTGTTCTATTGATGAAAACATTTTAATGATTTTTGAAAGTGAGATTTCAATTGTTCACATTCTGACTGGCAAACAACTCATTCATTTAACTCCACGTAGATAGTTTCCCTGGTTGGGATTCATGTCACTCCTTTGGACACCACCCTTTTCCTCTCAGTAACACACCCAGGGTTCCCACCGCCTCCCTTGCTTCTGGGTATAGCTGTGATTTTCCTCTCTTCCCTGCTTTTGCCCAGGTCATCAGCATTTCAGAAGTCCTAAGCCCTGTGCATTGGCAGAAGATGTATCCCAAAAACCCCAAATTGAAACTCTGGATCAATTTTTATAATTTTAGTGCTATAAATTTTGTTTGGGTTATACAGTATTAAAAACCCAGAAGATATATTTAGCTAAACTTTCTTTCCTCACCTCTGCATTCCACAGAAAAGTAACAAGTTGGTCAGAAACAGATATTTTGCTTGTGCTGCTATGCAAGCTTAAAAAGAATAACTTTTTATTCAGTAGCTTATCTTACCAGATTGAGTGCATGCAATAGTGGCCAAGATCACAGACTTTGGAGTAAGATATGCCTGAGTTTAAATATAGGTTATGCCACTTACTATCTGCAGGCAGGCAGTTTAGAGTGAATATTTCCTTTGAAGCCATCCTATTAATGAGTATTTTCTTACCTGCCATCTTATTTTTGAAATATATTAATCGAATTGTCTCCAGCCCTAAAAGATTTAATGATCCTTCACTGTTTAAAGGTCGGACCTAAAATTAAAAAAAAAGTTATTTCTACAAAACCTTCAGAAATTAAATCATAAAAAAATTGGCATATAAAGTACACACTTTAAGACTTTTAATTGTCCATCCTTTTCAAAATATAGTTCTCTTAGAAAAATCAACAAAAAATTAACTTTAATTCTAACTGGAAAGGTACCAAATGATCTAATATTGGCAATATTGTAATGATAACATTTTAAAGGTAGAACATTCTGGATAAAAAGGGAGAAATACATTTTTACCTAAAATTGGACTTTCTAAAGCCATTAGTAAACAAATGATTATACTGAAATATCACACCTATTTTCTGAAACTTATTTAATTCATTTGATCAGACTTGACTGATTCAATCTTACTGACTGGTATGACAGATTTGAAATTGTACATCACTGAGGAGAGGAGGAACGATCAGGAAATGGTGATGGAGCAAATGGTTCTCTATATGTGACAAATGCAATTGAATCCTAACTTCACATCATACACCAAAATCAATTCTAAATGGATTAAAGACAAACATAATAGACAAGTATTTCAAATTTTCAAAAGAAATAAAGGCTGTATCTTTATGACTTTGAGATAGGAATTTCTCAAATAAAAGAAAAAGGATAGACTTAAAAGAATGATACACTTAACTACATCAAAAGTTGTAACAATAAATTTCAGCCAAACAGTATTTTATAACAGTAAGTTCAGTAAAGTGCACTATAAAAATGGCTATGTCACAAACAGGGAAAAGAATCACCACACCCACTACTAATCTATTATCTACAATATATACAGAATTTCAGTAAATCAATATGAAAATAACGATTAAACTGAAAAATGAGCAAAAAACTGAACAGTAATTTCACAGAAGAGAAAATAAGAATTATGAATAAACACAAAGTATCAGAAACAACAGTGACTTGGGGACACATACATTAATACTTCAATAGGATATTAGAATAACCATTTATAATGGTTTAAAACTGATTTCTGACAATGGCAAGTGTTAGAGAGGATGTAGGTCAGAAGGAAATGTTATATACTAGTGGTGGAAGTGTCAATTGGTCCAATTACTTTGGAAAATAATTTGACACTATCTTGTGAAGCTGAATACTTGTATTCCCTGTGTTCCATCAATTCCACTCCTAGGCACTGACTTAAATAAACTCCTGCATACACGTTTCAGAAGATATAGGCAGTAGTGCTTACAGTAGCAAAAAGGAATTATTCTGCTAATCAGAGAAGGAACAAATAAATTGTGATCTATTCATTCAAGAGAATATTTTATACTAGTGAAAGCAATGAGCTATACAGTACATGTAATAACATAGATGAATCTTAGAAACACAGTAAATGTGTAAAGAAAGTGAGGTGGAAAATGACACACAACACTTATACAGTCCCAAATACAAGAAAAACTTAACAATATGTTGTTTAGGAGCATTTAAACATGCCAAAAAAAAAAAAGTTTGTATTTTAAGAAAAGCAAGGAGAAGACAAAGACAACATCAGGACAGCAATTTTCTTGGGGGAGAGGCAGGGGTAGGGAATAGGAAGAAATATCATATAGATGCAGTGGTATTGGTACCACTCTCTGGCTCTGTAGTCAGGAGGTAGGTTCACAGGTGTTCAGCTTATTATTATAATTCATAAGTTACATATTTTCCCATAGATATTATAAAATTTACATGATAAAAATAAAACTAATTGTAACCAGCCTACATTCATAAACTAGAGGATCACATAATGTGGCAGTTACTTACAAGAGCTTTTTTCATTGCTGATGTGATTTAAAATTGGGGCAGATTTTGAAATATGATCTTGGCAACTTTACCTATTTCTTTATTTTTTTTTTTTTTTTTTTTTTTTTTTTTTTTAAATAGAGGCATGTTTTTTATATTATTTATTTGTTTGATTGTTATATTACATGCACTGGATAATAAAAGCGCGGGATGTGAGAGAAATTCACCAGAGCCAGAGCAGAGCAGGAGCAGGACACATAACTGCTGAGGGGAGCAGCGACAGCAGGAGAGAGGTCTGTCCTTATACGGCTCTCCTGATTTAGCAGCCGGGATCGAATTGTGCAGATGCGGGCAGCTTTGAAATACCTGGCAACTCCTACCTATTTCTTTAAACCCTGCCCCCAATTAATGATACATGGCGCATATACTACACAATACCTAAATGGAAGGATTACTTTTTACTTGTTACAAAGTAGCTGTTCTATACATACACAAATGCTCTTCATGTTACTACAGGAAAATATTAAAGAAAAATGTTATGTTTTATTAGAAAACATGCCAAACCTTTATTTTTTTAGTCATGAGATGTCAAACAACTTTGGTTCTAAGTTTAATTAATATTCTAGCCTGAGAAATCTGTCCTCATAGGCTTAGAAATTACATACCATTATGTGAAATACAGTTTAAAAAAAAGAAAGACATGGCCCCTCAGAACTCCTTAAACTAAAGTGGAAAATAATATCGATATTTTTGGTTGTAAATTGTATTCAAGTTGTTCAATATAATGGCAATCATATTTATGTCAACATAATAACCACAATGAAACTAAATTTAATAAAACAGTATTGTGTTGCGCTACCTATAAAATTAACCAGCTTGATTAAAAGATTTTCATTATGATTACAACCAAAAGTCTAACAATTTGATTTATGATTTTCTTTCATTCTTAGCTAAGCTCCAAATTGCCAATTATATATGCCAGAAAATGGGAAATTTAGTAAAAACCAGCTAATTGCTTAGCCCACATTTTAATGTTAAATTACCTTTTTGAGTGGAAGAGTCTGAATCCATTCCATGGAGTTCACATCAAAGATATCAACTGCATTCTCACTATACACTGAGAGATACGGTGCATTATAACCTAAAACGAGAAGGAGGCAAGAGTGGACCGATTATCTTTAACTATTGAAACCAAAACAATTTGTCAGCTCTATACTAAATAAGTGCAGAGTGGAATACCACCAAATTACTACTGTTATACAGTAGCCAGATCAACATATTTTTGGAGTAAACAGAACACAAATCATATATGAAGGGTTAGCAACCATGGGTCAGATACCATAATCAGCATGACACTGAAGGATTTTGTTAATAGTATGGGTATAACATACTATTAGCTAGTATGTTAACACTAGTTCTATAAAGCAATTTCATTACATTTTACAGTATCTGATTTCTAGAGTAGTTAAGCTAGTATTACTGGTCATAAAACAAGCTTACAAAACAGAGAAATCTTTAGGTAAGAGGCCCAGTCACAGTTAAATGAATAGTGTAGATGCTCAATATACACTTACTGGAAGCATGAACATCAAAAAATGATAACATAAGCAAAGAGAAATGAAATGATTCTCCTAAACCAATGCGACAAACTGTTGGCAGAGGTATTCATAAAAGCCAGATATTCCAATTCTTATTCCATATTAGAATAAATATTTTGAATTATTACTTGACTAGGTTATAAAACAGCATTCATTCTAAATATCATGTCGAGAAGAGAAGGTATCGCAGAAGAAACAAGATATTAATAAGTCCGGGTGGGTAGAATTTTTCTTTTGTTTCTTTTTATCCAGATTTTCTAATTTTTCTGTAGTAAATATGTGTGGCTCTTCTAAACTTTCTTCCACTGAACCTTCAAACTCAACTGTACATCATTCCTTCTATATTGTTCTGGTGGGAGAAGTTTCATTTCTTCTGTCACATAGTCTTCTTCCTGGTTCTGAGTCCTACCCTCTCTAGTCCTTCTGTGGGATCCTGCTCTGTTTTCTATATTTACCACATAGTCAACCATCTCTAGTTCTCCTGTGTCTATTTACCTTCAGCATTTAAACATGTTCAAATATCTTACACTAAAAATAAAACGTTTTTGATTAGGCAATCCTCCTACGGCCTCTACAGAGCTCTGGTTCTGCTATCACAGTAATTGTGTGCTACTGCCACCTGTTGTTGTGTCATGCACCTATTCTACCACACTCCGTGCTCTGTGAGGGGAACACCATCTATTTTGCTCACTGAAACACACAGTGAAATGGCACATAATCAGTATTCAATTTTATCAATGTATAGATACTTCTTGGAAGAGCACAATATTTTACATTTTACATAAAAATGTAAAACAGAATAATATTTTTATAGAAGCTATATATTATCTTTGCATAATCCATTAAATAATTGACTTAGTAATTACTTCTCCCAGAGTAGATCTCGTGAGCCATTAATGCTCACAAGCACTGTATTTTTGGGGGACCATGAAGACAACTACTTAGGGCTATTTTGAATTCAAGAGTACGGGTTAAAAATCCATCTAAGCCAATCTTTCCTTAGAAAGGTTAGCTTTAGTTATGTACATGTCAGTGCTGGTCCTACTGTTCCAGGTCTTACTACATATGGTTACTTTATATAAACAGCATAATTAGTACTTAGAATAGCCCTCAAATTACTTTAAAACATAACCTGTCATTAATAATGATACAGACAGATGAAATAGAAAGAAATGGTAAGACAGCCAAAAGTAAAAGCTTACAACAAGAGGAAGGATTTGCTGGCCACATCAGTTCCTGCTGTCTAGATCTTCGGCCCTGGCAGTCAGTGTATATCCCAATGCTGTTAAAACACAGCAGGTATTCTTTACTGGAGATCTCGACCGCGCAGATGGCATCCATTGGCTGATGTGCAATAAATGATAGTGTGTGGTCATTTGAATGGAGCATACTGTATGGGCTTCCTTCTCCATTCAAGGGGTATCTTAGAAATCCTGACTGGAATCCTACACAGAGCTGTTCACTGAAGATTGCCATCCACTGGACATTATATGGAACTTGAATCTCCTTAAATTTTCTGTGACGGGTCTTGCTCTGAAATAGTTCATAACAGAGGACCTGCCTTTTCATAGCCACACACAGACATGTAAGAGCTCCATGGTGCACTTTTCCAGAAGTTATGGTTTGACACCCTTTAGTTTCTGCCAGCTTATAAAAATCAGTCTCTCGCCCATCCAAAGCTGACATAGGAAAGAGTCGTACATGACGATTTCGTCCTGAGATCACAGCAACAAGCTGATCATTCGGAATGAGCTCAATCTGATGAATCTTCTTATTGTCACCAACTCGAATAATTTCTATGTGAAGAAATAACATCTATTATATGCAAAGTAATGCTTTCTTAATCATATCCCAATTATACTAAAAAAGATGCATGTCAACTTATAATAAAGATAGATATACACAGAGAATAAGAGATCAGAAAACATACAGAGAAAGAGGAAGATAATCACACCTATTATAAGATAATTTAACCCATGTGTAGTAAGGTACCAAATTCAGCACTGAGATTTCTGGAAGTCAAGGCAAGGGTTCTATGTAATAAAGCATGCCACATCTTCAAACGAAATTTTTTCCTTGGCACTAAATTCTAGACAATATCACCAAGGGTTTCCATTTAAAAAACAACAAAGAAATGATTAACTCACATTTCACTAGTGGTATTTCTATGGGTAAAAAATTAATCCAGTTTAAATACATTGCTTCCCAAAGAGCCTACACTAGATTGAACAATATTAAAGTAAACTGATTCCTTTTTATTTAATTATTTAATTTCTCCCTAGAAAAAAATTATTCTATTTAAGCGTGGAAAAAACCCAGTAACAAACACATTTCAATAACTTACCTCTTCTAGGTCTATTAAAACAATATAAAGTTCAACTCAGGAGGATAAAAAAGAATTAAGGAGGATATTTTAAATATATCTTTTGACTTATAAAATCACCTGGTTAGGATGAATAATAAAAATGTCCCACTCTTTTTAGAACTTAGAATCTAGAGTTTGGAATTTTCTAACACATGGTTTAGAGTTATCCACAACAATTAAATTTTCTCTTACCATCTTTCGTGACATGCACCACAAATAATCCTTCTTCATTCCCCAAAGCTATCCTTTCGTGATCTATGTAAGACATAAACATGAAAGATTTTTTTATTAGGTAAAAACTATTTCAAACTAAAATAAAAAAGATAAAGAAATTTGGTAGCAAAAAACCTGCAATAAATGAAACAATAATTTAAAAATGACAATTTGTACTATTAAATTTCCTTTCAGATTATAGTGGTAAATATCTCAGGTCATATTCAGTAGAACAGTCATTAGAAAGTAATTTCTATCAATACTTAAAAAAGGAAGTTACTCTTTAGCCAATAAACAGAAGGTGAAAAGATGGAAAACCTAGTTTGTTAGTATCCTGGGTTCAGTCACTTCTTGTTTTGGGAGGGAAAAATTGTGAACTGTACTCATTAAATTTTTTTTTTTTTAAAGATTTATTTATTTATTTATACAAGCACTGGGTACAGTCAGAAGTGCAGGAGGGTAAGAGAATTCACCAGAGCCAGAGCCGGGAACAGAACAGGCAGACTGACGAAATAACACTGCTGAGGGGAGCAGCAGGCACCATGTGGGACCCTCGCAGGTGGCCAGATTGAACTGTCACTGCAGAGGCTGCGGGCAGCTTCCCAGCCCAGCGCTCAACCCCCAGCCCAGCGCTCAACCGCTGTGCCACCAGGGGAGGCCCTGTACTCATTAAATTTACAAGAAAATGACAAATGGCTTGGATATATACATATGAATAGGGTGAAGACTTAAATCTCCAGACACAGAAGCTTCCATTCCTTAGGGACATTGGACATGCAGGGCGCTCTGTGTTATTTATTCCGCTGTATTTATTTCCAATAACCTGTGAAAGGTAAACAGTATCTAAACTTCACACATGAAACTTATGCTTTAAGTAATTAAACAACTTGTTTTAAGTCCTACAAGCAGAATACAGGTTTGTTAATAGGCTAATCTTTAGTATTCCTGCTTTCTCAGAAGTAAATTAGAAAAGCGTATCCTTTACTGAAAAAATAAAGCTCTAATGCAGTCTCATTCATTCAATAAACATTTACTGAGCATATGTGACATAACACACACTGTGATGGTTATTGGGACTCCCGGATGAAAGCCAGCCCCTGCTTGCAAGGTAGGTTAGTAAAAAATTGTAGTAACATAACAGATGTTATAAATTCATACCTATGATTGCAGCTGCCTGGGTGGTTTTAATGAGGGGTAGAGTGCTGTCATAAGCCTCTTTGGGAACATAGACTGAGCGGTCTCTGAATTTGTTTTTCTTCAAAATCTTGTGCAATTCACTCAGCACTCCTACCCACTTACTCTTCTCATTCTCACTGTCTGCTAGCATGAGGATCGAACATTTGTTACTAGATGCTGAGAGCTGGGAAGATGTGACCTAGAACAATTTAATCAATATTCATGATGTTAGAAAACAGATACTCTTTAAGTCAGCCTTATGCTTGTGCTAGCTTGCTTAGCTCTAGCCAACAAAATGAACATTCATTAAACAATACATTTAGCTATTCCTAACATAAATAATATCTTTAGCTATTCAGAACAATAACTATTTTTAGAATTAGAATTCACAGAGATAGCAACTACCATTATATCATAGTATAATTTTTATTTTCTTTGCTATTAAATGCCAGAATACTGTCACTGAAATATGCATTACTAAATATTCATATAATAGCAGCAAATGTCATTTATTGAGTAATTACAGATCACTGGGCACTGATCAAAGTGCTTTACTAGTATTAACTTATTTAGCCTTCTCAACATCTTCATGAGATAGTATTATTATTACACCCTGATTTTATATATGGAAAAACTATGATACAGAGAAATAAATTATTCCAAGGCTACAAGGCTAGACTGGGATCCTATGTTCATGTTTGGAGACACCACACCACACTGATTTTCAACTTGTTTTAAAATGTCTTAATGTTAATAGCTACATTCCCCATTCCTTCACAACAATGACTCACATTATTTTATAGAAAATCAGAATACCTGAGTCAATATTTAAATGAGATTATTATATAAACTGCATAATCAGGAAAGATTTTAATTATATATATAGGAATTACATATTATATATATATATGAATAGCTTATAAAGCTAATTAAAGCAGCAGTGGCAATAAAACCTATCTATGAGAATCAGTAATAAATTATATGGAATTCTGTAGGCTCCCTTGGTGGCTGGGGAAAGACTAAACTGTTCTTGATCTGGGAACTGAGTTTGTCTAACCTTCTTAGATACAAGACTATAGACAAATACTAAGTATAGCAGCATAATATTGGATAGGTAGTCCTTATCTTCTGTCCTCCACTCCCTCCTGCCTTCCTTCCTCCCTTTGCATTTTTTTTTTTACCTCTATTGTTTCAGTTCACTGATTCTTGATAGCACTATGGTAGACAGCCTACAAAGATGGTTACCAACAACTCTCCCTATGGAATTCCATTCTTCTTATCAAGAAATGGAGTCTATTTCCCCTTCCCTTAATCTCTGCTAACCTCATGACTTGTTTTGACCAACAGAATACAGACTATTATTATGCCTGCTTTGGGCCTAGTCCTTAAAAGGTCTGGCAGCTTCTTTTGTTCTCTTGGAAGTCAGCCATGGAAAGCTTAGCCAGACTACTAAATTATTATACAGACTACACGGAGAGTGTTAACAGAAAGCACGAAGACCACCTAGTGAACATCTAGCACCAAGCTCCCAGATATGAGAGTCAGGCCGTTTTGGCTATTCCAGAACTAAATGAGTTGAAATCAGCCACATGAGTGACCCCGGTCAATGTCAAAGGAACTGTACAGATGACCCACAGAATGGTAAAAAAAATAAATCACTATTGGTTTAAGTAACTATCTTAAGAAATCTCACATTCAATTTTCCATGTGGCAGTATTTATTTGAAAACTGATGTTGTTAGGGGGAAATGATGTCCTGAGATAATCCCATACAGGCTTTGTGGACCTCACCCCCACTTCGGGGTTGCTCTACAACAATGTGACTCAAAAATATTAACCAAAAGGAAACCTATTTTAGGAACCATACATTCATGTTTTGCACAGATCTTGCACTAAGAATCTACTTAGCACCAATTATCTATATATTTAAGTATTGTGTGACATGGAATACATAAAGAAATACAAGGTTTGCTCCCTATTCTTAGTAAGTTTATGATTTATATAGAGAGGCAAAACATATACTTACTCTAAATATACAGGGTATATCTTTTCGACTTGCATGAATAACGTCAGAAGCCAGGACTGAACTCACAGAAAATTCTTCATCCCTGGAGGAAAAGTGGAACATCAAAAGTCAGCGTATGTGGGTATGTATGTGTAGTTCTGGATGTGTACACAAGTAACACATATGAACTTATCCTCAAAACTTAATTACACAGAAAATTTGATTTTTTCCTCATATAATTGGTAGGGCCCAAAATTAACTTATCAAAAGTAAATTAACAATGACACATTATACAAGAGCTAGAAATAACTGCTGGCTTACCCACAGTCACAAGGCCAGTAAGAATTCAGGTAGAACTGGTATTTGAACCCAGTAGGACTCTAGAACTTCCAGAAGACTGTACCCTTTTCCCTCCCATTAAACATATCAAGAGCTTTCAACACAGCTTATCTTAATATTTCATTGATCCTTCAAAACCTATAATAGACTTCTTTCACAATGATTTATTCCTTGTGATTCCTTAACTTGGTTATTGGTAGCATCATTCTCTTGGTTTTGGAAATTTGACACCTTAGTCTTGAATTTCCCCCTACCCCAAATATTTTTCTATATTTAAACCCTTACAGCAGGCTCCAAGTCAGATTTTTTTTTTTTTTTTTTTTGCTACTATTTCTTGCATCTTGTCCTATCATATTCTGTATTTGTGGGGAAGATGTTTTGAGATTCTGGTACTAACTGCCAGCGTGAGTCATAGTTGTTAAGTCTTAGTTTTGAACAGTGGAAAAAGATCTAGATTGGGGCTATGTGTTTGCAAGTCATCAACACAGAGGGAGTAAATAAGATCACTCAGGGAGTAAATAAGATCACTCAGGGGATAGGTCTGGACTTACAGAAGAGGAAAAGGAGAGCAATCCTAGGGGCAGGGAGAGAGTGTGAAGAGTGGGACCAGAAACATTCAGGAAATAGATTTACTTAAATGTTTATCAATTCATTATGCATTTCAAGAGCAGTCTGATTTTGAGATTTTTGTTTCCTTTGCTCATAGTGGAATTATACTCTAAGCCTTTACATGATAGTAAGTACCACACAATAGGCCTTCATTATCTCAGCAACCTTAAATTGGACTTTTAGATTCAATATTTGCTTCTTTTTCTTGACCCCCAGCTCCAACAAATTCAACACATACCAACATGTCCTGTAACTACACCTTACTTCCTATCTTTAGTCATCTTACTATAACAATATTAGGAAATTAACATGAAAATAAATTTAAATAAAAGAATTAAAGAAAACTCAACACTTTTTTTATTCCTATGTTGCAAAGACAGATATTTGTGAATGTTTACCTCATGTCAATCACTTGACTGATTACAACACTGGGCTGAGATGCTTTTCCTTCAGCAACATCATAGAGAAAGAGTTTGAAGTCACAAACTACAGCCAATGATCTTTGCCATCCTTTCTTCACTCCTGCTGGCTTAGGGATCTTAGTTTTGATTTAGACAGGCAAACAAAAACAATTCAAATTAACAGGTTGTAACGAGTGAGTCCCTTTAGTTACACATGCAATTGCAAAGTGAAAAGTTAAAAATAAATCTGCCACTTTGGTTGGCAAAGTAGCAGATGAACTATCATTAATATGTCATAAATAACATATGAAAAAACGAGAACAAATTCTTCAAACATTGAAGGACATTTTACTGTGAAGATCTTTAAAATGGTACCATTTTAACTTTCACTAGCAATGTATTCATATATATTTTTTTAAGTAGCATAAAAGCCAAATTTGGTAGAAAGATGACATGCAGCTTACACTTATAATACCATTCAATATTATACGTGAGATTATACCTTGATGATATCTCATACATCATAAGTATAAGCCACTTCTTAGGAAGACCAACAGATCCTTTATGGTGATTTCAACATCTTTTCTTATAAGATATAGTGAAGAAAATTTTGAGATATTTTGAAATTTACTTCTAAGCAAATGCAAAGTTTTTGTTTTCCAATCTTTACATGAAATAAAATTATCAAATGCATTTTATTCAATTAATTTTCTGTCAATACCTGTATAAAGTGACTGGATTTAACTTGAATCAATTAGTAAGTTTTAAAATATTAATCTTTATAACAGTAATATAGTGGAACCAAATAAGACATCAGTGTAAAAAAAATAACAGTACAAACCACAACAAAGCAAAAACAGACAATTATAAACCAGAGACATCCTGCAGGGGAGGAGGAGGGAGAGGGATCAGAGGGAGGGAGGAGCACAGTGACTGTGGTAATGGTGCACGGGTACCTTGGGGAAGGAAATTCTAGGGGGACTCAATCTGAGGGGGTGGGGGGAAGCAAATATTGTCTAAAAAATGTAAAAAAATGATAAATGTTAAAATTTAAAAAAATGAAAGTAAAAAAAATAAAAAAATAAAATATTAAGCAACCTACTTATACTTACCCTAACATGACCTTCATAAGCTGTTCCTATTCCTTTCTGTGGATCTATACCCAGGGGACCTTTTGTCTGTTCAGGAGGAACTGGACAAGCAGTGGGAGCTTTGTTTACACAAGTTATATGACAGGAGAATCCGCATGCTTTTTGGAGGGAGAAAAAAGAAATAATATTCAATAAAAATTCATTTTTACAAAAATAAAATTCACAGAACACTCATTCTATGCAAAGTACTAAGTTACATGAATGCTTATCTCTGATTTTATTTTTAAAACCTGTTTTGTCATTTAGGGAACTGGTTTATTTGCTTATCAATAAGAAATAGTGAATTTTTAAATTGTATTTTATTATTTCAATGTGTTAGCTTATTGAAAGAGATTTAAAAAAAAAAAACAACTAGCCTTAGGAATGAAAAGGTTGATTTAGACTTTAAATTCCTGAATGAGTAAGTTTCTGGAGTTCACTCATTCACTGCAAGTTGCTATCTGCCCTGAAATTTCTCTTTAAGCATCACTAATGGACATTAAACTCTGTCATTTTTGCTGTATCTGGCAAACTTTATCCATGCCAAGGAGGTATAAAATAAGGGTAAATTCAGGAGTTATTGAGGGCTTTTAACTATTCTGTGAATCTAAAAGAGGTACAATTATCACCATTTGCATCTGATTTGCCTTGGATCACTGAGCCTGTAAGTTATCAATGTTTTCAGTATTCAGGTAGTTTGGGGTTCAGAGCTTGCATACCTATTTCTAGCAATACTGCCATTACACTTCCATTTGATGCTTAGATAATGAGTTTGAGATCCTAAGCCAAAATGATAAATAAAAATAAACTCCTAAATTTCATTGAGACTTGGTGAGGTAAGAATTAAAGATTAAAATATGTAAAATGACTTGGGAAGAGTTATAGGCTAAAAATGTCTATTTAGACAACTACTCTAAGAGTGGATCCTGGAGAATACATGGGAAAGATTAAAACAGAAACTAGAGGTATATCATTGTGGGAATACATACACAGGGGGAAATAAATTATATATATCACTAATGAATACCATAAAACCAACAGAGGCAAGATAGGCTAGTACTGACTCTTGAAAACTATATAAACATCTATAAGACATCCTTCGCCTATAAGTAGATTTGTTACAATTTGTTTGACAAGCAAAACTCTCACCTCCAAAGGGCAGTGGAAAAAGCAAAATAATTATCTTACACTGGATCTAATTTCCACCAACCAGAGAGAAAATGATAATGACAGTAATCTGTAGAGGCTGTAAACTTATGTTATTGTAAAACCTGAAAGCCTGGGCATACTCTAATCTGTCTCCTTTACAGCTTTACAGAGCAGGCTTTAGAAGAGAAGAGAGTCTGAAGAGATTGTAAAATTTCCTATTCTAGGGAACTAAGGTCAGGTAGTGTCTAGATTCTTTCTGATTATAAATTTAAAACATTTATAAGTACTAAGTTCTGAATCAGAAAAGGCTTTAAAAATATACGTATTCTCTCCTTTGACATTAGACACACTTTCCTTTCAATGATTTAGGGTATTTCTTTTTAGATTACTTTGCTATCCTTACTTTTTTACCTGTCCTAACTATGTTTCTTAAAGGTTCTGTCCTCATATTTGTTTTTTTGCACTCTACATGTGCTTATCTGGATAATGTCACTCATAGTCATCCTGTCATACAGTTATAACTCACATCTCTCCTTTTCAACCTTAATTATGCACCTAATGGCCTAGTTAAGACCATGTTATCTACATCTTCCATTTTGGTTGTGAGAATTAAGCAGTACAGAATACACTGCCTTAAGATAGTATTATTTTCCCCTTATTCCAAGTATTCAAATACAGGCTAACTATAATATATAACAGGAACACATGCATCTGATGGGGGCTGATGACCTCCATTCAAGGTCCCTTCTAATCCTAAGAGTTAAGAAATGGAAACTAATATTAGAATTTAAAATAGCAATTACTTTCATCTTTTTAATAAAACATACTAGTAAATTATATGTGAGGCATTGTTATAGTAGTAAATCTGATTTCACAAAAAAATATATTTCTAATAGACAAGTAATATATCCCATAAAGATTTGAAATCATTTTCATTTCAGATGTCTTAGGAAAAATAAATATATTATGTTTTCTGTTCAAAAGAATCCTGATCTCTCATCTCTCAGAATGTGAGCTACATAAGGGCAGACTGTTTTTCTTTTTCTCCGTCCACTTGGAGATAGAGACACTACTTGACCTTAGGCTTGGACACTGTATCTCCAGTGTCCAAAACACAGAGAGAAAGAATTAATGTCTGGAGGGAAAAACATCTGCTATTGTTTTTCTTTTGCATAGAAGAACTGGGATCTAGGCCAGAGGTGCAGGGAATGAGAAGATTCACCAGAGACAGAAGGGGGAACAGAACAAGAGGATCTACTGAAATACACTGCTGAGGGGAACAGTGGGAGGGACAGGAGAGGTCTGCTGCGCCATATGGGGGTCAGCTCCCCAGCCAGGGATCCAACTCAGGCCATTGTGGTGGTGCTGCTGCTGACACTTAACCCCTAAGCCACCGGAGGTCCAGGAAAAAACAGGAATAAAATGTCTTTTGGGGCATGACATTTAATATTTCTGGAAAAAATACTGCATTGCATTATTTTCCATAACAATTTCTTTGATAATAAATTAGTCATTTCTGTAATAAAAGACAAGAATAAATGAATAGATTCATGGATAACTTTCATTATCTTTGTCACATAGGCTAATGGTTTTACAGGACCACAAATACATCTGAATTATGAAACTATGATGAATGAAACATTTATATAAACGTATCTCCCCTAGAAAATGTTTCTAGGGATCATCTGAGAAGCATTTCCAAATTGTACAGGCTTTAGTAAAGTGCTCTGTTCCTTTCATCCAAAAGAAATATTAAGTAAAATAAACATTCATATATTTTTTAAATAGAATATAATTACCTGATTACAATTTAGGTAAATTTTAGGACTCTAAAGCCACCTTTTCTTACCATTTTGTTCTTACCTTCACAGGAACATCCCTGTCTTATCAAGCCCACCATCAAAGATGTACACTGATGACATTTTGTAGGAGTAGTAAAAGATTTGACAAAAAACTGATGAGTCTTGCGCTGCAAAACAAATTGATAAAACTTATTTAAAGGATTTCCATAATGTGAATCCGTGACCTATACCAGCTTTTAGAATTTTACTCCTAAATAGAAGTAAAATATATGATTTGCATTTACCACATCTTTCTATAATTTAGCCTCTTTAAATATTTCAAATATCCTATCTAAATATTTAAATAATATACTGAGTTACATTATTGCTAAAAATTAGAAGCTAAATAATTGCTCTTGACCTACATGTGAAAAACTATAAAATATCAAAATTATTAAACTTTGGGAGATGGCAGAATCAGACAGATCTGCATTCAAATTTTAACTCTACCTTTAGCTGTATATCCGTGAATATTTTTTCTTTTTTTTTTAAGATTTATTTATTTATGCACACAAGAACTGGGGTACAGGCCAGAGATGTGGGAAGGCGAGAGGATGACCAGAGACAAAGTGGGGAGCAGAACAGGCAGACTGACTGAAATACACTGCTGAAAGGAGCAGCGGGCGAGTCAGGAGAGGTCTGCTGTGCCATGTGGGTAGCTCCCTGGCTGGGAATCAAACTCGTGCTGCAGAGGCTGTGGACAGCTTCGTCGGTTGCATCTTAACTCCAGGGAAGCCCCTATTTTTTTCCTTTTTGTTGCAAAGTTTGACTTCAGGATTAAAAGTAATTTTCAAATTATTCTTAAGCAAGAGCTGAGTGTAATTCTACATATTTACATCTATACAAGTAAGGAAATTTAATATGCTTTTTATACCTTCTTAAAAAAGAATAATGAATTACAATTCTTGTTCTTACTATAAATGATTCATTTAATTTTCTGGAACCAAGGATAAATAATATACTTAATAAATCTGTTTCCTTCCATGGAAACAAGCAGTATCACACTTGAGCAGACAGAAAACACACATTATTGCAGTCAGAGGGCAGCCTGAAATTAGTAAATCTTGTCTGACCTACATAGTTGTAAACCAATGAAAACTTGAGATCTCAGGAATATTCCTTTCCTGTCTTAATTAACTCTTAGCAAGTTTTAATAATAATAAGTTATAATAATCATTTTTTCACTCTGCTATGTGAACTTAGGAGCAAATTACTCAGCTCCTCTGTGTCTTATTTGCCTCATTCCATAATATACACAATAATAGTAGATACTTTATGGGTAGCTAAATAAGCATTAATTAATAGAGACAACATAGTTTGAAGCATGCCCAGCATAAAGTATTCAAAACGGATTTCTTTACATTTGAAAGCTAACTTGGTTAATTATTTCTCTTTTGTATGTGTGACTGATTTAAACTAGGAAGACATTTTTATCACATAGTCAAATCATATATCACTGCTGATTAAAAAGTTATGAAGTAGTATTTTATTTCAGTTGAGACCAACTTGCATTACCAAAAAGCTAATGAGAATATTCATAGTTTGTTTCAACTGGGATATGTTATTTATACACCACAATTTTTTTTTTTTAAAGAATCAAGGAAGAAAAGTAGATCATCTTATATAGAATGACCTGAGAATCAGAGTACTGGAGTCCTGAAATGCTGTGAGACTCTCATATTTAGAGCAGTGGTCAATCTCAAACCATTCTATTTTAGAAATTCCTCAGGCCCCTCAGTTTCAAAGCAGCACTGGGATTGACTCTATCCTAAGTAGGACACAGATTATCTTTATACTAACTCTATAATTGCTCCTCTACCAAGTACCAACCAAGATACAAAGATTTTGTCTACACTTCATATACATCATCCCATGGATACAATGTCACTAAAAAGATAAATATTATTTCCTTATATAGATGAAAAAGAAAAAAAAAGCAAGATTAAGTAAATTATTCAGTAATTAATTGAATTACCTAATGACAGAGAGCTAACTTGAGCCCAGATCTGTTTGATATTGCCATCTTTCAAAAGCATGATAATATAGGAACTTATGTAGAATATGTTTCTAAAGAGAACCAAGAACTATATAAAACATTAGTTAGGTGAAGACTAAAGACCTCCATATCTGTGACAAAAATACAAGCACCTGATTTGTTAACATGATATAAAATTTTCTCAACATTTCTTCTATATACTAATTTTTATTCTTATTTTTTTCTATTTTTAGGAACAATCAAGAACAAATTTTTAGTGTGAAGTTTTTCAATTGTTCAAAATACATTAATTCCAAAGATGGAAAGTTAATTTACATGTATTGGTTCTGAAGACTTTTATTACAATTAATCAACTGTGCAAGGTAAGTCTGTTCGCTTCTTCCTTTTTTGTTTTTTTAAAGATTTATTTATTTATTTATTTATACAAGCACTGGGTACAGTCAGAAGCGTGGGAGGGTGTAGAGAATTCACCAGAGCCAGAGCGGGGAACAGAACAGTCAGACCGACAAAATACACTGCTGAGGGGAGCAGCAGGCGGCAGGAGAGGTCTGCACGCCATGTGGGACCCTCGCCCAGTGGCCAGGGATCAAACTGGCGCTGCAGAGGCTGCAGGCAGCTTTGCAACCCAGTGCTCAATCACTGCGTCACCAGGAGGGCCTGTTCTTTTCTTCTAAAGGATAACAACACATGTCTGAAATAGCAACTAAAACATAACTGCAGTCATGAGAAATCTAACAGTGATTTTTTATAAAACACAATAAATTGCTTAAAAATGTTATTACATTCCCCTCCTCCCCTCTCCAGATCCACTCAGTATGTCACAATTTTAACTGAGTATGCAATAACAGGAAAGGAAAACAATGTTTTAGTAGAGCATTAATTTTAAGTGAACCACCATCCAAATGGTTAAATTGTGGAAGGGGTCGTATAAAGATTAAAGATATCACCTTACATCAGTGAGAATGGCCCATATCAAAGTGACCAGAAACAAGTGCTGGCAGAGGTGTGGAGAAAAAGGATCCCTCTTATACTGTTGGTGGAAATATAGACTAGTCCAGCCCCTATGGAAAGCACCGTGGAGGTTTCTCAAAAGACTAAAAATGGATCTGCCTTATAAACCAACAATTCTACTCCTAGGTATCTACTACCAAAATACAAAAACACTAATTCAAAAGAAAACCTGCACCTCCTAGAGCAGCACTACTTACAATAGCAAGGATATAAAAACAACCTAAGTGCCAAAACACAAATGAATGGATCAAGAAGATATGGCACATATACACAGTGGAGTATTACTCAGCAATCAAAAAAAGGTAAACTCATGCCATTTATAGCAACATGGATAGAGTTGGAGGAGATAATGGTAAGTGAAATAAGTCAGAAGGAAAAAGATAAACATCGGATGGTGTCACTGAAATGTGGAAAACAGAGAAACCAAACTAAGAATTGGAGAAACACAAACTTAAAAGCTAACTCTTGAAAACTGACTACAAAACTGAAGCATCCAAAGATAGAGGGGATGGACAAAGAGAGAAAGAAGCACAGTAGACAAGGGGTAATCTGTTGGTGGGTACCCTACCATGGAGATACCTGATTGGGGGGGTAATGTTTTTACATAAAAGAATAAATTATTTTTAAAAAAGAAATGAAATAAAAAATTGTGCAACAGTGATATCACAATTGCACACTTCGAGTTATACCAGTTACAGTGAACAAAACAGTATGATACTGGAATAAAAACAGACACACAGACTAATGGAATAGAATTGAGAGCCCAGAAATAAATCCACACTTATTTGGAAGTTAATCTACAACAGACAAGCCAAGCGTTTACACTGGAGAAAGGAAGGTCCTTCCGACACAGGGTGATGGGAAAACTAGAAACCAACGAAACTAGACCAATATGTCATGCTAACAAAAATTAATTCAAAATGGATTAAAGACTTAGATGTAAGACTTGAAACCATATACACTGATGAAAACATAGGCAAACACTCCATGACATTGGTTTCAGTGATGTCTTTATGGGTTCATCTCTAACAGTAAGAGAATAATAAAAAGAAATATGACTACATCAAACTAAAAACCTTCTTCACAGTGAAAAAAACTATCATTAAAAGAAAAAGACACCCTATTGAATGGGAGAAAGTATTTGTACATCATACATCTGACAAGGGGCTCATATCCAAGATCGCCAAAGAACTTAAATTTAACTCAACAAAAAGGAAATAAGCCAATAAAAAATGGGCAGAAGACCAACATAGACACTTCCACAGAAGGCATATAGATGGCCAACAGGCACATGAAAAAATACTCAATTATCATCAAGGAAATGCAAATTTAAACACTTAATTATTTTTTAGCTGAGGTAATATTGGGATACTCCCATCAAGTATTACTACTGAGGTATACCCACTGCCAACTAACCCATACCATTTTATGTTTTGTACTTTAAACTCCATTTTATATCGATACTATGTATCTGTGCTCTCTTCTTTATTATTTTCTATCTTTCTATATACTTTTATTTTAAGCCACTTCTAGTGAGAACTTCCATTTGAGCCCTTAGCAAATTCATACTCACAAAATCATGTGCCTAACAGACCTTTTTTTGGTCATGAAGATTAGGGACAATTCATTACACAGTTAAGAGTACTGGTTTTACCATATTTTCTTTTCCCCTTTCTGCCTTCATTCAATAAATACCATTGCCATCAGCAGGCATAATTATATCTTTTTTTTTCTTTTGCTAATCTTCTATTTATTCCTTCAATTTAAGATCCATACATGTGCTTACTTTTCTTACCATATCAACATTTATTCATTCATAGTGGCTGCACCAATTTACATTCTCACTAACTAAACACAAAGGTTGCTTATACTCTACATTCTCACCAACATTTGTTATCTCTTGTCTTTTCCATGATAACCATTCTAACAAGTGTGAGGTGATATCTCATTGTGGTTTTAATTTGCATTACCCTGGGATTAGTCATGTAAAGCACTTTAACAAAACTATTGGTCATTTATTTGGGTATCTCCTTTGGAAAAAATATTAGTTTCTCTGCCGATTTATAGTTAGCATTTCTAATTTTTTTGCTATCATATGAATTCTTATATATTTTGGATATAACACCTTATCATATATGTGATTCGCAAATATTTTATTCCCTTTCAGCATGCTATGTTTTCATTTAGTTGATATTTTCCTTTGCCATGTAAAACTTTTTAGTTTGATATTTTCCCACTTGTTGATTTTTGATTGACATGTCATATAAAAAATTCAACACCAATGTTGCTGTCAATGAACTTATTATCTCTGTTTTCTTCTAGGGGTTTTTTGGTTTTAAGTCTTACAGTCATGTTATCAATGCATTCTGAGTTGCTGTAAGATACGGTCCAATTTCATTCTTTCACATGCAGCTGTCCAGTTTTCCCAACACCATTTACTGAAAAGACTATTCTTTCCCTATTGCATATTCTTGGCTTCTTTTTCATAAATTAAATGACCATATGTGTGGTAAATAAAATATGTATTTATTGGGGGGGGTTCTCTGTTCTGAACTGTAGATTTTTGTGTCTCTTCTAATGCTAATATACTATTTTGATTACCATAGCTTTGTAATAGAGTTTGAAATCAGAAAATGTGATAATTCCAACTTAGTTCCTATTTCTCAAGATGGCTCTAGCTATGCAGGGTTTTTTGGAGTTCCATACAAATTTTAGAATAGTTCATTGTTTTCTTGTAATCAATGCCATGAACTTTTGACAGGGATTGCAATGAATCTATGTATAGCTTTAAAAATACATACATATATAGCAATGAATTTATATTATATATATATATCTCCTATATACTGATGCTATTTCTGTCATACATATTTTCCACCTAAGTTTCTGCTGTATGTTTATTTCTATTATCTGTTATTGTTTATTCTGCTGTCACAGCCATCTATAGTTATTTATTTCAGCAGTTATATTTTCTTTTTTTTTAATATTTTCTTTTGTATAATTCCTACATCATTTTTCATTTTTGCACAATGTATGCATTTTCATTTTGGTTATATTCCCCATACAATTGCACCCCCCCTTATTTTGACCCTAATCCTTCCCTCCCCCTGGTGGTGTGTCTCTGGTTTAGAGTTGCTTGTTGATTTTGATTTTTACTTTGTATTAATTAGTCTTTTTCCTGGTCCCTTATTTAGGTTTTCTAAATTCCTGCTATGAGTGAGGCCATCTGGTATTTTTCTTTTTCTTTCTGACTTATTTCACTGAGCATGATCCTTTCTAGCACCATCCATGTTGCTGCAAACTGTATGTGTTTATCTTTTTTGATTGCTGAGTAATATTCCATAGTGTATATGTACCACATCTTCTTGATTAAAGAGCTTCTGCACAACAAAAGAGACAATAACCAAAACAAAGAGAAACCCCACTGACTGGGAGAAAATTTTTGCACACAACACTAATGATGAAGAACTGATCACAAAAATCTACAAAGAGCTGATGAGACTCAACACAAACAAAGAAAATAATCCAGTCAAAAAATGGGCAGAAGAGCTAAAAAGAAACTTCTCCAAAGAGGAAATTCAAATGGCCAACAGGCATATGAAAAAATGTTCAACATGCAAATCAAAACTACAATGAGATCCATCTTACACCAGTGAGAATGGCACATATTTAAAAAACTAGCAACAACAAATGTTGGTGAGGTTGTGGAGAAAAAGGAACTCTCCTGCACTGCTGGTGGGAGTGCAAACTGGTCCAACCACTATGGAGAGCTGTGTGGAGATTCCTGGACCTACAAGATAGAGCTTCCATATGATGCAGCCATTCCACACCTGCACCCTGATGTTTATAGCAGCACTATTTACAATAGCTAAGCTATGGAAACAATTCAGCAGTTATATTTTCATGCCAAGTCCTTGGGGGAAGAATGTATTTTTGGTAAGTGCCTTATTACCTGTCCCATGTTACCAACATACTTTCTTACCTCTTTAAAGATATTTATTATGCTTATCTTATATTCATGTGCTCTCTAGCATTAAAATCTTGCTTCATCTAGAATAGGTTATTCAGTTTGTTGTCTCCCTTATGCCAGGTGTGCTTTTTGCTTATTTATTAGTTTTTCTGGTTCATCATCCTCTTTCTCCTTTTGCGGTTTATTCAAAAGGTTTATATTTTGAGGAGGGACATCTCGGTTTTCCAATTTCTAGAATTTCTTTGTAGGGGCTTAAGACAAGCAACTAAAAAAATAATCATGTTCTACCATATTCAATATTTCAGTCACAGTCCTGTTAAATGAAAATTACCAAAATTTTTCAGTAGCTATTTCTCTTTCTCAGTGGTTTTATTAACCTCAAACTTAAGAGGTTTTATTAACCTCAACCTTAAGAATCATCCACAAATGGCCTCAAATTAATTGCGAAGGCCTCTTTACAACACATCCTCCAAGCATTATTCTTTGCTTCAAAGACAGTGAATTTAAGAAGAAGAAGGCAAAAAAAACCCCAAAACACCTTTATATACTCCTACCTTTCTAAATAGTGATTATTTACATTCACACATTATTTTCTTTTTAGCTTTTATATTTTTAATTTTGGGAAAAACAACAGCAGATATAACAGAAAATAAGAAAGAAGAAGAAATCCATTCTCATTTTTTTTTCCTTCAGAACACAACATGATTATAACTGGACTGAGTACCTTAGGTGGAAACCCAGTTGAACCAGAGCATCCCTTTTTCCTTAAGGTTGGTGTGTGAACTGGAAGTGGAGTACTGTCTGCAATCTGAATCCAGGGGCAAAAAAAGGGGAAATAAATGTCATGAAACATTCCATCTATTTTGAACATCACCAGAAGTAAATCAAAGTAAATAAAGCCAAACAAAACACCAATAAGGCAAAATATATCTCAACAAAGCTAAAATTTTCATAGTGCTGATAATTTAAATTTCTGTCTGTAATGTCTACAAATGAAACATTTAATTGTAAAAATTTGTTAGAAAATTAAAAAATAATTTGGAAAAGAGAATCCACAAAAGAAAACAAGAGCCATAACATATAGTTTACACAAAAAATGAGGATATTAATTTTCAACTTCATCTGAAAATGCCATATTCATTCTAGAAAGTATGTGAAAGGAGCTTTTAGCAAGATTTATAATCAAAATATTTAAAATGCCTTGACATCTTTTAATGCCTTGACTTCTATATACAGAGTGCATATTACATAAATGGAACACAACTCTGGATTTGTGGGTATATATATACTGTGTAGAGAGAAAGAGAGAAAAAAAGACAGAATAGATATTTGATAGGCTGATCAGTGGATTTTTTGCAAAAATTAATTTCCAAAGAAGGGAGTTAGATTATTTACTATCACTGGAATTGAAAGCTTACAAAGTTATAAACTGTATCTTCATTCTATGGGGCATTATATAATATATGTCTTTGAATGAATGAATCAGTTATGTTACTGGGTGTTATTGTAGAAAAAAGTTATCACTTAATTAGCAAAGTATAAAAAATGACATAAAGAATGACTTCCTTTTAGGATGCTAACCAAGCAAACAAACTAGTTTTGTATAAAGATGTATAATATTCTAAAATAGAAAGAGAAAAGTAGATGGTCTCTCTTTGATTTTATTACTATGTAACTACCATTTAGCCTTAAAATGGAAATGAGTTGAGCTCCTTAAAGATTTTTGCTTAGTTGTGTTTAATTTGAATTTTTCTTTTAAATAGCTTGAAAAGTTTTGAATCCCATTTATAACTTAACATCTAAAAAGAAAAATAAGAGAGGAACACAGAAAATCCATATAAAAGCTTATAAAAATCAATTAATAGGAAACTAAATTATCACTAGAATTTACATAAAAGGTCTGAAAGAAAGTTTTAGAATTAAAAGAAGTGAATCAAGGGTGCTAGATTCAAGATTAACAGAGTTCATAAAGTTCAGCACTGCCTAATAAGAAAATTTATTTTAAAAAGCTCTTGTTCAAAAAAAAAAGCACACTTTAAGGTACCTAAAACATGAAACATACCTAGCAAGCAATATGGAGTACATTCACGAAGAAAGTACACATTATTGAAGGATAAAAAAGAATATCTAAATAATATGTATGCCAGGTTCATAGAGGAAAAACCTAATACATAAAGATGTCAATTCTCCTCAGATAAATCTGTAAGTTCAATGCAATTTGAATCAAATGCCCTGCATGGAACTTGACAAGTTGAAACTAAAAGTCATATGGTAAAGTGTCAAGAAAAAAAGAAGATTAAGGTGGGTGGAAGTGGCCAACCATACCAGATACCAGGATTATTTTAGGACTATAGCAAGAAAAAATGTGATGCTGGTGTAGGAATAGACAAAAAGAAGAGTGAAAGAATATACATAGCCCCAAATAGAACAACTTATATAAAGTGAGATAACTTTACAAATCAAGGGAGGAAGTATGAGTTTATTCATGTTAAGAGAATGATTAGCTCCCTATTTCCCATAATATGTAACAATAAATTTCAGTTTCATAAAGGCCTAAACGTGTACAACAAAAATTTATAAAATTTTAGAAGGAATATCAAAGAAAACCTTTACAATTACTGCATAGTGAAGAATTCTTTTAATAAGCAGAAGTCATAAAGTAAAAGACTGATAAATATTACCACTTTAAAATAAAAACTGCTAAAGACACAAAGATACCACAAATAAAATTTAAAAATAAGCCACATACTGGGAGAAAATATTCGCAATGCATATAGCCAGCTAAGGATTAGTATTTAGAATACATGAAGAACACTCACAAAAACAACTGAAAATAATTCAATGGGACAATGGACAAAAGACATGAACAGGCAAGTTACTAATGGTCGTAAACATATAGAAAGATGCTGAATAGCACTTGAAATCAGAGAAATGCAAATTAAAGCAAAATGCCACCCCATACCCATCAAATTAGCAAAATTAATATCTGGTAGTACCAAAGCTTAATGAGGATGTGGGGAAATAGGGGACTCCCATATACTGCTGAAAGGAGAGGAGTGGAAACTGGCCCAACCATTGTTGAGAATAATTTGGAAAGATTTAGTTAAAGTTGAAAATACATATACCACAGAACACATTAATTTCACTAATAGGTATATATGCTAAACAAACTGCACATTTGCAGATGCAGATGGCTATTAGGATGTTCACTTCAGTAATGACTGTAATAACAAAAAATTGGAAAAAACCTAAATATCTACCAACAGGATAATGACAAATAGTTCTGGTATAGTCATATAATGGAATATTATGCAACAGTTATAATGAATGAACTAAACAGACATGTATCTGTATGAGTAAACCTCAAAAGTATAATACTGAATGATAAAAGTTGCAGAAAGATACAAATAACCTTTGTGTAAAATTTGAATATTCAACAAATGTTTTTATATTATATATTGTTTATGAATACATATGAAATAGACATGCAAAACCAAGAAAGAAAGGCTATATATCAATTTCAGGATATTTTGATAAGCCTGGGAAGGGAGTGTGGGGAATGGCAGAAGGGAAGGGTGTTTCAACTATCTAGAATATTTTCTTTCTTTCAAAACAAATTTGAAAAAAAATAGGGCAAAACGTTGAGATCTGTTCAACTTGTTGATGGTGTTTTTATTATATTATTGCCTGTATGCTTGAAAATTTCAATGTTGAAGTAAAAACGTATAAACTCAAAATATTAAAACAATGATTTAAAAAAGTGAAGGGTTTTATCAATTTAACTATCTGAGGTATCATGGGGTGGAAAAAAGGAAGTCAGAATCTGACTACAACTCACACTTCACTTCAGACAGCTTTCCAAACTGGACTGTCTATTTCTATTGGAATGCTAGACACAGCTCTGGAGACAAAATGGGAAGCAAAGGAGCTATGTCAGAACTGCGATGCTGAGTGAAGAACCAGAACGCATCTTAAGGCAGGATGGCACTAACTGAGGTACAATAACATCATCTGAGTTGTTGAGAAAATATTTTGCTCGGAAAATTGGCCAACTGGGTGTTCAAGCCCACTGAGTGACATGAGGTGCAAATACAACACTGTTCTTATACTATTAAAGGCACAATTTAGATGAGTATCCATTACTGATTTAGCAGTTAGAATAAATTATTCAGTTGCCATCAGAGGCAATCAGAAGCTCTACTTATAAGTTATACCATGTGCTATTAGTCTTACTAGAAGATTAAAATATGAGAGTGGCACCTGGCATTGCCAAGTATCTACAGAATCTATCTGGTAATTATCTGTCTGGTAATTATATCTGTCTGGTAATTTACATAGTTCTCTAATTAAAATAATGACTACCTTTATAATTAAGTAAACTTGGCTTATTTCAGCTGATTTCTGGGGGACAATTTTCTACATTAGTATTCTCCTATCTATATTATTATTCAAATGTAATAATCTCCAATATATTATGACTTATTATGCAATATATTTGATTAATAGGAGAGAGTCATATTTCACTTGTTTTGTCAGTTCCCCCTTCCTGTCACAAGTGAAAAGTTGGGGAGCAAGACTGCTCCAATGAGGCACCTGAACTGGCTCAGCTTCACTAGATGTGGAAGGAGATGTGGACCTTGACTGGATGTAAAACTTGACGTTCGGATTCCGTACATATGTGTTCTCAACGGGATCAGTCTAGGAAAATAAGCCAGGAAAAACAAAAACCCAAGAAATCACTTTTAAACAATGTGTAGCTCTTAGCAAATTTCTGCAAGGCACAATCACGACAACATTTCTTGAGAAAGGAGGATAACAACCTTTAGACTGAATATTTACCTTAGGGATGTGTCATTATACAAAAGCTTAGCCAGTAGTTTTAACGTAAAAACAAACGTTAAGATAGCAATAGTTAAAATGCTCCAATCTTCACTGTTGATCTCTCACTTGACCACTCATCTCCAGAGTGTTCTGTACTGCTATTCTACATGAAACTTGTTATTTCAAAAAATAAATCATATATGTGAAAAAAATGCAGATTACTTGGTAGAAATAGGTATTGCAGATTAGACATAATTTTATCCTTGATAATAATGAAATTTGGTTCTTACCATACATTAGCTGAAAGTAATTACCTATCAGTTTTGTGCTTGTCACTAAATTCTCTCTCGCTTTTTTTTTTTTTTTTTGCAGCAGTAGGATACCAGCTCTTATATTCAGTTGTACCATCTTACCTAAATGTTTTTAGAAATTGAAAATGCTTTGGGTTAAAATTTAGCATAAAAGTTCTAAGGAACACACTGGTTACACCTGTGTTCAGTCTGCAATTTTCAAAATTATTAGGATTTTTTTTTTAAGTATGGCAAATAACTCCAATTGGAAAGGAGGTTGGGGTATTTGTTTCAAATATGGTATACAGCAAAAACAATATTTAGATCAGAAGTCACAAACCATAAAAAAATCAGTTAAATAACTTTAAGTATGTTCTTAAAATGTTTTTTTCTTTATTACTGTTAGGTTTATATTTTAGGGGCTGGTTTATATTTTTATATTTTTAGGGGCTGGTTTATATTTTAGGGGGCAAACATTGCGGTAGGTCCCTGCTAATACCCAGCTTCGGTCTCCCAGGGAGGGGAGCATGGATGGGCATTCAGGCTAATCCACAAGGCAAGACTTCATGGGACTGACTATCATAGTCACCAACCAGGCCTGAAACCTTCAGCTACTGGATTTAAGGAGAACTGGGGAGAAGGGTTTCAGTGAGGACCTCTAGGAGACTTGAAGGGCAGCTATCTACCAACAGCTAGGAAAGTATATCAATATTTTCAGAACTGGAACTACTGAACTGGACAACATATTAACATTATACACAGTTCTGCAAGTGCAATGCAGGTATATTCATAAACAAGCATGCCTTATGAGGTGCAGAAGCTAGGCCTAACTCTCTTGATTCTAGACTCAGTGCTCTTTTTGTACCAAAGGCATTTCCATAATAGAGGTACTAAGAGCAACTGACCAATCATGAATTCTCTCTATTCCTGCCAGTGAATTTTGACTAGGAATAGGAGAGTACAAGAAAAAGAAAATGGGACTCTTAAGATAAAATTGAGTCAGTTTGCAATTGTACTCTGGAACAGCCATGGAGAAGGCAACCAGTTAAAATAATTAATCTGAAATGTGACCCGGGTGGGAATAAGGCAGAATGTCAATTATTTTCTAAACATTTCCTCCTTCTAGCTTCCATAAGATTGTGTTAATTTCATACTGAGTAAGAGTCTATAGCGGAGAGTGGGGTCAGTTAAAATGGACTTGATAAGCAAAGAAGTGTGGGTACATTTTACAATGATAAGAGCTAAAAACTCCCAAATAATCAAGTGTTAATTTTTTTTAAAGATTTATTTTTATTTGTTTATGTATAAAGAACTGGGGTGTAAGCCAGAGGTGCGGGGGTGAGAGGATTCATCAGAGACAGAGTGGGGAGCAGAACAGGGGATCTACTGAAATACACTGCTGAGGGGAGCAGCAGCGGAGAGAGAGGAGAGGTCTGCAGCCCCATGTGGGTTACCTCTTTGGCAGGGTATCAAACTCATGCTGTGCAGTGGCTGGTGACAGCTTGATAGCACTGAGACTTTAACCTATGCACCACCAGGTAGGCCCTTCAAGTGTTAAAATTTTAAAGAAGTATCTAAGTAGGGGATTTACCACATGGAAGAAACTGGATCACTTAAAGAAAATTTAAATTTCTGACCTATTACACAAAAACACTGTAGCCTATAACTTGACTAAAACACACACAATCAGAAGTTCTTGTGTGAAGAACAATGCTGGGAGCAGGACAAAGTAGCTACTGAATTATCGAGTAGTGGCTCTGGATTTAACTGTTTTTAAAATGCTTCAGAAATGAGAAAGGCAACAGTTAGCTGTTTCCAATAGTACTGACTTTAATTTTAAAGCAAGTCTGCTTTCTGAGCACATGACAGAGTATACTCTCTTATATATTTCTTGGGCTGAAAGTGGAGTATACTGCCTTGAATCATTTTGCCAGTATATGCTCTAATGGGAGGTTCACATCATTCAAAATGTCAAACCTAAAAATTAAGGCTTCCTCTACCTCATAGTTACTAAAACATTTATTAACATGTTTCACAACCCTATGAAAATGTGGCAGTGACACTGGGAAAAAGAAAAAAAATACAACTATAATATTTCAATCTGTGATGACATAAATTAGTAACTTAAATTCTTGAGGTATTTTACATATACCTTTTGGCAATAAGAATCATTTATGTAAGTCTTTTTCTTCTAACAAGATTTTACTCATCAATAAAAATGAAAGAAAACTTAGGAAGGAGAATAGGTCTTTATTTTTAAATGATAGTTTTAATCAAATGAAGGAAAAATTAGTTATTCAGAAGTAAAAAAAATTCAAGTTAAAAAAAAAAAACCAATACTAATTGTAATAAAATAATAAAAATTACCATACTAGCTTTGAGGAACTATAGCTCTTAAAGTAGAAATATTGCAGACATTAAACAAAATCAAGTTAGTTTTTGTGAAAATAAGGAAGAAAAATGTTGGGATAATATTTTGAGATGGCAGTAACTGAGCATATTAAAAGTCAAACTATGCCATTCAAAATGATAGCCTGCTTTTGAAAAAACTGTACACGGAAATGAAATTTAAAAATGACCACTTTAATTTCCAAAAGTGTTTTTTTCATAAATACAATGAACAAAGTCTGGTAATGACAAGTAAAATTACAAAAAGTTTTGATTTTCAAAGGTAAAAAAAATTTCCAGGTTTTTTAAAGACTGTACTAGAAACTAACAGCTAACTAGATAATAGACTTTAATATTTCCTTTCCTTTCTGGGTTACTGCCAGTGTAAACAGTATCTCAAAAGAGGTTTAACAGTAAGAACAAGAAAAAGACAAAATCATTTATATATTTTCTTTTTCAAAGCATTAATTATCACCAACAGGACTGTGGTTTAGGTTGAGGTTGTCATAAACTTTATGTCCAATTAAATCTTTACCAAATGCATTTATAATTAATGACTATTCTATCCATTAAAAGGCAATTATTTTCACTAGACTTTCAGAATACTCAATGGCTAAATGCCACATATACAGATAGCCTAAAATTCATTTTAATAATTGACAACTACTCAGATATATGACAGCAAAGCAACTGATTAATAGTGCATTAGTTATTTTTGCCTTCAAAACAAATTGTTAAAATTGTATTTAAACCATGAAAGTTAAAAAATTCTTTGTGCTATGAAAAACATGGCACTAAATGTAAGCCATCACTTGGATCAATGCAGGAAATGCTAATAAATCTGATATACATCAACAGCAGATACCGTAACTCAATAATTGAGTTTATAGTTATAGAAGGAATGATGAAAAGGGGGAAAATAGTAAGAAACAATAGACAGTGTATTTTGATATTATCCAAAAAAAGATCTTAGAACAAATCTTATCACAATAGTATAAGCCATTCATTTAATATTTTTAAGTCTCACCTACTGAGAAAAATAGCAGCATTTTGATGTAAATGTGATTTTTAATTTTCTTTGTTAACTTCTTTCTAAGCAAACACACTTTAAAGAGTAATTCTGATGACTAATCATTAGAAATATCTACTATACTCCAATGTCATTTTTACTTACTAATCCTTATATAAAAAGCAAAAAACAGGAGTATCAGTAGTATTGTTGACAATGCATAATACTGTCACACAAAAAGTCCATAATGTTTCTTGAGTCTATTAGGATTTCTCTAGTGAATTAATCACAAAACATATCTTTAGAGTAATACATTGAAGTAGAAAACTTCTCCCCCTCAATTCAGATGAGATTTTTTGATGACTCACTAATCAGGAATGAGAATTCCTCCAAGTAGACAATATGATCTTATTATAAATAATACAATCAACCAAAACTGCTCATCCTGACTACATACTAATGGACCTGTCCTACTCTAAGAATTACAAATTTCAACAAATAGAAGTAGCAAAACATTCTCTAAGAAAATTGGCTTTAAAGTAAAACATTGACATGGATATGATACAGGTTAAAAAATAGCTTATACCTAACATGTGGTCTTGTGCTGGTAAAATATAATTGGTACAAAACTCTTAAGTTAACAGAAAAATATCCAATTTTTATCAATTTTTTAATCCTAGAAGTATTTTGCAAACAAAGTGGCAAGTAATTCAGTTTTGTATTCAGAAACACTTTGTAACTTCAAACTTTTAGTGATATAATTATTTCCTTAATTGACTTTATAACGGTACTATAGAAATACTGTATCATTTGGAGAATGGCAAATATATTTTATCATTCTAGAACAAACAATTAATGAAGGTTATCATACTTTTAATATACTGATTTGAATATATACTCTAGAGAATTTGCAAATGTGCTAAGAAAACAAAAAGGAAGTTAAGGCAGATGTAGGCTATTTGTAATCTGCCATCCAAACTCTAAAGGAATAATTTAAAATGAGACACTCAGGATTTCTTACTATTAAAGAAAGCATCATGGCTTTTTCCATGAGCATTTAAAGTCAGACATTAACAATAATATTAATAATGAATCTTTCTTATACCATATTTAATTAAATTAATATACTAGGTTTAATTATACTATGTAATTAATTACACTGTAAATAAATATAAAAACATAAGTATTCAAGCAGTAAATGAGGCTTTGTAGCACACTGTAAATAAAAAAATAATAAACCTTACATATTAACACTTTATGACATTTCACAGCATCTTAAAAGATTTTAAATTTACAGAAAGGATTTTTATTTCCTTATCTAAAATCATGGCATTTAACATAAAATTGTATGCTACTCTTAGATTCAAGTCACTGTTAGGAATGGTAACTATTGTGTCCTACTAAAGTACATTAATGTGCCCAGGAACTATTGAAGTCCTTCAATATTCCATCAAGATGTTTTTACTTAACTATTAAAATAATTGGTAATTCTTCACACATCTCCCTCACCAACAATAATACTTTTCAGTGGTTGATTTCTTTTTTTATGTTAAGACACTTAACCAAGAAAAAATTGAAGGAAGCCTAGAAAGAAAATTACCAAGTCTATCACATTTAAATTAAAAAAAAAAAACAAACACACCAGTTAAGTGTGGCTTACTCAACCTATGAAATAAATATATAAACTAAAGAATATGGGTCTTATAACAACTATTTCCCTAAAAATTTTTCTTTATTTCAAGATTCACAAAAATATTATGGATAATATTATGGAAATTTGTAAGACAAGTGAGCTATACCTAATCTATAATAAATTTAATCAGAAAAAAATTTCTGAATTATAAACATAATAAAAAACAAATAGTTAAAATTTATTCAGTTCACAGACTGGTAATCTGAATATAACTGGGTACATAACATATTGAGCTCCCCTTCTTGAGTTTATATAATTAACATCTATTCAGATTATGTTAAGTCCAAATACCCAATTGGTTCAACTCTATACAAATTTCAAAATAGTCAAGACATCAGTTGAACCAGTAAATCTTTACATAAACTTCATTAATGCAGTATTAGCTGAACTCACCATGCTATCTGAACTGCTTATTCATTATTCAAAGCAGTTTGAAAATATGTCCTATATTAGAGTTAATCATGTTGACTTTACAGTCAATTCCCCATCATTGCATCAGGAAGCAGTGGGCTACCTCACTACTTCCCAAGCCCTCCATAAACTTGAAAATACCCTGATCTAAAAACTTCCAAGTGCAAGAATTCTGGGTCTAAGGCGTTGACCAACAGTGAACCCAAGAAGCTCACAGAAGAAAGCCAGAAACTTGTATTTATCACAGACTTTCCTTTTTAATGTTACTATTTTACATCATATATGAAAATCAAAGTACATGATGTCAGCTAGCTCACTATTTCTCAACTGGGGAGTTTCTATGGGTGTATACTGGTGTTGGGGTGAAGGCTGTTTTAGAAAGACTTGAGACCACAAACAGATTCCCCACTCTGGACACAGAACCCTGTAGGATAAGTATAGTAGCTAGCCTGATAAATATTAAACTAGCCTTAGCACAGGAAGACGTTAATAGTTTGCTATCAATACACACATAAAGAATGTTGCAAATACTCTTCAAACCTTGGAAATATCTTAGAATGGAAATTAATTATTTCTAAGATTCTTGTTTCAAATCAAGAAGTATAAGATAGAGATATCCTTTTTAATTACATAAAAATGTCTATCAAGATTTCTCCAGAACTATTTTACATAAAATTATAGTCATAAGATTTTTAACTTGTCCCAAATTTTATTGGATTTTGCTTAAAGTGAATTACCAAGTTTTCTTTCTGCATAATTAAAATATCTAAGAAATCTCTACATATTTGCTTATATCAGATTCTTATTCAGAAGCTCGTTTACTTTGTATTTGATCAATCTTGAAGGCATACATCGGGATTACTTTTTTCCCCAATTAAGTTTGATCACAGAAATTTATATGAACATTCCTAAAGCTCTGCGGCCAAAGCCAAAAAATAAAAAAAAGAAAGAAAAATACAGAAATGCACAGTAGCAACAGCAGGAGCAGCAGCACAAGGCATGCAGTAAATGTAATAATACAACACAAAAACATTAGCATGTTCTGCAACCACAAGCATAAAAAGATAGGGCAGAGGGCATCAGATGGGCACACAAAGTGCAGTGGTCTCTTACACGTCTGCCTTTGCTAGCTGGAGTACAGGATGGAGAGCGCTTCAACAAAGAAAGGAGAATACTACATGTTACAAATATTTACACACATTGCCATTGACTAGTATTTCATTAACAGACAAAAATATAAACATACATATAAAGCCACACTTTTTGGTAGGTTGAAAGTGCATATATTTTCACGAAAAAACTGGAGAATAAGAAAGTAAAGAAACTGTTGGTCACACTAGTTACAAGACTGTTAATAAAGTTTGCATTGAACTTTACACAAACAGCGATCCACAAAATAATGCACCATCAAGTGACGGACATTTTCTTTTCTGGAAAGGTTGGTAGTGGCAACTTGAGAAGTGAGAAAAAAGGTCTAAATAAGGTTTACAAAATGCCAAGTACTTAAAAAGTAATCCATAGATGAGTGGGGAAGCCACTAAAAACTTGACAAGTAGTACAGAGATACAGTTTGGATGGGAACCTGGAGGAGGGTATATAAGAATGTTATGGGGACCTAGAGGAGGGAATTAATAAATGAAGTCTACAGTTATAGAATATTTCAGGGAAAACTTCAAGGATAAGAAGTGCATCAGTTAAGATTATCCGTTTATTTGCATAATAAGTGGCAGACAGGTAAATAGCAACTATTATTAGTACAGGAAACTGAAATGTAAGGTAACTTGAACACTGTATCTCAAAAAGTAGTAAGCCAAGATTAGAAGACCTTTAGAGTTCTAGACAAGTATTTATTTCTTAGTCTAGTCAGTACCTCATTATGGAGGAAACTAAAAGCTCAGCTGTGAACCTGGTTACACTCCCTCAGTTACTAATAGAAGTACCTGTCTCCCCACCCCCCCACACTTCCAAACAAACAAACATTAAACAATGCAATCCCCAACCCTCCCTGGAGCTAATATTTAATCTTTCTCCTCTTTTCCTTAATGATACACATTTATTATGTATATAATGCATGCAGGTGCTTTTCAAAGTACTTTACACATACTAACTCTTTTAATTCTCATAGAAACCCTGTAAGCAGGTATTATGATCCCCGTTTTAAACATGAAGTAAACAGGTTAACTTGTAAAATGTCACAAAACTGGTGAGTCATAGAGCTAGGATTCAAATCTCCTCAGTCTCTACTTCCTAGCTTCCCAACTCACTTTTTAACACAATACCATTTATTTGGCTTATGCATCCAAGTTCGATCATTCTAATGAGATTGCTGAAAAGATCAGCACTTCCTGTTTGTCTCACTGCACCAGTCATCTCAGCTATACGGCAGGATGCTGACTGTTCCCTACTTAGAACCCTGTACTACCTTAGTTTTTGTGACATGACACTTTCTTGAGTAACCTCCTCTTTCTCCTTCTTGGAGTCCTATTTCTCCACCCCCTTCTCAATGTGAACAATTCCAGTTTCTGTTCTCCTCTACTTTTCTCATGCTACACTCTCTCCTGAGAATCTCTTGTATTTTCAAAGATGTTGATTTACAAATCTCAGTTGTTAGTTCTCCTTGTCCTTAAACTTCTGACTCATATAGAAAACAATCTGTTAGACATGTCCATATAGATGTCCCTTTAGGTCCCTCAAATTAACTTAATCAAAATGAAGTTGGTCATCCTTACTCTTTATTAAATCTTTTAATAATTATTACATATGGGAATGATTAAAGCTAAGGTCAATATGGAAAACAGACATTCTAATGCTGGTCCTTCCTGTCTTCAAGCTCATTTCTTAACCCCTGCTTCATTCTTTTTAGTTTCAGCAAGTGTAACTAAAATCTTCCTGTCTGTCCCTACTTCACTGTACTCTGCATGCCTGGGATATACTCTTTTCACACAGCTCCTTTATCTTGCTGACAATATTCACCTGTGAAGACCCAGCTATGGCATTATTTCTTTTAGAAAGCTTTTCTGCATCCTCCTGGATCAGTTAGGTGTCTCTCCTTTATACTCCCTTGGGAGGCAGTCTATGTCATTTATTACTGTATTTCTCACATATATTACAATTATATATTTAGATGAGTGCCTTTTCCACCAGATTCAGACCTTTAACGACAGGAAATGTTATGCTTATGCCTGTAAGTTAAAAAATTCTTAATAAATGTTGAATGAATCCTCTGAAATTCCACAATATTTAATACAGGTATTTCTTATGGCATTCATCACTTTGTGAACTGCATAGTACACAACTATGCATTTCTTCTTACAATAAAAAAAAGCACTTGAAGATCTAGCTCTCTATCCAATTTATACCATTATTTAGTACTATACATGTAAACAAGGCTAAAATGTTTGTTTTTTGGCTATTCCAACTGCCAGACCAGAGTCTGGAGTGAATTAACATCATGAAAAACAGCAACATGCACAACTCAAAGTAAATATGTTCCTATACAATGAAGACACAATTGTCTCTCAAAATTATCTCTGCCTATGAAAGAAAATACTTTTTCTAAGCTGATATTGTGTAAGTTAATAATACTACTAAATCACCATAGTAATAATGTTCTTACCTGCATACCTAGAAATCAGACAACATACGTTTTCAATAGAAAGGGTCTCTGTCTCTCTCTCTCCTTTGATACACACCATGGTTTTCTATAAACAATGAAATTTGGCTCATAGGAAACACTGAAAATAAGTATGCTGTCTTAATATGCAATCACACACCATTTTAAAATATGTATTTTAAATCTAGTTCTATAAATCACCACCAGAACTTTTAAGCTGATAATGGTAGTAAGCACACAATAGAAACCAAAATAAGTACAGTTTATAGTATATGCATATAATTTGGTTAACAGTTTTTAAAGTTCAGGTAATGCCTGAAATTTTCATGAATGCCGTAATTTCTGAAAAGGAATTAGGTCCAGTTTTGGTCACAGGGTTAAAAAATATTTACAATGCATAATTCAAAATTCCACATTCCACTGATTCTCATATGCAATCAACCTTTCCCAGACATGGCTAAAAGTATGCTTCAAAGACTCAGATTTCTGTGATGGGTCATGGTGTAATATGAAAGAAGCTGGAGGTGGCGAGAACAAACGAGAAATGAAGTTAGGAGTCCAGACTGAAGTTAAACATTTTGGCAACATCTTAGTTGTATTTTATATGAGGCCAACACAAAAACCAAGAACCCAGCTTGCCAATATTCTCAGTACTCTGGTTTCTTCTCTTCTTATTTCAAAATACAAAAAAACAGTATTAGGAGGACCAGAAAGTTGGACTACAGCAGCTGTAAAAGGACACAAGGAACATCTCCAAACCAACATGACAGCAGAAGGTGGAACTTTCCAGACTCCATGCCTACTGTCATGTAGATGGTAAAAAGCGGAGCTTTTCAAACTCAACCCCAAAATGGAGCTGATGGGGAAAAGGGTGGATCTGAGGCTTTTGCTGTTAACTGCTGGGGCTTTCGACCAATTAAGCTGCTGGGCTTCCGGCAGTTAAACCACTGGTGAGGAGGAGCATCTGTGAAGAAGCCAACAGCTTGCCACCTACGGCTTCAGTTTGGACCTTGGTCTCTTGAGATAGCCTAGGTAAAAGAAGTTGTGAACCAGGAGGATGAGTTGTCCTAGTCCTACTGTTTGAGCAGGAGCACTGTTGGACTGGCAAGCCCTGTCCAAATAGTTCAGCCCATGAGGTGGTAAGATAGACATTTCCTACAGAGAGAAAGCTGAAAACCCACATGCCCATTTGTAATGGAACCCATCTGCACATGCCTAGGAGTAGCCCAACCTAGAATAATCTATATTGATGCTCTCTCTCATGGACTTACCTTTTAATTATCTCCTCCTAACTTTCTTCAATGAGCCAGGTTATAGTCTCCTTTCCCAAACTAGCTCACTCATGCACAAGTCTCTAATAAAAGTATTGCCTGACTCAGCTACAACTAGTGCTCTCTGGTGAATTCCTTCCTGATCAGGAAGGAACTACCCTTTTGGACTGATGCTTTGTAACATGTTCAGTGGATACTATCTGGAGTAGCACTGACGGCATCCAAGCAGTGCCAGCTTGTGAATACCTTCCCATTCTCTCCTTCCCTCACTCCATTTTTCTCACTTCCTGTGTTACTGTTATCGCACACTGTGTCTGTTTTGGGGTCATATCCTATAGCTGTAAGCACATGGTTGAGGATGCACCCATCAGGTCACAGCCCCCAAGGTTTGCTTGGCTTCGGCTTGGCACCCAACGTGGGACCACATACCTGTGGCTGACTAGCCCAAGGGTCTTTTCCTTGCACTGGCCACCATGAGCACACTGCAACTGCTGCACAAGCGGCAGGATTCTTCTGTCTCTGACTTAGAGTTTAGTAGGGTTCTTCTTGTGTGTTCTTAATTTAGACATGGGTTCCACCTACAGTTTAGTTTGCTCTGCTTCTCCTTTTTTTTTTTTTAATTTTCATTCTTCATTTTTGTACAATGTATGCTTTCTCCTCTCAGGTGTAGTTCCTGTAAAATTCCCACCACCAATTCACCTGTGCACCATCACCATACTTCTGTTTCTACCCCCCTTCCTCTTCTCCTCCTATATTTTCCTTCTTTTCTAAGTTTTGATTTGGTGAATCTGATAAGGTCTGGTGTATGAAAGCTGATGTGTGTCTCATGGGAGATTCTGTGGGCAAACATATGGGGCTCATTTCAACTTCTAACTTAGGTTTTATTTCTTCTGAGGGGTTCTCAGAGTTGCAAGCATTTTCTATTATTTTGTTTTTGGTTTGAGAAGAGATGAGTCTTCTACTTTGACCAAGAGTGTGCTTGAACAAATTCTGGCTGCCTTCAATAAATTAGATTTAGAAAAAAGAGAGCCCATTTGATGACACACAGAAGAGAGAAGCAGCCTTGCCTCCCCCTGAGAGCTGTAGAGGGGAAGATCAGGAAGAGGAGGACCACTACTTACTGGGAACTGAACGCACCAGGGGTAAATTCTTTCCAAGAAGACTTTACCTCTCCTAGGGAGGCTGCAGAGGCTCCACAGGCCTCACTACCATGCCCTCCCCTGGAACAGGATTAGAATGGCTTCTTCTCATATCAGATGGGGCACCAAATTTGACCAAAGGAGTTACCATAAGATAGGACAATTCCTGATGGGTGGGCTGAGTGAGCAGGGGCAACCTGCCAGACACTACTGCTCAGACAACCTCTTTTCTACTAAGGACCTCCTGAATTGGAGAAATTCTGTCCTTCCATATCAGCAGGATCCAAAAAGGATGGTTAATTTGTTTACCTCTATTTTTGTCTGCCATGGTCTACCTGGACAGACATACAACTCATGTTACAAACATATTAACATCACACAAATGGACAGTGGGCTCAGGGAAGGCTAATGAAGAGTCTCATTCTCTCTGCCAGGAGGCTCTATTGATAGAAACCACAGAACCAGAAGGTAGTTCCTAAATGGTTCCCCAATGATGGAAATGCTAGGACCCCAATGAATGGAAAGATTAGAACACTATAAGAGCAGAGACACAGAATTCCTAAGCAAAAAATGTTTTGGTAAGATACTTCCACAAAAGACCAGTGAAGATCCATCTAAATTTCTTGAAAGGATTAACCAAACTTACAGTATTTACAGAGATGTGAATCCAGGTGCTCCAGAAAATACTTGGGTGAATAGCAAACATTCATTTGGCAGAGTACACAACATAGAAAGAAGAAATAGATCAAGATAGAAGGTGCTGTACAGATAGATGTGCCCTACCCATTTGGCAGACATAGCCTTTAGCGTTTACAATGCAAGACAGGAAAGGAGACCTAGGCCTGCAATTGTATTAACACAGAGAAGACAGAACAAGGTTTAGGAGGAACAGAGAAGGAACACAGAGAGGAAGTAGAAGTAAAGCCTTATGGAAGAACCAGTGTTCTTATCACAAGGAGGAGGGGCAATGGAAGAACAGTCCTAGGTTGGAAGTAAGAAAGGGGAGAAGGAATGAGAAAGTTATGAAAAAAGAAAGAGCAATAGATGAAAGCACAGAATGAGGATTCAGACAAAATCACAGAAGGGAACAAAGGCAGACTGAAAGGAATGAAGAAGTGAATAGGGAGGAAAGGAGACAAATGATAGTGTAGGATCATGGATCAGATGAAGAATAGGGGGACACAGGGGCTCTATTTGATCTGAAAAAGTCTTTATGACTACTCCTTGGAATCCTGGGTAACTCTGACTGTGGGGGACCATGTGATTAAGTTTTTGGTAGACATTGGAGCAACCTATTCAGTTTTGAACTCTAAATTACCTTGGGCCAGTAAGAGGCCTGTACCAGAAAGGGACAGTAAGAGGCCCATATAGAAAGGTCACAAAAGAAAGTTCCTACAACCTCTGGAACGCCAATTTGTTGATATAAACCTGCAACATAGCTTCCTAACATGGAGGAGTAGCCAATTCCCTTCCTTGGCCATGATCTCCTAAGTAAATTTGACACACAGGTTATTTTTATTATCCCAAGGTCAGAGATTGCACCCATGAGTCTCGCCAGAACACGTCTTCTGATTCCAACTCAGGATGCTCCACCAAAGGTGAATCACTGCCCCCAGAAATCTATGCAAGGTAAGTAAAGTGGTTTGGTCTGATGGAACTCTGGGACATGCCAAAAATGCAGACCCTGTAAGAATGAAAAAAGGAGGAAAAAAAAAAGGAAAAAGTAGAAGGTAATATGGGAGAAGAGGAGGTACTGGTGGTATAACTCTGAAGAATCAGAGGGCAATATGAAGACACTAGGCATACGGAGAAGGTCAATAATGTGTGGACACCAAAGAAAACTTGATTTCTGCAATTTGGCCGATATAGTCTTATTCCCTCATGCAATTTAAATTTTAGATCTTCAATATAATCATCTTTTCTAAAGCAATGAGACAAAAAAAAAAAAAAGAAACGACTAGAAGACGTGAACTCTGGGTTAAAAATCATGATCTACTTATTATGGGGGTCATCAAAACAACCTAACTAGCTTGTTTCATCACAAATTTCAATCAAAATTTATTTCATTCCTTAAGAAGCCAATGTCTGAGAGAAAGGAAGCTACAGGACTTGTAGCTTGCTTAGATGTTGAACCCAAACATGCCAAAGAGTAAACATTATTCAAAACATCATTCTACTATGACTTTTGAAGATTGATGGTAATTTTGGAAAGGGTAGACATAGTTATGAGCTACAAATAGAAACAAGGATTATGACACAAAATGCAAATGAAGAACTGAAAATGCCGTTTTTAAATGGGAGCTTACTACTGGCCTTCACCCTGATAGGCAACAATCATTCTCCAAAGGTTAAACGATTCAATAATTCAGAAGTAAAGTATAGTGATTCATACTGATGCTTGATAGAAGACTAAGTACTGAAGAATTAAGAAAGTATTTAAGTGAAAATGAACTGATGGACAAAAAAGGAGGCCAGAGAGAACATAGAAAGGGAGGAGAACTGGCCTGTTGAGAGTAAGGATGATAACCAGTATTATTGAGGTCATTATATATTATTTCTTTAGATTTTCAACTAACCTATGAGATTAGCATGATTATTATCCTTATTTATTAGATGACCAAACTGGGGCAAAAGAAGGACACACAACTTGCTCCAAATCACACACCTAGAGGCAAGAGTTTAGTCAACTATGTGCTTAACCAGCAAATTGGAAGAAAGAGCTCAGAAAACAAATGAGAGAAAATCCTGCCTTTTTAGAGTTGGAATCTGAATTATTTAAAGATTCAGCAGCCTTTGTGAACTTTTTTCTTTATACTGCTTTTCTGACTGCCATAAAATTTAGTTGTGTACTTGAGTTAAGTTTATGCTGAGTAACAGTGGATGAAGGACAAGAAAGGGAACTCCTGGAGGAAATGTGAACATGGGACCTTAGTGACCACAGCTGGGGTGGCACTGGAACCTAATGACAGAGACTAGATGGGGGCAGTGGAGGTGTGCATCCCTGTGGGCTCTTCTACTGAGAGGAGCTCACCTATATGCCCAAATACACACAATTGTTTTGTGGGAGAAAAGGAGATGCAGAGAAGAGTGTGTTAGAAAGAAAAATGAAAATGCTGTTCTAATGGAAAGATCAATTTATTCAAACTTCCTTCCCTTTCTTTTTAAGGTGAATGATATCTGTATGGAAACAAAATGTTAAGCATTTTTTTTTTTTTTTTTTTTGGGACCCTCGCCGACGGCCAGGGAATGAACCAGCACTGCAGAGGCTACGGGCAGCCTCGCAGCCCAGCGCTCAACCGCTGCACCACCAGGGGAGGCCCAATGTTAAGTATTTTAAAGGAGTAAAATATGCATCATACTGTAACATGAAATACTATTGTATATATAAAGAGAGATTACTTTTAAATCACACTGTAGAATTAAGTAGAATAGTTCTTTGTTTCAAGAATAATAAAATAGTTCTATTTTGAATGGAAATGTAAGCACTTTGGTATAAATATGTCAAAGAATTCAAAAATCACTTAAAATATTTAAAAAATCCAGGTCAAGAATTTCCTTTACAGGAAAAATTATGCTAAATATGCTTCTGAATTTAATTATATTTTACAAAACAGAAGGAATGAAACATTTAAAGATGTTCCTTTGATTTTAAAAGCACAGTACTTGTATTTGAACCCATTATTATTTTTGGGAAAAAGTGGGTGTTAAACAGGATAGTAAAATGCTTTACAACAAGAATTATTGTGCCATTTAGTATGGAATAGAGAGACTGTATGGCAGGTAGATCTGTACAGAGAATGAGGATCATTCTAATAATATAGATTAGGAACCACTAACTTATTAATTTATAGAATCAGTTTAGGAGAAAAATGATAATGTAGTTAACTTATATAGTATATAGTATATGTGTAACTAAAATCATTTTCCACATTAAAAGAGAAATTTTGACAGCACTAAAAACTGATTTGTAGTAAATTATTATGTTATTATAAGATCTACTGGAAGATTTAATTGAAAAAGTCACTTGTTCTGATTATACCTGCAGAGGATTACTTTTAACTAACATAGAAATTAAATAGTAAAGTGCTAAAAAGAAGAGGGGAGTGTGCCTCAGAAATCACCATGAAAAATAAAAATGAGCAATTAATTCTATATCAATGTATTTATATAATGACAATAACAAATAAGCATTCCAGTCTTCAGAATTGTTGCAGAGAATGGCAATATAGATTCTTTGATGGTCAAAGCATTTTTCAAAGTACATTTTTACTTTATTACATCTAATAGTGCTAAACTCATTATATTTAAGATAAGAAAGAAGCAATTTTGCTTTACAAATTATCAAGTGTGATATTTCTAAAACTGGCAAATTACTGGCAAATTCTTCATATCAATTCACTGATCTCTTTTACTGAAGGATGCATTGGTTTGAAAATCAAAGACTTACGTCATCCAAAAAATCAATCAGTGAAGATGAGGAAGAAGAAAAGGAATCCTATTTAACGAATACAGCAATAAAAAAATAGAAAATATGGATGAAGCAATTTAATAAGAACAAATAATAAATCAAAAATTTGTAAAACAATTGAAAGGCAAATGACATTAATTCAAATAAATAAATGAGTAAAGCAGTCACTGTCATTGTTTCTCAAAAAACTTAGCAATTCATTAATTACTTCTTAAAGAGTGATTCTTTTTCCCTTTCCCAAAGGAATGAAATATAATTTATGTACTGGATCCAAAGTGTAATAAAATGAAGCTCATTCATGGCAAATCACTGATAATCAAATTAAATATAAACACTTCAGAAATGTTTACTAAAAGTAAACACACTTAGTAAGCAACAGAATCTGTAAGCAACAGAATCTTGAAAGCTCTTTGAAGGCGGGGCTTTGTCTATTTGGTCACTACTGTATTTCCAGCACCTGAAACAGTTATTTTCACAAATATTTACAGTAATCTTTGAGTAGTAACTTAAATTTTCTTAGACAAAAATATACTTTATATCATGATTTTTTTTTCCCAACTAAGAATTAAGTAGCAAAGACTGACAAAGAGCCATATAACCACTATTTCATTATTATGGAATATGCCTACTACAATAGTCCATGTATTACTTTAAACAAAAAGCATTCCTATCTATGCATACTTCTGAAAAACTGAATTGCTTTGGAACTAGAATCAGCATTGCCCTATTATTTGCTTGGGCATTTTCACTCATTTTTTTTTTTTTTTAATTGTGGGTCTCTGCTTTGGAGAAAAAAGAAATGCCAGAATTATTCAAATATTAAGATTTGTTCTGCACTTACTGTTTCTCAGGGGAAGAGATAAAATTCAAATTTTATAATGACTCTCATGTTTAGACTTTTACTAGATGTTTTCTTAAACATAAATGTGGTAACAGTTTCCAAGAGAATGCAGAACATGTTCCTTTCCTAGTATGGTTTTGTTTAATGTAAGAGTCTAAGTCCTCTTATGTGGGATGCAATAAAACAATTTTACTGAAATTTTAAATTACAATGAGAATTTTAAATTGACCACAGAGGACATCTGCAAAGTTTAATACTTACTTCAAATTGATCCAGAGCATCGGTAGGCGTATTCAAAAATGCCAAGAAAGAATGCTGTGAGTCTTGGTGCTCTATACCTAGAAGACAGCAGCAACTTTTTTTAAAACTATAATTAAACTAATTTTCATGGATTACCTTTTCTATTTGAATCTACTGAAGGTTATTCACCCAATATTGTATTTCAAAGTTGATCAATATTATTAACCCTACATATTTAACAAACTAAAATACATTAGTATTTCTTGAAATACCATTTAATAGTATTTAAAATATGTTCTTCACCAAATACTTGTTTCTTAACTTACATGAGTTCTTGCATTTCTTTGTCCACTTAGTACATCATTAAAAAAATATTAAATCTTTTGGTAGACTTGAGAATTTAAAAAACAGGACCATGATTATGTCTAATTTTTCTAAGCTAATTTATTACCAAACAAGGTATCTGTTTTGAAATAATAAAGCATATGGTAAGCACTAATAAAACTTATTATAAGAAAAAAAATGCAGTGATAAAACAAATTCATCTGCTTATGAAAAAACTTTTGTTAAGACATCAATCTTATTTTAGGTATTTTTTAAGGATAGAAAGAAGAACCCTAGTTTTTCTCAGGTTACTTTAAATGATTTCTTGCATATCTCTTGACTGTATTATTAATGTTAAATGTATAGTTTCCAAAACAATTCATAAAACATAGACATAATAACTACTAGGAAAGAAAAAGCAGAAACAACCAAGACACATTTTTTTATTTGCATATCCTTAGGAACTGACATCAATAAATCTGTGTGCTTTTCATAATACTCTCTAATAATATACCATAGTTGCCAGATAAGGCAGTATGTTTGGAATTTCATTCAGTCAATAAATACTTATTTAGAGCCTATTATATGTAAGATACTGTATCAAATAATGAGGATAGTATATAAAGCAGAAAAAAAATCCTTGCCCTCATTATGTAAATATTGTATTGTTACTTAAGTAATATATATGGTCCTTTTATGTGAATGTGATTATGCTCTTTCCTCCAAAATTTAAAAGGAGATGCAGAGACCCAACTAGATTCACATACTGTGTGTCATGGGGATGGGAATCACAGGGTAGTATTTGGGCATAACATAAATCCAATTTAACTAGTTCAGTGTTCAGCTAGAACAATGACTTTGTCAGAAAAATTAACTTCTAACAACTGCATAATAAGATACATCTTCATTAAGAAAATAACATTTTGAATTTATTAAATCTTCACAGTCTTAATGCCCACATTAAGGGGGAATAAAGTTTAAGTTCATGTAATAGAGAATTATCAAGCATTCTGAGTTACTTTTCATGTTGATGGGAAAACACTTAAGTAATGTTTTCAAGAAAATGGGAATACTGGGAAATCCCCAGGTCAGCAATTTAAAAGTCAAATATACCGAAATGCCAGAGTAATTCTTCATTATTGAATTGCCCTTCTAATCCCAGTTTAATCTTACATTGTTTCCTCAACTACCCAAAAAGTAATTTCCCTATGTCATTTAAGAATAGTGCAAAGTGTATTATAAAATAAATTTTGCCAATCACAAAAATATTATTTATGGAATAGTCCTTGGCACTGAAAAAAATAGTCAATTTAGGGCAAAGTGAGTTTTTCTGTTATTACGAAATTTTTAAACAATATAGACAGATATATACACATGTATATTCACACATATACACGTATACACACATATACATAAGTGTTAAAGTTACTTATGTGAACAATTCTTCTACCAAAGCAATAATAAAAGGGCCTTATAACATTTAGTCCTCATTGACACAAAACACATTCTCATACCCTTTTCAGATCTAAGCTCTTCAGTGTCCTTTAGCAGTTGTTCGATTTCTGATAGTAGTTCCAAGTTCTTCTTCTCTGAATCTTTTAGTTTACTTTAAAAAAAGGGGGGTGTGGGGAAGGAAAAATATCATTATTTTTATTTCTAGTTTGTGAACCATCATGTATATAGTTGGATTCACTTGGTTTAAATGTCAGTCATGTTAAATTAGGGAACTGCAACCTATTGCAGGAAGGACAAATTCAGGTTACCATGGACTCTCATGGTCAGTAGTTTTACTTGAACACAGCCAGGATCATTTATTTACATATTGTTTATGGCTGTTTTTGCACTACAATAGCAGACAAAGACTATGTGGCCCATAATGCCTAAAATATTTAATATCTGACCTTTCATTAAAAAATTATGTACCCTAAGCTAAATAATTAAATTTTAAAATGTCATAAAATCAAAGGTTAATTTTATAATTCTGTTAGATTTTTTTCTTAGGAAATTATGAAAGTAGAGCATATTATGAATAGGTATAAAATTTTCAGTTTGACTCACATCTCTGATTTATGAATAATTGTGTAAATTCATATGCCCTAAACATAAGAAAAGAGATCATGTTTATTTCAAATTACAAGCCAGAGGGAATGACATTCAGCAACTCTTTATGCTGGGATCAATTCATATTCTCCAGAAAAATATTTTTCCCCTTTTCAATGCCACACAAGCATAAGTAAAGCACACTTTACTGGATTATTCACAACGAAAAGTTTGTAACTTAACTGGGGTACCACAAACATTACTGACTGTAATTGAAGAACTAATGTGTCAAAACTGAATTTATGGGTCTATATTCTCCTTATGACTAAATATCTTTGGAATCTTGTACTTCAAGAAAAGTACCAAATGAATTTTTCTACTGATAATTTTATTAGTAATGTGAACTATTCTTTTGTTTCTGTATATATTCCTGTGCCAACATACTCTCAGACCCTGTTCATATCCATTCTAATTATGATTTTCATTTATCATTTATTTACTCAGAGTATATAATATGCTCTACTGTTATAATAAAAATTGAAAGATGTATTCACTAGCTAATAATTCAAGAGAATAGGGGACATATATTTTTAAGATATAAAAGAAAATGAAAAACAATATAATTAAAATATATCATTATAAAAATTTACCATTGATAGAACCTTTATTTATAAGAGATCTATGGTAGAGGCCAGAATTTTCAGATGACTGTATTTTTCCAACTACATGTTGCACTTATATACAAATATGATATTCGTGAACATGACAGAATTCTGGATTTAATGGAGTAAAAGTTGAGAGCCAACTTAATTTTTAAAAAGGGAGAAAAATAAGCAATGGAATATGAATTGGTACTATTAGCATCAATTCATGGACAAATCAGAGGAAAATAAGGCTATGTTTAAATCACATCTCTGCATTCAAGGCTTGAAAGCATCTGTTTTCACATCTTCATAATCCTTTCTGGTCATCACTGAAAAAACAAGTGATTAGGTAGGAAACTAAACATGTAGCTTCCCTCTGAATACTGCCGGATCAACTTAGAAATTATCCTAGTGGGAATGTATTATTCAGTCGTACCATTCTGTTATGATGTTAGAGGCTTTAACTTTATTAAGCTCTTCTTGGATGGCCTGTTTGGCTCTTATTTCTGCATCCAAAGCTGACTGCAACTCCAGCCTTGCTGACATATCCAGCTTTGCAAAACGACGCATTTTCCAGGGCATATCCTACGAAGTGACAAGATTTGTGTTTTTAGCTTTATCTTTTTTATTTTTAACATTAAAATCAGTAATCCAAGTGGGTCTGGAGACTATTAAACTGCATCATCTTTCTCTAATAGCAGAATAGAAACATTGCTTATAGAAACATTATTTTTCATTAAATTCTGAAATAATTGTAGACACACACATAAATGAGTTTTGTTAATAGTTATTATCAATAATGGCAGCCATACACATTATAGTTAAGCACATAAGTGGTGATTTGCTACACTGGAAAAGACTTGGACTATATTATTTCTCATGAAAAACCACAGTGAGCTAAAGCCAAGACAAACAGACTGAAGCACTCAGATTTATTAGTTTTTTTGAGACTACACATGTGATTAAGACTCCATGCAAAATAGCAGAGCTTACGGTTGCTCGTGTACCCAAGCTGGAATTTCTTAGTGCTTCCAATTCTTCAGTCATTTTAGAAGCTAAGGCCTGAAGATACCCTCGTGCATCCTTTTCATCACTGACCCTAGAATATATAAAGGCAGAGATAAAGTACAAAAGTAAAAGAAACAGGAAAACTTCAGTGACATATGTATTATTTCAAAGCATCAAAAAGGAGTAGAAATTGTTCTTATTTCAAATTGTCAGCTGTATGCAGCAATTAAAAAAACTATCTTTTTTTTTTTTAAAGGTTACCACAGTACTACTAGAAGTAAACAAATAGGGAGAGGCTTACTGAACAGTTCAGACACCTACAAATTAGAGCTGGCCATGTTTAGCAAAGTCTGAGTTAGTCATGTCTGATGAGTTAGTACAACTGTGTCCTTTAACCACACAATGAATACTCTTTCATCCAACATGAAGCACCCAAATACTCTTGGATATTAAGATTTTTCATTAATTGGATTCTGCCATTTTATCTTATGAAAACACAACACATCCTTCTTAAAACTGAAGCATACTATATTTAGAAACTTTAACGTAGAATATTCTGAAAAAATCAGGGCTATACTGCAAAAAATGGTCCAACAAAAGAGTAAAGTCTACTGAAACTCAGATTCTATTTACTGTCTTAAGGCTATTTTTGCTGATGCAATTATGATTTTAGACAGAAATATTTTCAAATTATATTCAATGAGACAAACACCACATTTTAGAATTTTCCAAGAGGAAGTCTGCATTTGTTACATCTCCAAAAAGGGGAAGAACACAGTGGGATCATGCTATTCTCAAGAATGAAAACCACTGGTATATAGAAAGCGATGAGGGAAAAAAACAAAAACACAAGTTAATATTTACAATGCTCAGAAGTATATTCTAACACTTAGGGGAAGACAATTTGCCTTTGTTGTGCTGTTTTGTTTTGTTTTTTCCCCCACAGAAAAAATTCAGGCCATTGAAGCAATCAGGAAAGTAAATCAATATTGATCTATGGTGGACACAGAAGATAAATTTAAATCTTGAGCTTTGCTTCAGTATCTTTTAGAACAACTCCTGAGGAGTCAAATTCATATTTAACTAACTAGCTAGCTTTAAGAGAATCTTTAAAAGGGAGAAGAACTTTCTTCCCTCAGATGGGGAGGTGTTGAGGGGAGCATAAGCAAAATAACCTAAAAGAAGGAACCAGATAGTTGTAAAAAGTTGTGTACCCTAGTGACATTTACATTTGTATGCTACACATATAAGCATTTTTTCATTGCCTGTTGAAGAAAATATTAAGAAAGCTGTATAGAAGGAGTCTGTTTCCTTCTAAAATTCTTTAACTTTGGACAAGTGACCACAATCTTTCTACCTAATCACCCAATCTAAGTATAAAGAACATATGAGGAAGGAGGGAGATTACCTTCTGTAGAGTATAAAGAAAGACACATAGAGGATATAAATGAAGAAAATATTATCTAAATGGCCAGGTTAACATGTACAGGCTTTTCCCAATACAAAAAAAGTTCCCTGCCCTAGCTGCCTCAAGCCCTGACATCCTTTATCTCCTTCCCTTTCATTGGCATACTACTTATATCTAACTGCTACAGTATTTACCCCTGCACTCACTCACTTTTTTTTTTAAAAGATTTTTTTATTTACTCATATAAGAGCTGGGGTGTAGGCCAGAAATGGGGTGGTGAGAGGATGCACCAGAGACAGAGTGGGGAGCAGAACAGGCAGATTGACTGAAATACACTGCTGAGGGGAGCAGCAGGTGAAGCAGGAGAGGTCTGCTGAGCCATGTGGGTCACCTCCCTGGCTGGGGATTGAACTTGGGCTTGCAGTGGCTGTGTATGGCTTCATAGTGCTGAGACTTAACCCCTTGCACACCAGGGAGGTCCCCTTCACTCACTCTTACATATGCTCTTAAGTCTAATTTCTACTTGAACTATTTTGCTGAAGCTGAAACTATAGTCTATTAAAATAGTAGGAAGACAGATAGTTAAGATGTAGACCTTAAAAACTTCGGGAGTTGTACACATACTAAAAACTTCATTTTTTCTTGGTGGGGGACTTTTTTTTTTAATGTGGTAACATTGGTTTACAACACTTTATATGATTTAGAAGAGGTTCACAATTCTTTAAATGTATGTTAACAAGCCACACCTATCACCAAAGTATCAATAACCTCCCATCACAGGCCAGTGGACCCTAAACTTTGCACTTACCATCACCCCCTCTCTGGTAATCTTTGTTGTTCAGTATCCAAGGGTTTCAGCTTGTTTTTGTCTGTTTTTTTTTTGCTTTGTTTCTTTGTATTGCATTGCTTCTTTGTATTCCATGTATGAATGAAATTATCTTCTTCTGACTTATTTTACTCAACATAATACCATTTCATTCCATTCATGTTCTTGTAGGTGACAAGCTTTCATCTTTTTTTTTAAATAGCTGAGTAGTATTTCACTGTGTTCATATACAACATCTTCTTTATGAAATCACCCATCGATGCACCCTTAGTCATTTTCATAGCTTGGTTATTGTAAATAATGCTACAATGAATATAAAAGTACATACATCTTCACAAGTTAGTGTTTTTATTTCTTCAGCTAGATACCTAGGAATGGAGTTGCTGGATTGTGTGGTAGATTTATATTTAATTATATTTAATATTTTGACCCTCTATACTGTTTTCCATGTATGATGAAACAGCCTACATTCCTATCAACAGTGAATGAGGGTTCCTTTTTCTCTATATCCTCCTTGATACTTGTTTCTAGATGTTTTGACATGGGCCATTCTCACAGGGTTGAGGTGGTATCTTTTGTGGTTTGATTTGCATTTGTAAGTGATGTTGAATGATTTTTTTTTTTTTATGTACGCAGGTTATCTGAATAATTTCTTTAGAAAATGTCTAATTGGGTCTTTTGCCCACTTTTTGATTCAGCTGTTGATTTTTTTGTTTGTTGGATTATATAATTACTTTGTATTTTTTGGAACTCGGCCTTGTCAGATATACAACAGAAAGTTCTCCCATTCTGTAGGTTGCCTTTTTGTTTGTGATGGCTTCTTTTGAGATACAATACCTTTTTAGTTTGATTACAATACCTTTTTATTTTTGCTTTTGTTTCCTTGTCACTGGATTTGTAATCCCAAATATGTTCTTGTGGTAGATATATCCTATAGTGTGTCCCTTATGGTTCCTTTCAAGTACTTAATGATTTCAAGTTCTTTTATCCATACCTATAATCTATTTTGAATTCATTTTTGTGTATGGAATTAAAGAGGCTCTTTTTTCTCCATTGTATGATCATGGTTCCTTTGTCAAAGATTAACAATCCATATCTGTGATCTCTGGGCTTTATATTCTATTCCATTGGTCTGAGCTGTTATTTTTGTTCTAATACGATACTGTTTTGATCACTGCTGCTAAGTAGGCTAGTTTTATGTCAGGAAAAGTAATACCTCTCTATTTTTCTTCTTTTCTCTCAGGATTGTTTTAGCTATTTTCCTTCAGAGTCTTATAGTTTCAATATATAGGTCCTTAACCTCCTTCATTAAGTTTACTCAAAGTATTTCATTCTTGTAGTGTTTTTGTAAATGGTAAGTTTTCATTATTTCTCTTTCTTCTGATACAAAATTTACATATAGAAATGCAACTGATTTTTGTGTATTGACTTTGTTTCCTGCCACTTTACTGCATTTACTATTTCTAGTAGTTCTCGGGTAGTCTTTTAGGTTTATTATGTATATTATGTCATTTGCAAATAGTGACAGTTGTACCTGTTTTCCAGCATGGATTCTTTTTTATTTCTTCTCCTTGCCAAACTCTGGTTGAGACTTGCAATACTGTGGTCACATTGGACATCCTTGTCTTTTTTCATGATCTTAGTGGAAATGCTTTCAGCTTTTTACCACTGAGTGTGACACTGGCTGTGGGTTTGTCACACATGGTTTTTATGTTTAGGTAAGTTCCCATTATATTGAAAGTTTTTATCACAAATGGATGTTGAATCTTGTAAAAAAAAATTTTGCCATCTATTGAAATGACCATGTGATTTTTTATTATCCTTTTTGTTAATCTAGTGAAGGAAACTGATTGATTTGTGTATGTTGTCTAGCCTTGCGCCTTGGGATGAAGGCTGCTTGATAATGGTGCATGATTCTCTTAATATATTGCTGTATTTGGTTTACTAGGTGTTTGCTGAGGATTTTTGTGTCTTGATTCATCAGGAATATCAGTCTATATTTTTCTTTTTTTGGAATGGTCTGTTTGGTTTTGGGATCAGGGTAATACTGGCCTCACAGAATGTGTTGTGGAGTTTTCCACCCTGTTCACTTATTTTGAAGAGTTTTGGTAGGATAGGAACTAGTTTTCTTTGAAGGTTTGATAGAATTCACTAAAGAGGCCATCTGGCTCTGGGCTTTTGTTCTTAGGGAGACTTTTTATTTACTCTTTCAATTTCTGTGCTTGTGATTGGATTGTTTAACTGTCTATTTCATTCTGGTTTGGAAGAAAAAAAATTGTCCATTTCTTCGAGGTTTTCCAATTTGTTTGCAAAGGGATGTTCATAGCAGATTCTTAAGATTCTTATTCTTATCTTAGGATTCTTTGTATTTCTGTGGCATCTGTTGTAATTTTGCCTCTTTCATTTCTGATTTATTTGGGGTTTCTCTCTTCTTAGCTAAGGGTTTGTCAATTTTATTTTTTCAGAGAATCAGCTCTTGATTTCACTGATCTTTTAAGCTGTCCTTTTGTTTTCTATTTAATTTTTTTATCTCCTTTATTACTTCTTTCCTTCTACTGAGTTATGGATACATTTCTTGTGCTTTTTCCACATCCCACAGAAGTAGAGTTAGATTGTTTGAGTTTCCTTTAAAATAAAAAAGTAGGCCTGTATTGATATGAACTTCATTCATAATCCTGCTCTTAGAGCATTCCCCACAGGATCTGGTAGCTTGTCTCTCCATTTTCATTAGTCTTTAGATTTTTTTTTTGTTTGTTTCTTCTTTGATTTCTTCATTGACTCAGGGTTGTTGAATGCATTTGGCTTAGTCACTACATGCTTTGGCTTATTTGAGATTCTTTCTGTATGTTAATTTCTAGCTTTATATCAATGTGATTTGAGAAGATGCTTAATATAATTTCTATTTTCATAATTTTCTGAGACATGCTTTCTGTCTCAGTATATGGTCTATTCTTGAGAATGTTCCATGTGCACTTGAAAAGAAAGTATATTCATTTATTTTAGGAAGGTAAGCTCTGCAAAAGTCCATTAAACCCACATGGTCCACAAGGCTCATGCTCCAGGACACAGTTAGGTCTGGACAGCAGGATGTGCCCAAGTGGTTTGTATGTCCCAGTGTCAGGCTACAACCATAGCAATGGCCTGCCCAGCCATAATGGACCTGAGTGGCAAGGGCTACACACCCACTTGATAGTTTTTAAGGTAGTAGTAAATTGTCTCTTTCACAGTCTTCGTTTCTGCTATTGGGCCCATGAAGGTGCCCAGCCTGGCCACACATAATGACCCCTTGATCTCTTACTATTGGAATGGGGTAGTAGGAGAGCTTTCCTTGGCTGCACTGGTCCTGGAGTTCCAAACATCCCAGGTGGGACCTGCACATGTGAGTGATGGTACACCCTTTCTGAAAAGTTCCTCCAGGGAAATTCATAGTGACCTGGAGTGCCCCATCCTCATGCCATGGACAGTCAACCTAGAGCCTGTTCTGCTGGCTGGAGTAACTACTTTCTCTGTCATGCTCCCCTTTGCCTCCTCCCTGCTTTCCCCACAGCCTGCCACTAACCTTAGTTCATTTCCTCTGTGAGGCAGTTCTGGGATTTTGTTGGGAAACTTCTGAATCTTTCTTTGGACTAATATTTTTTATATTGTTTTTAGGGAAAAGGTGATCCCAACCTCTATTCTATCACAATGTGGAAGAGAATAACATTTTCTTTTCTTATAAAGAAATATCATTTTTAAATTACGCTGTATAAAGCTGATACAGGATATTTTTTGGTGTTTGGGAACAGAAAATACAGAACATAAATCAGTGATAAGTAAAAAGTCGGTAACATAATGCTTTTCAGGGTATTATTTTTCACAGCAAAAAATAAAGACAAAGAACAAGTTAGTAGCTTCCTGGAATTCATATCAACCTGGTCATATATGCAAAAATCACCCATAAAAACACATTTAAAAGAGTACTCACCATTGAATTATTTCTGTGATTTGGGCTTCCCAATGTGCAACTGATTCTTTCTTATCTGCTAGATCTTTTACCTCTTCTTCTAACTGCTGGTTGTGAATACTTAAGTTCTCATACAATGTGGTAAGCTGAAAGGTAGTTTTAAATGCATGTAACTTTTAGGAACAGGAATTCAAGGTACTTAAATGCTTCTTGTTAAGCCTGATAACTCACCATTTTCTACTCAAAATACTTGTCTTCCTGATTTCTTATTATGCACCAGTTTGATTACGGAATTTGGAACATAAGTACTCTTTGAATTCTTTTGCCTTTGCTTTTTCTCTTACTTCCTATATTGAAATTAGTTACATTTGTGAAAATTCTCCATTTGTGAAAATTCTCCATTTGCCTGAAGAACTCCACAACTATGCCAGTAACATCTCTGAATTTTTTTTTCTGAAAATGTCTTTATCATCCATTAAAAAAATCCAAAACCTGGGCCTCCCCTGGTGGCACAGAGGTTGAGCGCTGGGCTGTGAAGCTGCCCACAGCCTCTGCAGCGCCAGTTCAATTCCTGGCCACCGGCAAGGGTCCCACATGGCACGCAGACCTCTCCTGCCGTGCCCATTGCTCCCCTCAGCAGTGTATTTCATCAATCTGCCTGTTCTGTTTCCCGTTCTGGCTCTGGTGAATTCTCTCACCCTCCCGTGCTTCTGATTGTACCCAGTGCTTGTATAAATGTATAAATAAATAAATAAATATTTAAAAAAAAATCCAAAACCTAATAAAGAATTCTAAGCATGAACAAAAAGTCAGTAGAATACAAGTCTATCACACAAATTCAACATTGTTTTGTTTATAATTCTTGTCTTCTCACCATTTTTCCTGTATTATTCTGAAGCAAATAACAAATCATATAATTTTACATTTCTCATTTCTGTGTATCCCTAGGGAAAAAAGGCTCTTTCTTTTAAAATATAACCAATGTCATTATCATACTTGAAGTAGATAAGTTTCTTGCTATTATCAGATAGGTAATAATTATTCATATTTCTAGTTCTTAAAATATCAAAAAACTAAAGTTTATTGAATTGAGTAAAGATACCAGCAAGTTAACGTGGCTGAGTGATTGTTATATCTTTTAAGTCTCTTTTGTAGAGGCTCCTGTATTAGTTTCTTTGGCCTGCTATGACAAAATACCATGAACCTGAGTGAATTAAGCAAGAAATATTTTTTCTCATATATTTCCAGGTTCTGGGAAGTCTACAACCAAACTATGGTATCTGATGAAGGTCTGCTTTTGGTTCATAGTTGGCTGTCTTTTTTGTATGTCCTCAAGATGATGAAAGGAGTGAATGAGCTCTTTGAGGTTTCTATTATAAGGGCATAAATCATATTCATGAAGATTTTGCCCTAATGACTAATGATTTCACCCTAATGACCTATGAATATTGGAGGAACACAAGTATCTATTCCATAGCTGGTCCCCTCTAACATGTTTATTTTTCTTGTAGTTTATTTGTTGTAGAAAGTAGATTTTTGTCCCACAGATTTTTCTACAGTATAAATTTTCACCATTTTTGAAAGATTTTTTTGTTGTATATAACATTCTAGGTCATTTTACTTCATTTTATTTCAATATTTTACTTTAACACTTTGAAAACATCACTCCTTTATATTCTTGATTCAGTTTTTTCTGTTGGGAAGTCAGCAGTGTAACTTTTGCTCCTTTGAATATAATGGGTCTTTCTTTTCTGGCTGCTTTTATGATTTTCTTTGCTGTTTTTCAGCAGTTTTTCTAGGATGTGCTTAAGTGGAGTTTAATTGCTGTTTATCACTGTTAGGGTTATTGAATTTACGGCTAAAAGTTTCTCATAGGTTTTGGAAAATTATGAGTCACTTACTCTTCAAATATTGCTTCTGTCACAGTTTCTCTTCTCATGCTGGGAAGCAAATATTTGTGTATCAGACATTTTTATCATGTGCCCTGTCTCATACCCTCTTTTATATACATTTCCATTTTTTAAATGTCTATCCAAATTTAGTCTATAGAAAAAAATTTATGCTTACTTATTCCTTTCTTTGGCTCTTCCTAATCCACTATTAAGACTTTCTATTGAGTACTCAAGTTATTTTATTTTCTGCTTCTAGGAATTCTATTAGACCCTTATCAAGTGTTTACTTATATTCTCCATCATATCTTCTATTTTCTTGAACACATCATACACTTATTTTAAAGTTTTTAAACTTTAGAAGAACTATTTACTGAAGATTTGTGGGGGGTGAGGAGTCATGTAATTGTTTATTTTAGATTTCAACTGACTGGGTCAGAGGGTACCACACAACTGGGCAAATTTATTCTGGGGTGTTTTTTTCTGGGTGAGAGCAGCATTTGAATCCACCAACTAAACAGATTACCCTCCCAAATCCCAAATGGATTACCCCATCCAACCAGCAGAAAGCCAAAACAAAAAGGCAGAATCTAGCAAGTAAGTCACCAAAGGGCAAAGTTTCATTCCTTCCTTTTTGAAAAAGGAACAAATTATTTCATGCATATTACTTCACTTAAACCTACCTCAAACCTCTTTGTCTTCTGAGAAGAAAATGAGGTTCAGAAAAGCTACCGCTGCCAACTCTCACAGTAATTGTCTGCTTGCAATAAGAAATTTAAGTTTTGTACCTCAGGGAGTGTTTAAATCCTTGAAAACTGATTTTACCAGTTATTTCTTTGTACAGCATTACTGATGTATAATATACATACTATAACACTCACATAATGATAAGTATATGGTTTGCTGATTTCTAGTAAATGAAACATTTGTGCAACAATCATCTCAATACCACTTGAAACACTTTTGACTCCTGAGAAATTTCACTCATGTTGGTTTGCAGTTAAACCTGGCTTCTACCCAAGGTTGATCTACTTTCTCTGTCTATAGTTTTGCATTTTCTAGAAATTTTATATTAATGGAATCATACAGGTATGTTTTGTGTGAGGCTTTTTTCACTTATATTATTGAGGGTCAAACATGGTGCTACATATATCAGAAATTTACTTTTTTTTTAAACAGCTGAGTAATATTCTATGATATAGCTACTAGAATGCTTATCCATTTACTAGTTGGACATTTGTATTGCTTCCAGTTGTTTTCTACTATGAATAATGATGTTGTGAATATTCACAATCAAGTCTTTTAAAAATTCTTTTAAGATTTATTTATTTATGCATACAAGAACTGGGTACAGGCCAGAGGTGTGGGGGGTTGAGAGGATTCACCAGAGACAGAGTGGGGAACTAGAACAGGCAGACTGACTGAAATACACTGGGGAGGGGAGCAACGGGTAAGTCAGGAAAGGTCTACTGTGCCATGTGGGTCACCTCCCTGGCAGGGGATTGAACTCGTGCTGCCGTGGCTGCAGACAGCTTCATAAGTTGCATCTTAACCCGTTGTGCCACCAGGGAGGCCCCACAATCAAGTCTTTTAAAAGGACTATACTTTCAATTCTTTTAGAGAAGCATTTAGGAGAATTTGGGGTTATATGGTAAGTATATCCATAACTTGAGAAATTTTGGAATTATTCTCTTAAGTGGTTATACCAGCTTACACTTTTATAAGCAATGTATGAATTCCAGATCCTCCACCTTCTTGCCAACCATCGGTGTGGTCACTATAATTGATTGTAGTCACTTCAGAGGTACAGAGCACCATATTACTGTTGTTTTAACTTGTATTTCCCTAATGACTAATGATATTAAGTCTTTGCATATGCTTATTTGTTCATGTTTTCTTTCATAAAATGTCTATTCAAATATTTTCCCCATTTTTTCATTGGGTTATTGTAAAATTTCTTAAGTTTTAAGAGTTCTTTATATTTTTGAAAAAATTTATTTATATAACATTTGCTTGTAATACTATATAGAGTCCAGGAATACATTTTAGCACCTCAGCAAGATTTCTTTATATATTCTGAATATAAGTCTTTTATCAGATAAATAAATTATAAACATTTCCTCTGTATCGGTATCTTTTCATTTTCTTTATGTTCAATTTTTCCATTTTTTTTTCTATTAAGAAATTATTTTTCTCTTATGCCTCTTTTCTCTTAAGGATTCTGCTTGTAATGTCATATCTATGAAATCTTTGATTAATCCCAAATTACTAAGATTTCCTGCTCTTGGTAGGACCCTGCCTTAACTTAATTAGCCATGACAGAGGAAAATACAAATATGAGAGAAAAGAATGAAAAATGTAATAGGTAAAGAGTAAAATAAAGACTGGAAACTCAAAAAGTAAATGGGACAAAGAATAGGAGGAAATCCTCTTTTCAGGAAACTCCTATACAGATTTATATAACAAAAAATTACCTAGAGCATAAAAGCAAGCTTTACTTACTAGGTGGAACAGTAAACCAAAAATATATACCAAATATAAAATTATACCCACAGTTTCTTTCCACAATTGAGCATCCAGTATGTGCTAAACTAATGTAAATGAGATTGACTCACTCACCTTATCAAGTTCACTTGTCAGTTTTTTATTTTCTTCAGTTAACAACACTTTCTCTCGTTCATACTGTTGCTTGAATTCATTTTCAAATTCTTCCCTTTCACTTTGACTAACCCAATTCAATGCATAAAAGGAAGAAAAAGAAATTGAACAAAAGGTAAAATAATGGTATCTTAGATTGGCTACTGTACCATATGCTTTATTCTGAAAATTCACTTATATTTTGATTGTTCCCAATCTCAATCCTTTATCTTAAAAGTCACAACCATTTTCTTTGAATTAGTAAATTGCTCTATCTGCTTAATAACATCTACTTTGTTTTTCAGCTGAAAACCTGAGGAAAACAGCTATGATTTGCAGTCCTCTTGGCTGTGCTCATCTTACTGGTTATGTACATACTAGAAAGTATGGGGAAATTAGTTAGGGAAAGAGGAAACTACATGAATCACATTTTAACCCTCAACTAACTCATCCATCACACTACTTGATTTCAACTGTTATCTATTATGCTAACAATCTCTGAATCCACATTTGAGAGGTAATGGGGGCCAGACCAAGTGCTTTAATCGGTGGATTTGCTATCTCCACAAAGATGTCACCCAAGAGCTTCAAATTCAACATGCCCAAGTTGAGAGAGTGCAACAGTTATCTACACTCTCCTTTCTTTTCTCTTACTGTGTGTAAAAAATGTAGCTCAGGTTAATAGTTTGTTGTGAGCCTAATGAAGTACAGCACTACATGTACTATCATATCCTAATATTCTATTAGGAAATTTCTACCAGACTATAAGCATGGTATTATTTCTCCTATTATAAAGAAAACTAAGATAATTCTTTTGAGCTAAATCTCTCCATTCATTACTACCTCATTGCACTGCTTGCTCTTACAATTAAAGACAAAGTAACGATAGTGTCATCTATACCCTGTCTCCAGTTCTTTAACTGTTTGGATCCCACTGTAGGGTTTTTGCCTTTAATATTTCACTAAAATTGGGCCTCCCCTGGTGGCACAGCGCTTGAGCGCTGGGCTGCGAAGCTGCCCACAGCCTCTGCAGTACCGGTTTGATCCCCAGCTGCTGGCGAGGGTCCCACATAGCACACAGACCTCTCCTGCCATGCCTGCTGCTCCCCTCAGCAGTGTATTTCGTCAGTCTGCCTGTTCTGTTCCCCGCTCTGGCTCTGGTGAATTCTCTCACCCTCCCACGCTTCTGCCTGTACCTAGTGCTTGTATAAATAAATAAAATCTTAAAAAAAATATATTTCACTAAAATTGTTTTACCTAAGACACCAATGACCTTCACATTGCTAAACTCAACTGACACTAGTGCTCATCTTATGTCATTCGAACCTCATCTCATTCAACATGTAGACAGATTTGATATACTTTCATCACATGGCTTCCTGGACTCCAAATTTACCTGGTCTTCTTCCTGCCCTCTCTATCTACTTTGTTGTTTCTTCCTCATCTCCCAATTTCTACAGATTGGGGTATACAAGGTCTCTACCCCAAGACCTCTTTTCTATTTATGCTCATTTGCTAAGTGATTTCATGTAGTCTCACTGCTTTAAATATCATATGAGTGATAAATACTCCAGGGTTTTACCTCTAGCTCTGAAATCCACAGTGGTTTGAATGATAATCTACTTGACATTTCCACATGGGTGTCTAATAGACAATGCACACGTAACTTCTTTAGAATGAACTGCTGGTAACATTCTCATCCCAAACTTTCTTCTCTTATAGTCTTCTCTCTAAGCAGTAGCTATTTACTCCTAATTGCCAAGGTCAAAAACCTCAGTATCATCCTTGATTCTTTCTCTTCCAGTCTCATCCCATACCTAGTCCATGAGCAAATACCATCATTTTTATCTATAAAGAACACCAGAATTCAAACAGTCCATCCATTCTGCTACTATCCAGGGCCCAAGTCACTATCATCTTTTCCTGAATTACTGCTATAGCCTTTTCAATAGTTCCATTGTTTTTTCTCTTATCCAAATCAGACTATTCTTAACCCAGCAGAGTAATTCTGCTAAAACATAAGTCAATTTTGCAAATTTTCCACTCAAAATCCTGCAATAATTTCTGCTATGTTTTCACTCAGAGTAAATATTTTAAGTCAACTGAACTTGATATACAAATCTTGCATGATCTGGCCCCTATTACCTCTCTTACTAGTCATCCCCCTTAATTCTGCTTCAGTCACACTGGACTCATTATTACTATTTTTTCATAGACTATATATTTCAAGAAAAGTTTTAGGTTTATAGTAATATTGAAAAGAAAGTAAGAAGATTTACCATATATACCTTTTGCCATACATCCCTCACTATCAATGAACTCCCATAGAGTACTGCATTTGTTGCAACGGATGAATCTACATTGATACATCATTATCACTCACACTCCATACCTTACCTTATAGTTCATTCTTGGTGCTGTACATTCTATGGGTTTGGATAAATGTATAATGACATGCATCTGCTAATGGTGTTATTTACAGAGCAGTTTCATTGTCCCAAAACTCCTCTGTGCTCTGTCTATCCTTCCCTCTCTCTTCCCAATCCCTGGCAAACACAGACCTTTTTACTAACTCCATAGTTTGCCTTCTCATTATTTCTTGAATAGAGTTGTTTTTCCCTGTGTAGAATGTTCTTTTCATACACCTGTATAGACACCTCCTTCACTTTCCTCAGTCTCTACTAAGAAGTCACCTTCCCAGTGTAATATTTTTGGCCATCCTATTAGATATTTTTATGATCTAATATGTTCTATATTTTATTTACCGTGTCTACTTCTTTCACAATAATAAAGGAAAACTGTAAGGACAGATTTTTTCAGTCTGTTCTCTGCTATGTTCCTAGAATGCACAGTACTGCCTTACATATAAGAGGGTCAAAAAACTTTCGTTGAATGAATGTATCAAACTAAAACACTCAGTCTTCCAACAGAACACTGACCTACATTCAGTTGTCAAAAATCTAAATACCTGAGTGTTGTTCATCAATTTCTTCTACTGATAATTTCTCACATTTGGCTGCTATGTCTTCCAGGTTGTCTTCTCAGTAGACTATGAATCCATACACTTTCATCTTCTCTCTCACTACCTAAGGTTCAGCCATATATCCTCTCTCAGCTAGATCCCATCTGCAGCTGCTCCTCACAGACAATAGTAGTAAGAATGATCTTTTAAAAAGTTAAACACAATCATATCACTTTTCTCCAGTGGCTTTAGGGATAAAGTCTAACTTTCTTATACGCTGCCATGCTCTTGTATCTATTTTCTTTCTGTCCTCATTTCTCACGACTCTCATATTCCTTTTTATGCTTCCACCATAGTGTACAGCTTTCCTTTACTGAATGGCTCATATTTTCTTTTCCTCTAGACTGCAGTCTATTCCGTCTATCCCTAGACACTTCCACTGCTAAAGCTTTCTGCTTTCTCTGCTTTTAGCTTAGAAATAATCTAGTCCTCAAAGTTTAGACATATGAAAGTCATCTTCTGTGCTTTTCAGTGGGTGCTCCTATACTCATTCTGTTTGTTTTCCTATCATGCTGTACTGCCATTTCCTATTTACCAATCTTGATTTGTTCTCCTTGAGAACTGGGACTTGTTTACCACCTATGTATCTCCAGTCCCATATATATATATCAGGCATTCAATAAATATTTATTGGAGACGTAAAAATTTGTTTCTTACCTCTCTCTCCTGTTTTTTTCCAATTTGTCTTTCAAAATCATAATTTCTTTGTTGAGAGCAAGTTGTTGGCCTTCTGAATCATGAAGTTCTTTCTTCAGATTTTTAATTTCATTTGCATGAATACCTTCTCTTTTAGATAATTCTTCTTCATAAAAGATACTTTTCTTTTCCAAATCAGTTTTCAGTTTGGTTATCTCTTGCTGATGTTCTATACTGCATATTCCTGGTGAGTAACTGATTTGTTTTTGCTATAGAAGCAATAATAACAAAGATTAGTTTATGTAAAGAATAATAAAATATTAAATATTAACTTCATTCTTTAATTAAAGGACAGTCCATATAACTGAACATTTTTTTCATAGTATCACACAAAAATAATACTTTATTAAAGCTATAACATTTTCTCTGCCATATGTTTAAAGTATTTCCTTAGCAGATAGTTATTGTGGTTGAATTTTAGTTTTCTTCACACCAAGACTGTATATTTATCTGAATTTTCTGCTGTAAAATAACTGTTTGACACTGAAATTTCTGATTTATATACTACTATTGCTGGTACATAAAGTGGGAAAAAAATCTAACTGCACTACGTTTCTGTTGAGTAATGAGTGAAATATTACAAATCCATTTGTTCCTTTAAAGTATTAAATTGGGTGAGGGAATGGTAGAGCTGGAGTGTACAAAAAGGAAAAAGGCTTTTCCAACAATCTAGGGAGAAAAGATGAAGGTCTATTCTTACATATTCATATCCACTCTGGGAAAAAATGATAGTCCTGTTTGTGTTTAGGTAGTTCACTAAGGAAAAATCTGATTGAAAGCTATCTTTTAAAAATTAGGTTGCAAGATATTCTTAGTAATAAGGGAGGAAAAAATGCAAAGTTTAAAAGTTCTTCTAGGTAGTGGCTGAAATATAGACAGAAATATGCATATACAGATTAATAGCAGAGTTATTATTTGTTGAGCTTTGTAATTTTTCCATTATACTGTTTTACGTTATCTAGCTTCCTAAGTGATAAAAATTTTAAGACTCAAAAAATCTATGGGTTTATCTTAGTAACTTCAAATTAAATTTTGGAGGATGTTATGTCCTATTCTGAAGTTAATATGAAGGACAAAAATGGTTAACACATAGAAAACTATGTTGCTCCTTCTAATTTGAGCACATAATTAATATGAAACAACAAAACAAATGCATCAATGTCAGCCTGAGAAAAATGGCTGTAGGGGGTACGTACTGCAATATTTAATCATTGATTCAAAGTCTCATTATTAAGTGCCTACCACATACAAGGCCCACACAAGTCCGCAGTTTCTGAGGCAGCCCAGCACCCAAAGCTCTGCTGAAAATGGGAAGAGCTACCATAGGTCAGGCTCTTGGTCTTATGCATCTACACTGACATCTGTGGCACTGACCATTCACCTAAACTACCTTTTTTTAAAGATTTATTTATTTATTTATAGAAGCACTGGGTACACAGTCAGAAGCGCAGGAGAGTGAGAGAATTCACCAGAGGCAGAGCAGGGACCAGAACAGGCAGACCGACGAAATACACAGCTGAGGGGAGCAGTGGGCACTGCAGGAGAGGTCTGTGGTCCATGTGGGACCCTCACCGGCAGCCGGGGATCAAACTGGCGCTGCAGAGGCTGCAGGCAGCCTCACAGCCCAGTGCTCAACCACTGCGCCACCAGGGGAGGCCCTAAACACTTTTTTACTTCTTTAATCACCTAAAGAATACTGTGAGCTGGCTGATCTGTTTAGTAAAGTCTGGCTGTTGGGACGGGGGCAGCATGTACTAGATATTTCAAGCAAAAAATTACCCTGAAATCAAATCCTAACAAAGACACTACCAAGAAAAGTTACAGATTAATGTCACTTATTGATGAAGATGTAAAAGTCAGATAAAATGCTGACAAAAGAATTAAATCATATGTAGTAAAGAACAAATACCTACCACAAATAGGTTTTATTATAGGTATTGAAGGTAATTTGATATTAGCATATATAAATGCACAAAATTGATTAATTTTTTAAAAAAAGATTACAATAAAACAAATCCATTTGATAATCTAAGTAGATACTCCCACCCAAATACACATTTTTTTATACTATCCTAAGTCCCACAATAAAACAAAACAAAAATGGAATACACTTATTCTCCTAACTTACAAAGTGTACATGTTTAAGCTATCAAGCAGAATAATAACTATGGGGGAAACATTAAAAGTACATAAAATACATTTAAGAATAACAACAGGGCCTCCCCAGTGGCGAAGCTGTTGAGCACTGGGTTGCGAAGCTGCCTGCAGCCTCTGCAGCGCTGGTTCGATCCCCGGCCACCAGGCGAGGGTCCCACATGGCACGCAGACCTCTCCTGCCGCCCGCTGCTCCCCTCAGCAGTGTACTTCGGTCCTTCTGCCTGTTCTGCTCCCTGCTCTGGCTCTGGTGAACTCTCTCACCCTCCCACGCTTCTGACTGTACCCAGTGCTTGTATAAATGAATCTTTAAAAAAAAAAAAAAAAAAAAAAAAAAGGATGTTTTCCCTCTATTTCTCTCATTTAGTGTTAGTAGCATGTAAAAAATAGTCATAAAGGAATGCTAGAAAGAAAAGTGATAAATCATTATCATTTCAACTGAATATAACTGTTTCCCCAGAAAATGCAAATGAATCCACTGATAAGTATTAGAATTGACAAATTTGGGTAAAAAAAAATTGTATGAGATAAATACAAATGTGGTGCTGATATTAGCTAGACTTATTGTGATCATTGTGCAATATACAAATACTGCATCATTATGCTTTATAAATGATAGTAAAATAATGTTACATATAAATTGTCTCAATAAAAAAATTAGTTAAAAAAGATAAGCACAGGGCCTCCCCGGTGGTGCAGCAGTTGAGCGCTGGGTTGCGAGGCTACCCGCAGCCTCTGCAATGCCGGTTCGATCCCCGGATGCTCCCCGGCCACTGGAGGAGGGTCCCACATGGCACGCAGACCTCTCCTGCTGCCCGCTGCTCCCCTCAGCAGTGTACTTCGGTCCTTCTGCCTGCTCTGCTCCCCGCTCTGGCTCTGGTGAATTCTCTCACCCTCCCGCGCTTCTGACTGTACCTAATGCTTGTATAAATAAATAAATAAAAATAAATCTTTAAAAAAAAAGATAAGCACAAATCAATATTTTTAGATAACAGAGGAAGCAATAAGAAAGCACAGTAAAAGTTTTCACTGTTAATAGCAAAATGATCAAACAAAAACCACCAGAAACTAACATATACACACATATGAGAAAAAAACAACAGTGAGTAATATTTCTGATTTACATAGTAAAAAAAACTAGAAGTCTTTATAAAAGGTATAAAAAAGACTTGAATATAGAAAAGTACAAGTAATTAAAAGAGATGATTAAATATACATGTATTCAATATTTCTCAAATTACCTCTCTTGCAAATCTAACAAAGCTTTTTTTTAGTATGTGGGAAATAACACGGGGTAAGGAATAGAAACAAATGTTCTTTGTACATGGGCAAATATAAATTAGTAAAAGTACCCAAAAAAATCCTGAAAAAATAAAAAGAGTAAAGATAGGGAGAGAATTATATTTTCAGATATTAAAGAATACTATAAATTTTTTTTTAATTTATTTATTTTATACAAAAACTGGAGTACAGGCCAGATGCGCGGGAGGGTGAAAAGGTTCACCAGATACAGAGCGGGGAACAGAATAGGCAGACTGACGAAATACACTGCTGACGGGAGCAGTGGGTGAGACAGGAGAGGTCTGCCACGTCATGTGGGACCTCGCCTGCCGGCCGAGGATAAACTGACACTGCATAGGCTGCGGACAGCTTTACAGCGTGGCCCTCAACCGCCTGCGCCACCAGGGGAAGCCCTAGAATACTATAAATCTTTAATAAAATATAGAAAGGTCTCCATCCCAAAATAGTTTAATTCAATATATGAGGCATCTTTAATCAATGAGTGAGGTAATAATTAATAGTGTAATTAATAATTAACAGTGCAATTAATAAAATTGAAACCACCAGCTAGTAATAAAAGAATGAAACTGGTTCTCACATCATATTCTTTAGGAAACAAATCCCAAAAGGATTAGAGTTAAGTATTTTTTAAAAGAAATAGAAGTATCCAGAAAAAAGCTGAATTACATACTTGGCAATCTCTGAAAAAAGGAAAAGCCATGTTTTGAAGCAACAACACCAAACAAACACTAAGGGAAATTAAAACAAATCTTTAATTTTAAAAATAAATAAGACCAAAATTGAAGGACAAATGATAAATTGGTAAATAAAAATATTAGAAAAAGTATAATTTTTACTATGCAAAGATCTTAAATGAAATAAGAAAAACACTAAATCTATAAAATTAAATGAGCATGATTTAAAGACATAGTTCACAAAGAGAAAACGATTAAACAACTTACTAATAAAGCAAGAAATATCTCTCATACTTGTAAAGATTTGTGGTACATACTGAGTGCTTTAAAATGATCTGGTAACTTTATTTTTAGATATCTTCCTAAGAAAATGATACCAAAAGAGCAGTGCAGGAAGGTGCTCACAGGAATTATAATATTGCAAAAGTTAAACATTTAATATTAGGAAACTAGGTAAGTGGATTTTTTTAATAATCACTAAAAATGTGTTTGGGACAATTACATACTGAGTGAAAATGTTTATATCATAATATTCAAGTAAAAAATACATGTGTTAATGGCTGAATTGTATTCCCTCAAAATTCACAAACCACCAGTACTTCAGGATGTGACACTGCTGAAAAGTGGGGACTTAGCTACTGCATGTTCTGACTTACATGCAGAAACTAAAAATCTAACTCTGAGGAGCCAAAGTAGAAGATAATTGTCATGGGGAAATGTTGAACAAAAGGGTACAAAATTTAATATATGCAAGATGAATAAACTCTACAGATCTAATGTAGGCAGATGACCATGCTAAGAATACTGTAGTATTTGAAATTTGCTAACAAGTTAGGTTTTAATACATACATACACACACCCCACCACCACCACCACAACAACAACAACTTTTGCCAATTATACCTCAATAAGGTTGGAAAAATATTAAATAAAATAGAGTGCTTATAGATAGTTAAAATGAAGTTATTAGGGTGGGCCCTAGTCCAATCACTATGTCACTATAAAAGGAGAAATCTGGACTGTGGCATGCATCTCTTTCAAAAAACAGCAGCAGAGGGAATACTTCCTAAATGATTCAATGACACCAGCATTGCCCTGATACCAAAAGCAGAAAAGACATCACAAGTAAAGAAAGTTGTAAACCAACATGTCTCATAGACATAGATGCAAAATTCCTCAACAAAATACTAGCAAATTGATTCCAACAATATATAGTAGTTATACACTATGACCAAGTGGAAGTTATGTCATGTACCCAAGGCTGTTTCATCATGCTGAAATCAATTAATGTAGTGCTTCATATCAACAGGCTAAGAAATAAAAATCACACAACCACATCAACAGATGCAGAAAGAGCATCTGACAGAATCCAATACCCATTCATGATAAAAACTCTCAATGAAACAGGAGTAGTGAATAACTTCTTCAACTTGATAAAGAACGTCTACACAGAAACCTACAGTTAACATATTTATTGGTGAGAAACTCAGTGATTTCCCACTAAGATCACAAACAAGGAAAGGATGTCATCTCTCACCACTAATTTTCAACTTTGTACTGGACATCAGGGAATTGGTATGACTTCTTCTTTAAGTGTTTACCAGAATTCAACAGTGACCACATCTGGGCCTGGTGCTTTCTGTTCCGGAACATTATCAATGATTCAACTTTTTTGATAGAGTCCTTTTCAGATGACTAATTTCTTCTTGTGTGAGTTTCAGAAGCTTGTGTCTTTTAAGGAATTGATCATTTTTATCTAGATTATCAAAGTTGTGGACATATAACTGCTCATGGTATGCCTTTACTATCCTTTTAATGTCCATGGGATGTGCAGTTGTATAGTGATATTCCTTTTTTTTTTTCATTTCTGATATTAGTAGTGTCCTCACTCTTCTATATTCTTTGTCAAAATAAAGCTTATTACTGATCTTAGCAATATTCTTAGTCAGAAGCTTATTACTGATCATTTTAGAGAACAAGTTTTGGTTTCATTGATTTTCTTTATAATTTTCCAGTTCTAATTTAATTGATTTCTACTCTCACTTTTATTATTTCTTTTTTGGTTTATTTTATTTTGCTCTTTTCTCATGAGTACGAAGATGATTAATTTTAATTTTAGACCATTCTTCTTTTCTAGTAGAGTAGTGTCCTCTTATCCACAGAGGAAATGTTCCAAGATCTCCAGAGAATGCCTGAATCCATGAGCAGCACTGAACCCTACATATTCTGTTTCCCCCCCACATATACATTCATATGATAAGGTTTAATTTATTAGGCACATAAGAGATTAACAATAATAATAATAAAAAAATAACAATTATAACAACATAGTGTAATAAAAGGTGAAAGGTGGTCTTTCTCAAAATATCTTATTGTACACACATCATATTTTTGGACTACGATTAACCACAGGTAACTGAAATTGTGGAAAGGGAAGCCACAGATGAGGGAGGGCTACTGAATATACATTCCTGCTATAAATTTCCTGCTGAGCACTACTTTTACTACATGCCACAATTTTCAGTAAGTATGTTTTCATTTTCCTTTAGATCAAAGTATTTCTACATTTCTCTTGAGATATTTTCTTTGATGCAGTCTAATTTAGTAGGGGTCTGAGAATAGACCCTGTGATTCCTATTCTTTTTAATTTGTTAAGAATTTGTTATTGTTTGTTTAATGGCCCCAAATGTATGATTGTTCCTATGAACTTAAGAATGTATATTCTTCTAATGTTGGATGAAGCAGTCTATAGATGTCCCTTATATGCAATTTATTGATCATGTTGTTAAATTCAACTATACACTTAGTGATTTTATGTCTGCTGGACTGTTCATTTCTGATAGAGGGGTGTTGAAGTTTCCAATTATAATGGCAGCTACATCTATTATTCTTTATATTTCTATCAATTCTTATCTCATGCATTTGCTACTACATTTTTACACCCATACATATTATGCCTTCTTGGAAAACTGACCACTTTTACACTGAGAAACTTTCCTTATTCTGAATTCCACTGTCTGAAATTAATATAGCTACTCTCACTTTCTTTTGATTAGTGTTAACATGCTGTATTGTTTCCATCCGTTCATTCTTACCCTATTATGTGTCCCTATATTTAAAGTGGAGTTATACATATCTTAAAGACAACAAAGAGTTGGACGTTGTTTTTTGACCCAATCTGACATGATTCCTGTTTTGTAATTGGTATATTTAGACCAGTGACATTTAAAGTAATTGCTGGTATCTCTGGACTAGTATTTGCCATATTTGCTACTGTTTTCTATATGTTGCTATTGTGTTTTCATTGTCGTTCCTACTTTTGTCTTCTACTCCTTTCCTGTTTTTCATGCTTTTAAATATTTTATATGATTTCATTTCCTATTTTGAACATATCAGTTATACTTTTCTTAGTGATTTCCTAGAATATGCAATATGCACTCGCAACCAATCCAGGTCCGATTTCAAAAAACACTTTACTACCTCATAGATAGTCCAAGTACCTTAAAATGAAAGAATCCTATTTCCTCCCTCACATTTGTGTATCATAACTGTCATTCATTTCAGTTATATTATGCACATAGATAAGCATACATTATTACCATTATTTTGAACTGTATGTTACCTGTTAAATTTTTTAAGAATAAGAAAGTAAGTTTTTACTTATTTTACTATCACTTATTCCTTTGCTGATGCTCTAGTATTATCAATCATAGCTGATTTAAATACCCAGTTTAATAATTTCATCTGTGTCATGAGAGCCTGGTTCTGATAGTTACTCTGTCTCTTCCAACTGTATTTTTTTGTCTTTTAGAATGTCTTGTAATTTTTTTGTTGAAATATGGAAATGATGTACTGAAAAGGAGCTGCTGCAAATAGGCTTTTATTAATGTGGTGTTGAGGTATGGGTGCATGAAAGCTTTCTATAGCCCCGAGATTGAGTCTGTACCTCTGGATTGGGAACTTTAGACATCTTTGTCACCTTTTCTCTCCCATTTAGTTTGGACGGGATGGAGAGGATGGGCTAGTGATGGGTATTTTTCTCTCTTCAGGTTGGTTAGGCTATAATAGAAAACCTAAGAGGTTAAGCTCTTCAAGTTGAAGAGTTGCTCTGAGAGCAGACCTTAACTAAGAAGAGTACACTTTGGCATATTTCAATCCCCTAATGGCATAAAGGGATTTTTCTCTGATATTTACTATAAGAACTTGGTGGTAAGCTAGGAGGTAAAACTCATAAAAATATGGGACCCACAATAACAATGACAAGGTCCCCCTGGAATTTTTACTTCTCTGACATGTCCACATTGAGCCTACAGCAATTTTTCGATTACAATTCAGGTTTCATTATATGGTTACTGATTCCTAGAGAGGCTATTGCTATGATAAGTTGTGATTCTCTGTATTTGCCTGTTGGTCTCACCAAGGGGGGGGGTGGCACTTTATCCTATGACATCACTTCTCTCACAGATATAAGAAGAGTTGGTGATTTTTCAATTTGTTTAGCTTTTTACTTGTTAGGATGAACTGACGACATGCAAGCTTCTTACATACTCTATTGGAAACTGACCATAATCTTTGGACTTTCTTTATGTAGAGGATCATATGGTCTGAAAATAGAGAATGCTTTACATCTTCCTTCCTGTTTGGACAATTTTAATTTCTATATCTTGTCTTATTTCTATATCTTGTCTTAATAATGTTAAATAGCAGTGGTGAAATGGGCATCCTTGTTTCATTCCTAGTCTTAGGGAGAATGTTTTCAGTCATTCACTATTGTGTAAGATGTTAGGTGCCTAACTGTCTTTTACCATGCTGAATATGTTACCTTCTGTTCCTTACTTTTTGAGAATTTCTATCATGAAGGGATGTTGGATTCTGTGAAATGACATATGTATATAAATTAAAGCAATGATGCTTTTTCTCTTTAGGTTCTATTAATGTGATGTATTATATCAATTTATTTTCTTATATTGAACCATCCTTGTATTCCTTGGATAAACCCTACTTTATCATAGTGTGTAATTCTTTTAGTCTGGTGTTGGTTTCCTAATATTTTGTCATATATTTGTGCATCTGTATGCACTTGGAATGCAGTCTATTCTTTTCTTGTGATGTTTTAATATGACTTATTATCAAGGTAATGTTAATGGAATAAATTAAGAAGTATTTTCCACCCTTGTATTTTTGGGAAGGCTTTAAGAAGGATTGATGTTAGTTCTTTTTTAAATGCTTGTTTCAATTCACTAGTGTAGCCATCTAGTCCTGGACTTTTCTTTGTTAGGTGGTTTTTCTATTTGTTTGGTTTTGTCTTTATTACTGATTCAATCTCTTCACTTATGGGCTGTTTGAGATTTTCTATTTTGTCATGAGTCAATTTAGGTAATTTGTGTGCTTCTAGGTAAATTTGGTTGCGCTGTAATTTCATCTAAGTTAGTATGTTGGAACAGAGTTGCTCATAATACTCTTTTATAATCATTTTGCTTTCTGAGTATATGTAGCAAAGAATCTATTTTCATTTCTGATATTAGTAATTTGCTTACCCCGACCTTTCTTTGAAAGGTCAACAAAAGTGACAAGTTTTAGGTAGACTAGATAGTCCAACTCTATAGGTGGTATAAGTATTTCTTTAGCCACAGACTTCTGCTGAGGTGTTTGCCCATACCTGTGATCATCCTATCCCAACTAACATAAGTATTGACAAAGTTAGCTCTCAATCTCTCCTAATTCATTAACAAGATAGACAACCTCTATATCTAACCATGGTTCCTATGCATATTACCAATACATCTCTTCACAACTATTTTAACTCCTTCCTGACAAATTTCTTCTCCCCATTAAATATAGTCTTTCTTTTCCTTCCAGCATGATTAAGAAGTCTATATCAGTTTCCTACTGGGAAGACTAAGAATTAAGAATAATAAGTTTGAAGGATAGCTAGCTTTTACTCTATACCAAAGACAGAAAGTACATAAACAAACACTCTTGGTAAGCCAAAAGAAGAGACAATTAGTTGAAGTTCATAAAATAAAATCAAACAATACCTTCAATCCCTCCAATTCATTTTCCAGTTGCTTAGAATAGTGCTCACTCTGTTCACGCAATTTTCTGTCTTTAGATGCTTCAGCAGCTACAGCTTCTGTGTGAACTTCCAGCTTTGAAATGAAATGAAAAAAGCAGATTTCATGGTTTTCCAATGAAATAATTTTATCATGGGCAATTAGCTTATAATAGGAAGGCAATTCCTATATTGAAATTCATATTAAATAAAATTACCAAACTTCAAAAATTAAAGAATAAAATTTATATTATTTCACTAATCTATAGAAGCATCTTATCACTATCCCATGGGCACTACAAAATTTGCCTGTCTACTAACCTCTTTTTTGGCTCTTTCTGTTCTGCGCAGTTCTTGCCTTAAGCTTTCAACTTTTTGCATCACCAGGTCCACCTCTTCTTCCTTATCTCGGACATGGCGAGCAAGTTTCTGTTTTTGGGTGTGCAATTCTGTTAGTCGCTCATTGATCTCCATGAATTCCTGCATGGCCAGTTTCCTCTGACAGTGTGCATCTTTCAGCTCTTTGGATTGGTTTTTTAAGCGCTCACTAGCCTGGACTAGTTCCTACAGTTTTGTGAAAAGAATATAAGTTACCAATTCTGAAAGCTAGAGGCCAAATTTGGCCTTTAAAGTGCTACCATGAAGTGAAGAAGAGTCAAAATTATTCACCTCAGGATAAAATGAAAAGAAATTAACTACACTTTAACAGATAGTAAGAACAGGGTGCTCTGTTTATAGTGTCAATTTTTTATGGTAACTGCAAAAGAACAGCTGATTTAAATTCTATACCTTATTTTCTACAAATAAACAGAGTATAGAAATATAAGTTGTGATGGTTAAAAGATTTTGTGAAATTTAACCCTTTGCACTCCGAACCATTTTACGATATTTTGATTTAATTTCTTGTACCATTTCAAGATAAAACTTCAGGGAAACATGCATGCCTCAAAAAGTTGCGTTGAAATAACCTCAATTCCCCGTAATCACTAATAAATTGCAATGTCCCCTGAGAGGGGACATCCGAGTGATATGCTAGAATTCCGATGTCCCCTGAGAGGGGGCAGCGGAGTGCAAAGGGTTAGTGGTTATTTGTGAGTTTTTTTAAAGACTGTATCAAATGATTACAAATGATGAAAATAAACTGTCCTTGATGTGGAGGCTATGCCTTTGGCCAGAAGCTAGGAGAATAAGCTAAACTCCCTAATTAAAGAGAAGTGTAGAGGAGCTGAGGTAGAATTAGGTCAGCAGAACCCTCTGCCTCCTAGCAAAAGGAATTGCAAATCTTTGGGGGAAAGAACCTCACTGAAATGTAGGATTTTGTAATAGCACAAAATATGTGCTCACAACCATAGATTACTAAACACCCAAAGAACAAATCAACAAAAACAAACAACAATAAACAATAAAAAGAAAACCCAATGGCACTTGATAATTGAATCATCTATGAATGAAATGTCTGAAGGAAATCACAAAAATGGGAAAATGACCAGACTCTTAAAAATGATTATAAGATTCATAAAAGAACTTTATAGAACATTTAAAAACGAAAAAAAAAGGTTAAAATTAAAGATGACCCCACCGTTATAGGAAATTCTATAAAGTAAAATGAAAAAGGGAAACCAAACCAAGGAACTTAAAAAAATTAAGCCATACAATACCAAATAAAAGTAAAAGACCTTAAAAGAAATCAGAGAATGAATGACAAATCACCTATTCTCCATCCTCAAAAAAAAGGGTAATGAGGTAATGAGGCTCAAACAGATATCCAAGAAGTAACAATAAAACAGTCGAAAATATTTTTAGAGACATGATGAAAATGATACTTTCAAGTATGAGGCACATGTAATAAAAAACTGACAGATCTTACCACAATCAGGTGTGCAGGAAAGGAATCTCTACAGATTTATTTCAGAAAAAATAAAAATGATTTTTAGATGGAAGACCTAATGAAGGGAAATGAAAGGCTAAGAAAGTGGTAAAACTGGAAACAACCTAAGTGTCCTCCAAGAAATGATTGGATTTAGATGTGTAACCATACAATGGAACATTATTCAGTCATGAGGAAAGATGAAATGCTACCATTTATAGCAAAATGGAAAGATTTTCAGGGAATTATGTATAGTAAGCAAGTTAGAATAACAAAGATAAAAACTAGACATTTATGCAGTGGATGATCTGACAAAGCAAAATGCTAATAAAAATTAACACACTAATAAGCAAAATGAGGTTTCTTAAGTTAAGAGGGACAAAGGAGAGAGACAAAGGGGTTTAAAAAAATCCACATTGTGAATATAAGTGAACATGTTTATAAAGCTATAATATAAAAATGTCTCAGTTGTAAACACAAAGCATATTGACTAGAATACTGGTCAAAAACAGCAAGGATGTTTCAAAGAGGTCACAGAGTTAAAGGACCCTAAATTGGGAGGAGAGGCTTAAGATAATAAAATTCAGATAAGTTTATATTAAATTTAGTTAATTATGGATGATAAAGTTAAAGAGTAACTGCCAGAAACTACTAGGACAAGTAGAAACTAAATGGAAATAGGAAACAACAATGAAAAATAGAAATCCCTAATTAAAAATCAGGAAACAAATGTTACAAGATGAAAATAATCTCAGAGATTGTGTGCACAACAATGTGAATATACTTAACACTACCAAACTGCACACTTCAAAAATGTGTTTTTTTTTTAATTTAATGTGTTAAATTTTTTGTTACATATATTTTAATCATAATTTTTTAAATAGCAAGAGAGGAGACCCAAAAAAGCATAGAAAAAACATGACAAAGAGAAAGCAAAAAGTCAAGTTGTGGAAACATAGCCATACATTAGTAATGCTAATCTCACCTGTTAAAGGCAGTTTGTTATACCAAATTATGAAAGAGAATCTAAACTTTAAAAAAAACAAGCATTATTAAGGATAGGGAACGTTACTACATAATTATAAAATGCAGTTCACCAAGAAGGAATGTCATTTTAAATTTCTGAGCATAAGATAGACTCAAACCATATAATAAAAAAATGTTACAGTATCATAGAAAAGTTGGCGGACACATCAATATATGGAGAAATTACAATTTCTCAGTCATAAATAGATATACCAGCTTAAAAAATAGTAAATATAAAGGAGATTTGAAAAGTTCAATTAAGAAGCTTTGCATATTGAAGCTTGCACTCAATATTGGAAACATATTTTTCACACAAACATATTGAACTTAATTTAAAAAATGAATCAGTGTGGGCCATGAAGCAAGTCTCAGTAGATTTCAATGACCAAATATCATTTGGATCAAGTTATTTAATAACTGCCATTAAAACAGAAACGAAAATTTTAAAAATTCATTGTAATTAAATGGTCAAGGAGAAAAATCATAAAGGATATTAAAATATTCAAAATTAAAATACAACAAAGCAATTAGATATTTAGAACATACTAAAACTTGGGAATACAAAAATAGGCATATGAAAATTATCACTTGAAATACTTATACTGAAACTAAACAAAAAGGTTGACATTCAATGAATTCCAACCACAAACTTAACACAATAATTCGTGCTCCATCTACTAAATAATAAAGGTAAAAGCAAAAATTAATGGAAAAAAAGAGAGAATGAGAAACAAAAAAGTCAAAAAGCTAATTGAGAAAAGTAATAACAATGATGATAATAAAATAGCTTACCATCTGGTGAGATCAAACAAGAAGTATAAATGTACAAGACAAATATAAGAAAAGAAAAAAGGTTTTAACTACAACCTAGAAGAGCTCAAAAAATAAAATAGAACACGAGAAAAAAAATGTTATGCCAATAAATTTGTTAACTTATGAAATGAACAAATTCCCACAAAAATACAACTTATCAAAATAGTTTCAAGAAGAAACTACAATTACAGTAAGTAGTTAACATAATTTCCCCATTACTCTGGGGAGAAAAATCTCCAGGTTCAGGTGGTTTTGTAGGTGATTTCTACAATGTTTCAAGAAACAAACTGTTCCTCTTACATAACCTTTTCTAGAGAAAAGAAAAAAAAAGCGGCAATACTACAAGACTCATTCAGTGAGACCAGTATAATCCTGACATCAAAAAATACCAGAAAGGTAAGAGAAAAAATTATAAGCCAATTTTATTGATGAAAGCTAAAAATCCTTTTTAAAAGACAAATCAGTTCCACTAATGTATAGAGAAGTGTGAACTCAGGCACCAGATTCATTAACTTAAAATTCCAGCTCCACCACTTTCTTGTATCTTTTTTTTAAGATTTATTTATTTATTTAGTTGTTTATTTGTTTGTTTGTTCATTTATTTATTTATTTATACAAGCACTGGTTACAGTCAGAAGCGTGGGAGGGTGAGAGAATTCACCAAGCCAGAGCGGGGAGCAGAGCAGGCAGAAGCACTGCAGAGGCTGCTTCGCAACCCAGCGCTCAACCGCTGCGCCACCAGGGAGGCTCCACTTTCTTGTATCTTGAGCAAGTGTACGTAACTCCTTTGCATTTACAAAATGAGTATAAAACAATAAAGATAATACGTAAATCACAGGGCTTTTATAAACATTAAGTGATCTATTATATGTAAAGCATTTAAAACAGTGCTATTAGAACAGATACTACATGTGTTTCCTATACTATCATGTGGTAATTTAGACATGCAAAAATGGCTTAAAATAGAAAAAGTCTGTAAGTGTAATTCACCACACCAAGATATGAAAGGAAAACAATCATATAATTACATCAACAGATATTAACAATAGAAATCTGTTGATGCACTGTGCAGAAAAACACATTTACTAAATTTAATACCCATTCTTGATTTAAAAAAATTAGCAAAATAAGAACAGAAGATAATTCCCTTAACCTGATAAAAAGTATTTACCAAAAACTTACAGAAAACATTAATGGTGAAATATTAAAGGTATTTTCTATAAAATGAGGAGTAAGCTAGAAATGCCTGCTATCACCACTTTCATCCAACATTGCAATGGAAGTCCTGACTGATACAGTGAAACAAAGAAAGAAAACTCACAAAAATTGAAAATGGCAAAAACAATACTGTCATTAATTAAAGAAAACCTTAAAGAATCTCAAATATGTAAACATTAATGAGTTTAGCAATTTTGCTAGAACAAAATCAGTTAGTATTTTAAAGATATCACTTAAAATATGAAAAAATAGAATAATAATTTTAAGGAAAGGCAAGTAAGACCAGTATAAAATGTTATGGAAGAACATTTTAAAAGACTTTAAAGACACGTAGAGATATACAAGGTTTGTGGATCAAGAGAATATCTGGCTGTAGAGAACATCTGTTTTTGTAGTTAGGACTTTTTAAGGAAATTTTACTGAAACTTGGAACCAAGGCTAAAAGCAAATCTTGTTACATTATTACTAAGTTAGATAATAAAATAACTCCAAAGAGATCTAATTCTGGATGTGTTTACATTTCAAAGATGGACAGCATGAGTTTAATCCCTGGCCAGGCAGCTAACCCACAAGGCGCAGCAGGCCTCTCCTGTCTAGCCCACAGTTCCCCTCAGCAGTGTATTTCAGTAGATTTGCCTGTTTTGCTCCCCACTCTCTCTCTGGTGAATCTTCTCAACCCTGCACCTCTGGCCTACATCCCAGTTCTTATATGCATAAATAAAAATAAATCTTAAAAAAAAAACCCAAAAAACAAAGATGGGTTGGGAGTAAGATAAATGTCTGGACTAGGGAGACATCTCTTTATAGAGCAGAAGAATCTGGGCTTATCTTTCTACTGGAGTGATTTACTTATATTCCAAAGAGTCCTAGATCATTCTCTTCAGATTTCCAAGCAGACTCACAGAAAGAGAGTGGGATTGAGAGAAAACAGGAATCACCTGCCTTTCTCTCCTCTATATAAACACCTTGATTCGTTTGGGGTATAGGGGGGCAAGGGAGAGTCCTCATCTATAATACCTACTCTGTGTGCAGGGTTTTATACATCCAGCTCTCACTGTGTTGTCCCACAGTTAAGGAATCTATGTGTACAATCAGCATAATAACGAATATGGACTGTAAGAACATAGACTCAATATTACAATGGTGTTAATTCTTCTCAAATTGCTTTATAAATAATGTAAATTTAATCCAAAGCCCGTCAAGTTCACAAGGGTTGAGATCCAACTCCTATGGAAAAAAATGGAGTTTTCTCAAAATATTACAAATAGATCTACCATACAATCCAGCATTCCCTCTCCTAGATATATACCCAAAGAATGCAAAAACACTAATCCAAAAGAACATATGCACTTCTGTGTTCATTGTAGCACTATTTAGAATAGCTAAGTTATGGAAACAACCTAAGTGTCACTAGATGAATGGATTAAGAAGATGTGACATATATACAAAATGGAATACGATTTGGCAACAAACAAAGATGAACTCTTGTAATTTGTGACAACATGGATGAAACTGGAGGGGATAATGCTAAGTGAAATAAGCCAGAATGAGAAAGACAAATATATGGTTTCATTTATATGTAGAATATAGAGAAACAAACAAAAAAAGGGATCAGGCAAACCAAACCAATAAAAACACTAAAGTCTGAGTGTAGAACTGAGGCTACCAGACAGACAGGTGGAAGGTGGAGAGCAAGATGTGGAGGAGCCAATGGACTATAGTTGAGGACTATGAATGCCTTGGTGGTCGGTGTGATGTGGTAACATACATCTGAAAAGATGTGCCCCTATACCTGTGAATCATATAAAGTACCGTAAACCAAAGTTACCTCAATTTTTCAATGAATCCATAAAAAAAAATGTATACTGAAAGATGATGTCTATAACATGCATAGTGATAAAAGAAGTATGCCTACAAATTTTCAAGAATATTTACAAACAAACAAAAGACAAATGTATAAAAGATATGCAGAGTTTTTTCAAGCAGAAAAAAATGTGAATAAAGTCAACCTCATTAGTACATATAAAGTGTAAAATACAACTACAATAAAATATCATTTAAGACATAAAATATCAATTTAGACTAGCTTGGTCAAATATATCTGGTAACTTTTACAAGGCTGAAAACCAAACAACATTAAATATATTATTTAGTGATATGCAACTTTTTTTATTTTATGACTTTTTATATAAGGTAACATTGCTTTACAATACTATATGTGATTCAGAAATACAGGATCCCACCTCTTCAGATGTATGTTACCATACCACAAAGGTAATGACTAACATAAAATTCATAATAATGATTTCCATTTTCAGGGAAGAGAGAAGGAAGGGATAGGAGATGAGTACCCAGGACTATGCCACAAAATAGGTAATTGTTCTATTTCTTAGGCTAGGTGGTAAGTTCAGAGCTAATCATTTTATTATTTTCATCATAACTTACATAATATTACATTTATTCTTATATATGCTTCAAAAGAAAAAATCTTTAAGAGCATATATCCTGTAAGTAGGATATTAAGCAAATCCACTTAAAATTCTTGATCAATGTGATCAATCTTGATCTCAGTATTATCCTGTTCTTGAAATTTATTAAATAGATTTCTAATATTAAAAGTTATTTAAAACTTGCGAAATACATTACTATAAATCTAGATATCAGATTCTCATCCCTGTTATGTTTAGTTTACTTGAGCAATTCTACCATTAAATACATGATGTAACTACTAACATTACTATTACATACACTCAATTGCTTGCAATTGCACTAACCAAAAGGTAAAAATGTACTGATCTAATTGAATTTTACCTTCATAGTTTTCTCTGTTAATCCTTTTGATTAGCTTTATCAACAGGTTATTCATTTTATTTCTAACTATGTCTACTTCTTTTTTGGCAGCAAAATTTATAAATCTTCCCCAAAAGCACTTCATCTGTTTTATCCATGTATTATATACCACATCATTGAGTACAATTTACACTATGCCATAAACCATTTATTTCTTCTCTGTATAACACCATGTAAGTATTATACAAAGTTCTTTTAAAATTCTTTGCTTGTTCATTCTAAATTGAAAGATAAATTGACATTTGAAAAATCATTAAAGCATTAAATAGTTTTAAAATCCTTTAAGAATACTTACATCAAAAAGTCACAACGATGATACCTGTATTTTTTTCCATAGATGCTAAAGGATTCTATTTTCTTATTTTTTCTGAAACATTTATTTTAATCAAGTCTTTTATTAATTAAAAGAACAAAGATCATAAACTTTAAAGCTGCATTTTTTCATTACTTGATATTAACCAAATGACATACACCAAAATGATTCTCAAGTTTATAAGCCAAGTTTTTCTGTACACAAATTAAACAAGATTTAAGAATTCAGAAAAGGTATGAACTATCCATCTATTTTTACCTTATTTAGATCTTCCCTTTCTTGTTGTAATGTTTTGATTTGCTTTTCATAAGTTTTGATTTGTCTAAAAGCATCATCTAGTTCTCGCCTCACAGAATTAGCTTCTTCAAGTTGCTGTTCCAAGAGACTTGATTCTAAAGAGAGAAGATCATGTTTCTTTTATTATTTGTATAAAAACAAATTCTTGAAATCAAGGTTTAAGTTGACAAAATTTTTTTAAATAAAATACTTCCTTACATAACTATTAGGAAAAAAAGACCATACTCTCAAAAACGGCATATCCAGAACCAATTAAGCTCTTGAAAGTAATTTTAAAAAGAATAAAACCAACCAAACAAAAAGACAAATTTTTCTTTACAGTCAAGCATTTGTGTACTGGCTAGTCAGATTATTATAAAATAGTCTGTGAAGGTCACATTGCTGGATGAGAGCCAGAACTCAGATTAGAGCCAGGAATTCCTGCATCAACCTACTCAATGCAGAAAATAATGTTATTAAATAATATTTAACATTATCAGTTCAGAAAGTTATTATGGAGATGGGCGGAGCAACATGGCGGCGAGGAGACGCTGCGAGTAAGATCTCCCATTAAAAAAAGTTAATAGGGAGGAAAAGCGGCAGGTCCCAGTGAGAACTGGGACACGGAAGATAAACGGACGACTCCAGCAAACTACCCGAAGAAGAAATTGGCCATAAAAGAGGACCAGAAGGGAGGGAAGCGCAGAACCCTGCTCCCCTCCCCCGCCCACAGAGGCGGCACTCTCCGACCGGCAGAGAGGAGGAAAACAAACTAAAACGGCCAACAAGAACAAACGACGCAGCAAGCGGGACTGTGAGTGGAAAGGAACTATTGCAGCCACCACACCCCGTGAACGGGAGCTGAGGCGAACCCTGCAGGATTCGCCGCGGCGGTGAGCGAACGGCACCGGGCGCCAATAGAGAAGAACAAAGACCCCGGGAGACGTGCACACAGCCCGGGCTGCCGGTAAGCCTGCACAGAAACGTGGCGCGCTCGGGGAGCTTGAAAAGCAAGTGCAGACCAGAATCGCGGCTGCCCAGGTACCCGCGCCTACGACCTAGGCTTGCTGGGAGATGACCTAGGCTTGCGGGGAGACGCGCGGAGGTCCTCACTGAGGTGAAGGTCCCTCCCTGAGTGAGCAGGAACCAGGCACCCGGGCACGGGAACGGTGCAAAAGGCGCCATTCCCGCGCCACTGAACTGGGCTACAGCCCGCGTCCTGGAACTGAGGGCTTTGAACTGAGACCCAGGGCACGAAAATTCGGGGCGTGGGTTCTCCACAACGGTGGGGCACAAGGCAGACACAGCACCCCAAAGCTGTTGAGGTGTACCCTACCATTCCCGCTCTGCTCCCTGTCCCACGGGGTTGGGGGGGACGAAAAACAGCCCCCCAAGGACACTAGGAGAGATCTCTGGCGCCACCTAGTGACCAGGAAAAAAAAAGTCACTAACACCCCATAGAACAGGAAATTTCTTAAGACTGCTTGAAAAGGGCAGAAGGCTTCTGCAGTGGCCAGCTGGGAAGTTATTCCACGCCAGGCCCCTTCCGACCAGCAGTCTGAGCCCACAGAGGGAGCAGGCACTCACGTCCGGGGCAGACCGGGGGCGCAGAAGAGTGTGCCTGAAACCGGAGGCGCAGGGACTGCATCCCGCTTCGACATTTGAGAACAGGGACATTTCTTCAGTAAAAACTGCCTAAAACCAGCAGAAAGCTCCCCCAGAAGGCAGAGATGGCTCCTGGAAGAGCCAGAGGGGAGCGGAGAAGTTCACCCAAGATGCCAGTCAGCCCGAGCATCACAGTGTCCCAACGCATACGACAAATTAGAAAACAGACAGTAGGGAGTAGAAGAACCACACGCAACCTAACAACTCCTCAGGAAAGAAGCACACCACAAAAAGAAAACCACTCCCCAGATTGCAACGACAGAAACTTGGAAGAACTTCTGAGCCTTCCAGAAAGAGAATTTAAAATTGCCATGATTAAAAAAGTGATAGAAGTCATAAAGGAAAACAATGATCAGAAGAAGGAAATTGAGTCCCTAAAGAGGGAAGTAAAAGAAATGCAGGAGATCAAAGAATTAATGGAGGAACTAAAGAACTCGGGGAAAAGCAATGAAAGCAGAATAGATGAAATGGAAGAACGAATAAGTACTCTTGAAGACACAGAAATAAAAGCACCAAACAGAAAAGGAAAGAGAAGTACGAAGGAAAAAGAATGAAGAAAGACTTTGGGAACTATCTGACTCCATGAGGAAAGGAAATATAAGAGTTATAGGAATTCCAGAAGGAGAGGAGAGAGATGTAGGAACAGAGAAAATATTCCAGGAGATAATTGAAGAGAACTTCCCAAATGCGAAGAAGGAGCTGAAAATTGATATACAAGAAGCAAGAAGAACACCAAACTTCCGTGACAAAAGGAAAAATACAGCAAGACACATAATAGTAAAGCTCCCAAGAATCCAGGACAAGGAAAAAATAATGAAGCTGACAAGAGGGAAGAAACAGATAACATTCAAAGGAAAACCAATCAGGCTGACATCAGACTTCTCTGAAGAAACACTACGGGCAAGGAGAGAGTGGAGGGACATAGTCAACAGACTCCAAGAAAACAGATGCCAACCAAGAATACTCTATCCCGCAAAGCTCTCCTTCCTCTTTGAAGAAAGAATATGGACCTTCCCAGACAAACAGAAACTCCGGAATTTCATTACAACTAAACCCCCACTCCAAAAAAATACTACAAGGAGTCCTAAAGCCAGAACCTCAGAGGGACGAATAACAACAAAAGAAGACCAAAAAAAAAAAAAAGTTATTAAAAGAATAAATAAATAAAATCAAAGGAAAGACAAACAATGGCAAATACAGATGCTAACATATCAATATTAACTCTAAATGTAAATGGACTAAACTCTTCAATAAAAAGACACAGAGTTGCAGCCTGGATTAAGAAACAAAACCCAACCTTTTGCTGTCTCCAGGAAACACATTTAGCTACAAAAGATAAAAATAGGCTCAAAGTTAAAGGATGGAAAACAATCCTACAAGCAAATGGACCAAAAAAGAAAGCAGGAACAGCTATACTTATATCAGATAAAACAGACTTCAAACTCAAAAAGGTAAAAAGAGACCCCAATGGTCACTACATTATGATCAAGGGGACAATACTTCAAGAAGAAATAACACTCATTAACATATACTCACCAAACGAAGGAGCACCAAAATATATCAGACAACTGTTGTCCTCTCTGAAAACAGACATCAGAGAAAACACGTACGTAGTGGGAGACTTCAACACACCACTATCAACAATGGATAGATCAACAAGACAAAACATAAGTAAAGAAACTAAAACTCTAAATAAGGACCTAGAGCATTTGGGCTTAACAGACATCTATAGAACACTGAACCCAAAAAAAACGGAGTACACATTTTTCTCAAGCGCACACGGATCATTCTCCAGGATCGATCACATACTGGGGCACAAGACAAACATCAACAGATACACCAAGATTGAAATCATACCAACCATCTTTTCTGACCACGATGGCATGAAACTAGAAATAAACCATAAAAAGAAGGCAAGGAACAATTCTACCTCATGGAGATTAAAAACCACACTACTGGAAGACCACTGGACTAACGAGGAGATCAAAGAAGAAATTAAAAAATTCTTTGAATTGAATGACAAGGAGGACACCAATATCCTAAATGAATGGGATGCAGCAAAAGCAGTAATAAGAGGAAAATATATAGCAATAGAAGCTCACATCAAAAAACAAGAAAGAACTCAAAGGAACAACCTAATCTCGAAGCTTAAAGAATTAGAAAAAGCACAACAACAAAATCCCAAAACCAGTAGAAGAAAAGAAATAATAAAAACCAAAGCAGAAATAAATGAAATCGAAACTAAAAAAAAACAATCCAAAAGATCAATGAAACCAAAAGCTGGTTCTTTGAAAAAATAAATAAAATAGACAAACTCCTAGCCAGGCTCACACGGGAAAAAAGGGAGAAAGCACAAATAAACAGGATCACAAATGAAAAGAGAAATCACAAACGGACACATCAGAAATCAAAAGAATAATCAGAAACTACTATGAACAGTTATATGGAAACAAGTTCAACAATCTAGAAGGGATGGACAAATTCCTACAACTCTACAATCACCCAAAGCTAGATAAAGAAGAAATAGAAAACCTAAACAGACTAATTACATGCAGCAGAAATGAAATGGTAATCAAAAACCTCCCCCAAAACAAAAGCCAGGATCTGATGGATTTACAAATGAATTCTACCAAACATTCAGAGACGAATTAGTGCCTATCCTTCACAAACTCTTCCAAAAAATGGAGAAGGAAGGGACAATACCAAACACGTTCTATGAAGCCAACATTACACTAATACCAAAACCGAACAAGGAAAACACAAAAAAAGAAAACTACAGGCCAATCTCCCTAATGAACACTGATGCAAAAATCCTCAATAAAATTTTAGCTATCAGAATCCAACAATGTATCCATAAGATAATTCACCACGACCAAGTTGGATTCATTCCAGGGACACAAGGATGGTTTAGCATCCGAAAATCAATCAACATTATCCAACACATCAACAAAAAGAAATATAAAAACCATATGATAATATCAATAGATGCTGACAAAGCTTTCGACAAAGTGCAACACCCATTTATGATAAAAGCCCCTGAAATTCTTGGGATACAAGGAACATACCTCAACATCATAAAGGCCATCTATGACAAGCCAACAGCCAGTATCATTCTCAATGGTGAAAAGCTGAAAGCAATTCCATTAAGATCTGGAACAAGACAAGGATGTCCACTCTCACCACTGCTTTTCAATATAATACTGGAAGTCCTAGCCAGAGCAATAAGACAAGAGAAAGACATCCAAGGAATCCAAATAGGAAAAGAAGAAGTCAAACTATCACTATTTGCAGATGATATGATAATATACTTAGAGAACCCCAAAAACTCCACAGAAAAACTAATTCAACTCATCAATCAAATATTTGGGAATAAATCTAACAAAAGAGGTAAAGGACCTATACAAAGAAAACTATAAAACACTGTTAAAAGAAATAGAAGAAGACACAAAGA